TTCATTAATCGACCTTTTAATACGAGCCGACAGCAGAAGAAAACATGTGGGTTTTATCTCCACTTCCTGCGTTTTACTTTATACAGTTCATAAGGTTCATTATTAGGTAGGTCAGCTCAGTTTATGTGAAATATTAAGGTTAAAACACCCTCTGCCCTGCACTGTCAAACCAAACTCCATTCAAAAAACAGCTGTTTTAAGATAGAATCTTATTTCTTCATAGTAAAACCTTTATTTCCACCATCACTGAGACTCTTTTCTGATTCTCTTCAATCTACAGACACAATCTGCACACATGTCATTCACTCAGTAACAGCATTAACTAACCTGTAATGAAGTGTTTTCCACAGACAGACACATACTACCTGTCCGGGGCTCTCAGTTAACCATTTGTAACCCCTCTGTGGATTGCTTAAAGACACAGATATTTTCTTTTACTGTCCTTCGTTAGTTAGGAAAGTTAAAAACTGTTTTTTTTCCTTGTTGTTTGATGTGAAAAATGTGACACAGCAACTTTTACAAAGCTTGTTTCACCCCAAAGTGGCTTCTGGCTGCTCTCATCTACTACATCAAATTAAAATATTTTCCTCCTCATCTCCCCCAACAATCAGCCGGACGCGTCCAGCAGACATCAGGGTTTATAGATCATTTATTACTGGACGTTCTTATGTTCTCAGAAGCGTTTAGTCTCATTTCATGGCTGACCAGGCATGTGAGGGATTAGGGTGAGCAAATGAGGCTGGTTTGTTGTGTCAGAGGTGATTTGGTCTCTTATCAGTGGCGGAGCCGCAGATCTACTGGAGGCCTAAGCTGACGAGCCTTAATCGAATGGGAAAGGCAATAATGGCGACCACTTGAGTTAGCGTCCGAGGGCATTGTCTTTGTGTTAGACGCATAATGAGCGACTGTATGCAGAGGCTGTCCTGGAACTAGTATCCCCCTCATTATGCCTGTTATGGTCTCATTTGTGTTGTGAGAGTATTGTGTGAGTCTGTCTCTATTTGCCTTGAATGGATGGACAGAAAAGTAGTTTGTCGTCTCCCTTAATGCCTTTAATTCCCCTCTAACGTGCTCCGCCTTCTCTATAAATGTTTTACAGGGGTTAAAAGTGCTACATAACAGCCTAGATAATTACCAAATTAATTTTAAGACCTCACAGTAATCACTGTAGACGAATGAGCTCACCCCCGAGGTGAATCAGCTGAATCCACTCTATACCATGAAGGGGAGACTGTTTTATTGCACAGAAAAAGTAGAGCCTCTGCTATTTTTGCGCAAGTAGCACGTTGGTATTTATGGGAAATGTGGTCTTAATTTTAAGTCTTTCCTCATGTTTCTTTACATGGAACTAAGGAGGAAAGTGAATGAGAGAAGGAGTGAATCCATTAAAATCCACATGAAGCGGGATGTTCAGTGCCATTTGTTTCTGCATTTTTACGTAGTTCCTGCAAAAACAGGCAGGTAGGGAGGGACTACGTCATACCGGGACAGAATATAGCATCCTATGTCAAAGGAGGACAGTTTGACGACAGGGAATAAAGTGTTGTTTTTGCCGGGTTTGAGTCCTGGCACCCTGGAGATGAATCAGCTAACATTAGCTGTACGAACTAACTAGTTAACGGCATCTAACGTCCTACAAGTCCATCAGGAAACTCTGTAAATCACCTCTCCAAAAGTGAAGCCTGCATACTGCAGTCGCCCCCTGGTGGCTGACTGCAGTATAGGTCATAATGCCCCGACTGCCTCCACGTTAGCAGATGGGACAAAAATCAAAATACACATCAATTAAATTTCCCCAAAGATAGTTTCTGTCATTTTAAGTCGTTCTTATCACGCTGGTGTTTGTTCAAATATTAATTTTTCGGATAAGTTTGGATTTAATTTGTTTTAGAAAAGTTCCTCTAACACCCACTAGGGTGGGGCCCCAGGGGAGTCAATCTCCATATTAAAATGCACTAATAAACTTGTGTTTCAGTCTGGTACAAACAACAGAGCTAATTTCCTGTTCAGTGAAGACAAGGAGAGGGGATTTTTATTAAAATCACTGATAAACTTGTGTTTTTGTACAATGATCAGTGAAACAAACCTTGTTTTACAGGAAGAAAATAGGATTTTAATATAAATACACAAACTAATTGAGTTAAAAAGGCACTTTTTAATTTCATCTGGTGCAGTATTTTCTGTACAAATCTACCTTTAGTGGAGTTAATCAGCTGTTTTTAATGTAATTGTGTTTGTGGTTGAACTTGGAAAGACTCCCTCCCTGCCCCCCCGTCTGTTGTCCATCACAGGCCAGTCATTTGGGGTCTTGTTGTCCGGTCACAGGCCTGATCCTGTCAACACATCCAAATATCCTGGAGTGTTGGTGTTGTGGGGTTTTTTTCTGAATGAATTAGCTCTGTATCATCCAGACACAGACAGCAGACAGCCACAAATGTATGCACACACACAGACAGGCAGCAGTTCTGGTTGTCAGGGTCCATAGATCATGGGTCATGTGTGTATGTGCTTTAGTCCGTGCAGCATAAAGTCACAACAGGAACAGATAAGACCGGTCCCAGGTTGGCTTTGGAAGCCAAATCCCCGGCAACCCCCCAGTGCTAATCGGATTAGCTGAAAAGTTAGCAGCACGGCCCCAAAGAGACACAACATTTTTTACACTGACTTCTGTGACATATTTGTGCTCCATAATCTGCTTCTTGTCTCTAAAAGCCGTCTCATCTGAGCCACAGTAAACAGCAACTTCAGTACGCGATGAACTGTTTGTAACCTTTAGTTTTGGGGATGGAGAAGGCTGAGTGGTGGGTGTGTGAATGTGTGTGTGTGTGTGTGTGTGAGTGAGTGGGGGGGGGATCTAGTCCACCCAGGTGGGGGAACAATGGCGTGCCCGTTGTCTTGGGAGAAATGGTTGGCTGCTCGTGGGCCCGGGCGGAGGAGGGAGGAGAAAGAAAAAAAATGAGTTGTGAAAATGATTGGTGCCGAGTTGGGGAGGGGACGGTGTGTGTGTGTGTGGGGGGGGGGGGGGCAGACGGATGAATGGGGGCAGCAGGGTGGCAACTGGACTCTTAAAGCTCTTTTCATGCTTGGTCTGTTTCAACCAACGCTGAAAACACATACAGGACTCTGCAGACGAGGCGTAATTGTTGGGATGTCCAACACAAGCTGCAATAATAACATCAGGAAACAACAACACAGCTCTTCATGGAGACAATAAATCTTATTGTTGCTGCTATGTTTTCTTTTATTTTCTATAGTGTTCTGTTATCTGTTGTAGGAATGTAAAAATATATCACGAGACGGTTGAATCGCAGTACAAATATGTGATGATTCATGATAAATTAATCGTGGTATCAAGCCGCAAAGAACTAAGTTTGATAATTTGATTCAGGAAATTTATGTTGTAGATTTCTGTCTGAGAAATAAAGGAATCTTTTGTCTTTTTCAGTCATGATTTGTCTTCAGAATCATATCCTGAGCTCAGTATTGTAAATTGTGTTGAATTGTTAGTTGAGTTTATCGTTACATCCCTATTCTATAGAGTTCAGTGGTTCCCAACCTGGGGGTCGGGACCCCTGCCAGTTAGACCTTAATGATTGTAAGGCGTGCTAGAAAACTTAAAAATCATTCACAGTAGACCTATATCCCTATAACCTATATTGTCTAATAGAACAATGGTCAAAGTGTCAGGGAGAGAAAAACATAGATTTTTTAAAATAAAGAATCCCATTAAGTCTGTATGAGTGTTAAAAATGATTTAAAAAAAATACATAATACAAACAGAAAATTATATAAAAAGTTCCCTAAACAGGAAATGATCTGCTAAAAATTCATCAAAATCACTCGTTTTGCACAAACTTCCTGCAGTTACTGAGTTAACTGTTTGGGTTCCTTGTTCATTTTTTAATATAAAATGAAATATCCATAAAATATGTCACTGGGTCAGTTTACTGAAGGATAGAAAAAGGTCCCTTAAGATAAAAGGATCAAAATAGATGCAACAGAAGCAGAAACACCAGACAATATCAAGAAATACTTAAGTATTTACATTTTATGATGGTTTATGTTTGCATTTATACTTTATACTGTAAACTTTATGTATTATACTATATGATGTGTCGGTCGTGAAGGATAGGATGATCCTATATTGTGTTTGTTAAATACAAATCTAGAAACGTCTCTCTTTGAATGAAGACATAATAATACATGATTATAGAAAACAAAGAAGAGATGATAGATTTTGATCCTGACTCAGAGGTCATTGACCTTTTTTTAAGAAGAACTCCTCATCCTCAGTGATGAGGAGGCAACAGTCTGAGCTCCTGCAGACAAATGGGGAAAATGAAAAGTGGCAATGACAACACATGACAGAGTAAATCCACTGAACGCCGCACAGTGACACCTGACAGTGTCGGGCGGGGGGTGAGAGGAAGGGGGCGGGGAAGGATCCTTCACCGTCTTTGCGTAACAACTCCAAAACCAGATTAAACAGAATAAAATAGACTTTTTGTGCCATCTTGTTTTTCTTTTGTCACTGTCTGAGCGGGCCTCTCTGTAACGGCAGCCAAGTCCAACATGGCTGAAAAAGCACTTGGCTCTCTGAATCAACAACCCCAGTGTCAAACTGGCTAGCCTTCCCGTGCCTGCATTCCCCCGATGATGCCTAGGGAACTGATTCTCTGGCCAAGATGTGGTTTTGTGGTTACAGTCAGCCAGGCAGAAGGGAGATGAAAATGATGCCATGTGGTACAAGAAGCCTTTTCTTCTTTGTTCTGCTAACATGGCAGACTGGCTCCAGGTTGGCCCGGCATCTGCCAAACACAATGCGGTATCGAACTGAATTAAGGGGTTGAGGGGTTGAAACTTAGAATTAGACGTAGGTAAGGAAGAACACGCCGACAGGGAGTTTACTGTTTTTATGGCTTCTGAATGGTTCATGAATAAAATGGGACTCCATTACCGCCGGGGAGTCGATTTATGTGCATGTCTTGTGTGTTTTTCAGCGTGGGCCAAGGTGGAGCTGACTATGCATGAGAGCGTTGAGGTGTACCTGGGTGACTCGGCTCAGATCCCCTGCCAGTACAGCTTCACTAACGCCGACAACGAGCCCAGCATTGTCATAATCCAGTGGTTTGTGGTGAGTACTGCCGGACCCGCGGCGAAAGACTCGACACTGCCTGTCTGGAGCTATCCAACCGCACACGTACACCATGAACCATTTGAATCATAGGAGGCCTGAGCTCAGTTTCTAGTTGTAGCGTCAGAATAACTTACTCATACTTTACTGATCCCCGGGGGGGGATGTGTTGTGTTAGAGTTGCATCAACTCAAGAAATATAAATAATAGTAATAATAATAATAATGTTTAAAATAGGCTTTATTTGACAGAATCTAACGACAATATAGGTAGAAAATATAAGAAATAATGTACATTATAATACAATACAGTCCCTCCAGAAAAACGCGATATACGATTGCATAATTCAATGCATAATCAGCCAAAGTCCACATATTTATGCGGGGTGTGCATTATTTCAAATAAGCCGCACTTTCGCCGCATAAATTGCCGATTTTCGCACAAAATACGCGGGGTTTGCATGATTTCATAATCCCCGCATTTTCGTTGCAAAAAAGTCACATATATCTTAGCAGAAAGTTGAAAAATGTTGCGTTTACTTCACACAAGAGCAGCCATTTTCCCCTGTTGCCATGGGAACGTTATGAAGTGACGTAATTACGCGCCGTGAACATCATCGAAAATTCATTCATCACATCAAATTGCATAAATATCCCGCATATTCCATCGCATTTTTTAAGAAAACGTGCCGCATAATCAAGGATTTTTGCCCGCGACAATCACAATTTTTTTCTGGAAGGACTGACAATATATGACAATATATAGAGGATAGAAATAAGGGAATAGTTATATTACAGTATATGAATAAATAGTAATAATGAGTACTGATAATGTTGGGAGCTGAATTCTTAATAAATTGCTGTATTAGTGACAGAATAAATCAGTTTATTTCCTGCATTATAGTTTTTCAGGGTTCAAGGACAATAAGAAATAGTAGAATAAATCAATAAATGATAACCAATATGTTCCTGTTACTTTTTTGCAGTTATTAGTAGAATTATATATTATTATTATTGTTTAAACAGCATGTTACAAAGTAATTTTATGTAAGAAAATGAAATTAAACACTAAAATATGTCGGCTAACAACTCAGATTGTCTGGCGTACAAGAGTAAGGTCATTTTCTGTTTATATGGCACCAGACTCCATTCATTAAACCTCACAGAACAACATACATTATGAATAACCAGGCTGCATGAAAGACAGAACAAAGACTTGAGATCGTCTGTGTCGTAGTTTCGTCCTCAGTTTCAGGACAGTTACGGTATAAACCCACGAGGCCTCCACCATACTGTTAAACCCAAACTGTCTGAGTTGAGTCAAAGGTGAGGTGTTTCCTGACCGCGTGTCCTCCTGCAGAGAGCTGCGGGGGACAACTCACGGATGCGGATCTTCTACGGTGACGACAGCCAGCAGATGGTGGACAACAACACCAACTACAGTGGACGCATCGAGGTGACTTCGGACCAGCAGGGAACCCAGCTCACCATCCAAGATGTCAAGCTGTCAGACGAGAAGGAATTCTTCTGCCAGGTCAACGGCATGGCTGCCGGGAACGCTGAGGGGAAGACCCACCTCAGAGTGTTTGGTAAGGGAGCCCAGAAAACACCTTCCAGTGGCAGAAAAATCAGCTTTCATATGGAAGACTACAAGCCTTTAAGATTTATCTTTGTTTCACCAAAGTGATTTTTTTCCTCATTCAGCTCCTCCAGAGGCTCCAGTCATCGAGGGAGTCTTTACTGGAATATCTGTGACCAATGAGGTGCCGTCTAAGGTGGGTCGACTTAATCTCACATACTGAGAGATCAACCAAGACAGAATGACCAGCAGAGAGTTCCTTAAATCTCTCTCTGTCTGCAGTTTTTGTCCCAATCGACTGAGATAAAACAGATTTGTTGATGTGACTCTCCATCCAGGTTGCGTCGTGTGAGGCTCGGAACGGCTTCCCTAAACCCAACATCACCTGGTACAGGAACGGCATGCCGCTGATGTCTTCCCCAGGACGTAAGTGCAAACCTGGTCATTGTCTCAGAGGGTCTGCAACAAATCTCACACTGGAACTGGGAAATCTAACAGTAGCAAGGAATTGCCCTGTCCCAGTGGCGCCATCTATGGGTTGGTGGTGCCCGGTTGTCAGAGTGTAACGCTGTTTGTTTTCCACATGCTGTATTACGTCGATATCAAGCAGCAACCTCTGTGGCTGCAGTTCCTCTAACAGCCACTAGAGGCTGGCTCCAGCAGGGAGTCAATCTCCATATTAAAATGCCCAAATAAACATGTTTACAGTCTGGTACAAACAACAGAGCTAATTTCCCCGTTCATGACGACTGTACGGAGGGTGGATTTTTATACAACTCGCATCTTTAAATTATATTAAGGCTTAAAGTTATGCATAATTAAATGGGTGTGGCAGCTTTTCAGTAACCAGGCTTCATTCTTCATTCATTTTTTCTGGAAATAGATAATATTGAGAATATTTTTATATACAGAGAGAGGAAGAGTATATTAGGAGTAAGTGCTCTCTAAGTGGGGAGGGACTCGAGCACTTAGGGACCACGCAGGAGACTGGCCAGGATTGTAAACATTACGTTTACCTCCCGTTGCGTATCTGGGGTCCTGAAACCAGCTTTAATCTCGATTGGCTGTTGTGGTCCACTGTTACACGTCTGTACTGTCTGGTTTTGTACTCCAGATGTAAACGTGCTGACCCTGGTGACCCGGGACTTCAGGGACTTCTACTCCGTCCAGAGCACGCTGGAGTACAAGGTGGCGAAGGAGGACAAGGACGCCCATTTCTTCTGTGAGGTCAGCTTCTTTGTCCCGGCGGCCATCAGGACGGTCGAGTCCAACAGCATCAACGTCACCGTTCACTGTGAGTTGAGCCTCTTTTTATACTTCGTGTAGGTTTGATGTTTGTATCTCATCAGTTTGGGTAAAGATATAAAAGCCCCTCAGAGTTTCTGCCATTTAGATTTTTAACCACCAGTTCTCCTTTAAAACAGATCAAATCACGCTTACTGGAGTGAACTGTTTATCAGCCATTTTTCAAAATCAATCTAATCACATCAAAATAACTTTATTTATCTGTTAGGAACTACTGTATGTTATAATCTAAAGAATAATGCAGTTGAATGACATACTGTACCCCGCTCTCCCTTAAACACCAGTCAGTTGTCAATGTATTTTTCTGTTTCATTAATCAATATAAACTCCATCTAAAACAACATGTTGATGAAATGAACACAAACTTAAAAAATAAATCCTCATAAACACAAAAGCAAATCTCAGAAGTGTAAAACAGAACATGGTACGTACATGCATTGCATTGTGGGAATGCCCTGTGGGTTTTCCTTTAAGGGGGAATGTTCTGGAGTAGGTGGGTGAATGGTTAACCTTCCCAGATCTTCAAGGTTGTGTCTCCTCTGGGATAAAACTACAGAACCACAGTTGAGTTTGAACAATGTTCGCTCGACTGATTCTAAGATGTTGGAACAAATGCTGCTTGTGAAAGGATGCTGGGAAATGAGAGAGTTCAGGAGTAATGGGACAGCTTTAGTGGATATGTGTCCGGAGGGACCGAACTTGAAAAGAGTACGATGGTTTTGTAGCTCTGTAATTATGTTATTTATTTATTATTGTAACCAAAGATCTGCTTTCCTATGTTAGTGTCTGTTGTTCGTTTTTATTGTTTTTGTCTTGTACTTTTGTTTCTGTTTGTTGCTGGTTATAAAATGCAATAAAACTTCCAACAAAATAAAAAAAAGAATTAATAAATGAATAAAGTTAACCTTCTTCTTGATATTTGCATTATATATAAATCAGCATCAGCCACTGATAAACCCATATCATACAATATGAGAACATTACTGCAGCCTCAGCTGCTTTAATTCAGACCATTCTTCTCTAAACTGCTGGAATAGTCCTTTAAACGTTATTGTATCTAATGCTATATTATTTCAGATTCAGCAGACCCCCGATGTGTCTGTTGGTTTATTGTTGTGAGTCAGTGTTGCAGTGATACTGTGGCAGTCGGAGCCAAACGCAGTCTGTGCTGTCAGCGTTATGGAAATGGACTTGTGAAGTGACTTTAGCTGAATAAGCCTGCTTAATTTGATTCTGTGTGTGTGTGTGTGTGTGTGTGTGTGTGTCCAGACCCCACCACCATGGTGGAGCTGTGGAAGGAGTCGCCCCAGGGCTTGGTCAAAGAGGGGGACACTGTGGAGCTGCGTTGCCAGGGTGACGGCAACCCCCCGTCGCCCTTCGTTTTCAACAGAGAACAAGTAAGAATGGACGGTATTTTCTCACCCTAAAAGTCCCCGAGAGAGAGAATGGGTGACACGCAGGAGACACGCAGGGAATGTTTTTGATATGCAGAGCTCACAGGGCCCCATGTAGACATGAGTGTGCAGGGTCTGTGAAGGCTCTGTGGGCCCTGACCCTACAGATCCAGGCCGGGGTCTGAGACCGGAGGCCACACTGACAGGGCTCGTTCCCATGTCAGACACTCATCCATTGTATGTGCAGACAATGCAAAGACTCAGCTGACTGCCGCTTTAACGCCTGCTAACGAGGCGGTCGGGGACGTTTGGTCAGCGGTTGTTGTCGCCGTGACTTTATGATGTTTGTTTTGTTGTATTTTAATACTTTGGGCCATTCTCTTGTGATATGATGAGATAATTTACTTCATATTTTATAGTTTTTACAATAAATATTTGGAAGTATTACAACCACAGCAAAGAGTCAAATAAAAATAGCATTTACAAACTTACACATGTATCTAAAAACTAAAAATATAGCAGTGATGCAAGGAATGTTTATAAGTTTACAACATTGCTTGTTAACCAGTAAACTAACAAAGTGTCACATTGACTCTCCTCCATGTTTGTTTGTTTTGACTTCATACAAGCCTGCATCTCTGCCGGACAAAAAACGAACCAAATGACAAAAAATATTGCTGTAAAGATTATAATTTGTGATGCAATAAAATAAACACAGTTTTCCTGTCGTCACACGATATATATTTGGTCATATCGCATTCCCTAGACTCCACTAAACACTGCTTTAAAGGTACAGTATGTCCGCCACTAGGGGGGCTCTCACATCAAAACAATAACAAAAGATGAAGTTTGATGAGGTGGTGAAGCAGCGTGGGATCATGAGAGTTGTTGGGTGAACTTCTCCTGGTTAGGATTCCTTCAGGAGGTTTCTCCTGGGATCCGGATTATCCACAGAGGTCTCCTCCTCCTCCTCCTGGCGCAACAGTGCAAACTCAGGATCGGACCCAAACGCAAAGGACAGCAGCAGGCAGCAAGATGAGAGCAGTGATTTTAATATGAATTGAGCACAAAGACTAAATACAGGAGGGGAAGGATAACGAGGGGCAGGTGAACATAATCAGGGCGGGGCAGACAATCAGAACTGAAAGAAAGATAGAAAGTGAAGCCAAACAAGGGACAAAGGGATGAGAATTAAGATTCCACCTTAAAAATCACTGCTTTTCCCACACTGTGACAGACGAAGGACGTCCCGGAGGGGCTGCGAGCCGAGCTGCTGTTAAAAAGCACCAAGATCTAAACAGTGGATGGTAAACATGTGGCTTCAGACTGGATAAACAGTCAATGTATGCTATAAAATAGCTCTATTGTTTTTAGACATTTTAATGTAGAACTGTTACATATTATAGCTTTAACCAGACACAAGGTCTGTCTCTACTCTTAAGTCGGTTCTATAATTCATCCTCTGCAGATGATTCATGACTGCAGCCAGTTTCATAGCAATCCATTCAGTAGCTGCCAAGATCCTTCACTCTGGACCCAGAGACGGTGAAATGGATGAACCGACTGACATGAAAATCAAAGAAAAATGTTGTTACTTAGGAGAAAGTGGGTTTTGGATATTGCGGTTAAACATTTGGATGTGTTTAAATTCTGCCTGCGTCTCAACCACTCGTGTTGCTCGCCCTAATGGACTCCAGTGTAAATTGTGGCTGTTATTTGTAGCCAAAGAGCTAAGGAGTGAAAACTGGTCGGTGAAATGTTCAGAACCTGCATCCACCTCCGATAATAAATGTCAGATGTCATCATTTTTATGAGCAGAGTTGAAAGTGAAAACTGAGAGAGATCAAACGGGATAAATATCCTGCTTTGGGTGCCAGAGAGGACTCCAAAGATTACACGATGCACCAGTGGGCTTGTTTTATTAATCACATGTTTTCTTCCAACACACTCTATAATAAACTAAAGGAATTCATCTAAAGTCTGCAGCTGCCTCCCTCGCAGGACTAATTAAATTTTTTGTTGCACGTCTAACATCTAGTTTCTGTCATTACGTTCACATGATCACGACATGGATTCAGTAAGTGAGAGTGTTTTGTTGCAGGACCCGGACGAGGACTTGGAGAGCCGCGGCGATGTGTTGTTCCTCTCACCGGTGTCGCGGAAAGACAGCGGCATCTACCAGTGTCGCCCTCTGGACACCGACGACTACGCCGACGTCAAAGGAGAAATGCAGCTCACCGTGCACTGTGAGGAACACACATACACACACATGTACAACGTATATATCTGAAACAGACATTAGAGACAACATGAATTCAATCCACCCAACCGTGTGTTTCCTGTGTCTTGTTCTGTTTGTTGCGTTCAGACTTGGACCCAGCGGTCGTGGTACCCAAAGACTCAGAAGTCATGCTCAAAGGAGAAGATCTGATTGCGACCTGCAACGCTCTGTCCTCCCTGAAAACCTCCACCGTCTGGTACAAGGTACGCACACGGTAGTGGTACAGATTGTAGATTAGATTATGTTGTTCAGAAAAGAGCAACAAGCTGAAACTCATTTCTGTGAATCAATACAGCCATTCAAGCACTCACAATATGAATATATTAGAGTTAACATTACAGTGAGCAATGTATGCAGGGGATATGTAACAGCAATAACAGCTGCAGAATTTGCTCATTTAGTTTGAAACAAGACAAATGGTGTGTTCCCACCAAACAAAGCAAATATTTTGCCTTTTAAAGAGATTTTTATGTGATTCATTGTCAATAAACGGATCAAAAGGGCGCCGAAATAACGACATCATGATAGCCAGTTTGTAAAAAGTCTTTTGTCGGGTCTGTGTGCAAGACGGTGCGCAAACAACTGTAAAAATGTTTTCTGAATGGAGTTTGGATCAATCAGGGCTGTGCTAACTTAGTTATCAAGTAACAGACACATATTTTCAGCTCTTACCAGGTGGTCCAACTTCCTCATTGCTGTCCAGTCTCTGTATAAATATGAAGTAGTATCATAGAGCTCTGGGTGCACACAGGCAGCTAGAAGTTGGGGTGGCAGCTCCGTAGCTCTAAGCAGACAGGTTGAGACGACAGATAAAATCCACTTTTTAATCCCAAAAGTTTAAAAACTAACCCCTGTAAACGTCTCCAGGTCAGAGCAGAATCTGGTGTGACTGTGACTCTCTCCTGCTGAGTTCCCCGGGTTCAAGCAACTGTCTGTGGGCCAGCAGCAGCTCTGTCTCTCTGCTCCCTCACACACACACACACACACACACACACACACTGCAGAAACCTGGCGACATGCTCACATCTTTCACACAGAGTTCAATATTTTCAACTCATGTGAAATTGCAAAATGGGACGGATTTATAACTGAGGAGATCATCAAGGTTACAACAATTCATCCTCTACACTGATATCTGCACAAACATCCATGGGAATCCATCCAGTAGTGCCAGTAGTTACCACAAACTCATACAGCATCTCAGCTGCCTTCAGCCCCTGTTTTCTGATTATATGCATATGTGCTTATTGTGTGTGTGTGTGTGTGTGTGTGTGTGTGTGTATAGGATGGGCAGCAGGTGGGTTCGGGGAACACGTTGCACCTGAGGGACGCCACCTATGCAACAACAGGAGAGTACGCATGTGAGGTGACCGTTCCCTCCCTGCCGGCCCTTCACACCAGCGGCTCCGTTCACATCATCGTCCAAGGTCAGTCATCGTCCTCGCACTGGTTTTTATTCTTACTGGTTTAAAGATGTCAGGCCTTTTCTGGGTTATGAATTTAGACTCCAGTGAGCGTCAGTCAGGTGTAATTTGAATTTCATGAATTGCATCACGATTGTGCTGCTTTTTCCCCTTTAAAGTCTTCAAAGAACTGGTATTTTTGCCTATTTCATTTTTTTTTAGTTTTTTTTTGGCCTTTTATTGCCTTTATTTGATAGATACAGCTGAAGATAGACAGGAAAGGGGAGTAGAGAGAGGGGACAACATGCAGCAAAGGGCTGCAGGTCAGATTCAAACCCTGGGCCGCTGCAAGGACTTCGGTACATGGGTCGCCAGCTCTACCCACTGAGCTAACTGGGCGCCCATATTTTTGCTTATTTTGACACCATTTCTTGGAGTATCTTTTAGCTGACAACCAAAGCTAAAAGCTTATATAAGTTCATAAACAGTAATAATTGAAAGAAGTATTGAGTTTGAGAGCGCACAATGTGACGATGTTAAAGACAGAAGCTTTAAGACTGAACACTTTAGCTATTATAGTTTTTATTGAAGGAAAAACTACAAGGAAAGAGGAGGATTGTCCTCTTGGAGGCTTTTAATGTGAAACATCTGGAACCGAAGGACAAAATAAATAAACATACATGTCACAAAATACAAGATAAAATACAAATATGCTCTTACAGGTGTAATGTAAACAATCCAACTTTCCCATCTTTGTCCTCTCACACTTACAGATATTACTTACAGTAATTTGATCATTTGTGTGTGTGTGTGTGTGTGTGTGTGTGTGTGTGTGTGTGTGTTGGTGTGTGTGAGGTGGTGCCCAGCTGGTGGGCGAGGAGCAGGAGGTGCAGCTGGAGGAGGCAGCAGGCAGGATGGTGAACCTGAGCTGTGAGGCTCAGGGCCAACCGCTGCCCGTCATCAACTGGAACATCATCGGCAGCCAGGTATGAGCTCGCTGCACCGTGGTGGATGTTTGTGTTCATGTACTGTAGACGCTGGTTTGGTTTGTAGTAACAGTTGATGGGTTGATTGTAGCTATAGTTTTCTTTCTTTTTTTATTATTTCAAGACAAAAGACAATGAAACAGGACAATTTAAGTTTTATTTCTTACGTTTAATTGCTGTATTATATCATATTTTTGGTGATTATCACTAAAGAGCAGTTTTTATAGGTTCATTTTTCTTGTATTTTGGGTTCCTGGCAGCTTTATATTAATAAGCGAAATGAACCTTGGCTCCTGGGGGTTATTATAAAAGAACAAACACGCATCATCTTTGTATCGTATTCACAGAAAACACATCATTCTGTAAAAAACATTTGAAACAGTAAAAACCAGCCAAGTAGAGCTTCAGCCAGGAATCGTTTCAACAAGAACTCCTGGAAAAGTAAAATCCTTCACATACATTACTGTGTATTACTGTGTTGTTGTGCAGGTTGACAGGTGAGATACCACCGCGCTGCAGTAATGGCAGCAGGTTTACTTTCACCTACTACATCTGAGATTATAGTGTTTGTGGAGAACCAGCATCTCAGACTGAAACAATGGACGCTGCAGCCCACCAGACTCCAGAGACAAAACCAGTCATTTTACCGAGCAGATTATAAAACTCACCAAAATGTTGTTGTTAGTCTTTTCAGCAACTCCAGTTTGGTCAATATAAAGCCTTAACTCACTGAGTTATATATTAGAAAATATATGTGACGCAAGCTGCAACGACTGCAGCATAACGTTAGCTAATCCTCGGGGACACACGTCCAATGTGTATGTCCATTAAAAGAGCTTAATGTTTGCCACTGAAAGGCTCAGGTTGTTATTGTCAGTGTCTGACAGCATTATGGAAAGGATCCCTTCAGAGATATGAAAATCAGAATCAGAATCAGAAATACTTTAATAATCCCAGGGGGAAATTACTTAATTATTAAAGTAATACTTACTTAATTAGATAGACCTTTAGTTTAACCAGAAGCAGCAATGTAATCACTCTCCACCAGACTCCATAGAGAAAAACAGCTCGTATATAAGCGTTACGTCATTCAAAGTGAACAGAAACTAAATAAAACTCACTAAAGGCGTCTTTGTTAGTCTTTCCAGCAATCACCAACTCTGGTTTGGTGGAAATAAATCCTTAATTCACCGACAGAGATGATAAAAGCAGCAGTTTCAGTCACTGCGACACCACAACTCCACTATATCTTTACATAGCTGTTTGCTGCTATATTAATGTGTTAAACCTCATATATATAAATATAATAAAGTGTGTACTGCTGTTCTCATCAACCAGCTGTGTTTGTCTCCACAGAACTGGCACGAGGTGGTGAACCAGGCAAACAGGCACATCGCTCACAGCGTGGTGTCGGTGAAAGTCACCTCGGACATCAGCGCCCTGTGCAACGCCTCCAATGACATGGGCACCGAAGTGAAGGCTTTCAGCATCAAAGCCAGTAAGAGTCTCTCTCTCCCTCTCTCCCTCTCTCTCCCTCTCTCTCCCACTTACACTGGAAGATCTGTATGAGTGGATCAGGCTGTATGTTCAGAGGACGGAGAGGGAGTCAGGCTCTGAAACTGTCATTAGCCATTCTTTTTAATCTTATGAAATATGTGCTAACTCTTGCATTTACACAGAGCAAGTCTGGACAATTAAAAGGCACTCACCAGTGGGGGGGGGATTATTATTTTTTTTCATCATTTAGTCCTTTTAATCCCAATCTTTACTCCAACATGACAGGACTGTCACAGAAAGTGCCTCAGAGCTCACACAATATTGGCTTCTGGTTCCTTGATGGAGCTGCAGCGAGTCGATGTGAAGGAGGAAGAGTTTCTCTCTGCTCACCCCAGTGAGGGAGTTCAAAACTTAGTTTGCTTTTGAAGCCTTTAATGAATGCAAATCATGAGCGTGAGGGTTTGCTGGCCTCCGCTTCTCACAGTTAATGTCCTATTTTATATATTCTGAAGCACAGAATGAACAGACTTTAAGTTGGCGCTCTCATTTATTCCCATTTGCTCACAAGATGTCTGAAGTGTTTTGTTTAATATTCCTAATTTTAGTTTTTCAACCGTTAGGGTTGGGGGCGATATGTTAAAATTTTCCTATTTAAGTCAATATGTGAATATGTTAAAAAACTGGCAACTTTATTTAATTGTATCACAGACCCAGGAGGCAGGAGGAGGGAGGGTGCAGGTGATTAGTACAAGCAGCAGCTGAGTAATTAGCATAAAACAACAAAAAGGGCGATACTACCTCGATTGAGCCACCGCAAATCACTAACAGCCTTAGACACAGCAACACTTCACGCATTACTAGTATGTTTTTAGCCAAATAGCCAATGTATGACCAGAAGAACAACAACAACAATGGCGGACTATCAAGCTGTGTTTGTGCTGCGGGCTCTGCTGAGTTTATTAATGATCCTAAAGGAAAGTTGCTGCATTGTTTCTGTGATCAAACTACACTTTTAAATGTTTAATTTGCAGATCTGTTTGCACCACTGACAGTTTATATAATGGACAGAACGTGGAAGTGGCTTAAACCTGCAGTCTATGAAACGGCCAGCAGGGGGCAGCTCCATTGGTTGCAATAAAACACAGATACCATTCAGTCTTATGGAGAAATGAGTCGACTTCTCACTTCCTTGATGAGCTCAGTAAACAGTTTCCTGATGAGTTTCTGGTCTCAGTCTCTAGTTTCAGTCTTCTTCCATACAGCATGATGTTCATTTAGTAACTGATGGTCCCATTTAGAGTAAAACAGACCATAAAGCAGGGTATGCTTTAGGGCGGGGCTACCTTGTGATTGACAGCTCATTCTCAGTGAGTCCGTCCAGCTCAACCAAACTCAGATCAAACTGTCAAACAGTGCTGATCAGATATGGATCCAGATTGTGTTGTTGACCGTTTCTCTCCTCAAATCTGTTCACAAACACATTTTAATGTTTATCTGGAATACCAGATCCTGTGTGAGCAGGCGAGCCGCCATTGTTTCCTTCTAGTCGAAACTGAGAGCAGCTCAACTCGCAATACGTCACCCCCAAAACTGTTGAGGATTCAAAATGGTTCTCCACAAACCGATGGGTGACGTCACAGATTGCAGGTTTTAACCTGCAGGTTGGGAACTGCTGCTGAATGAAGCCAGTATTGTAAACACATACAGTCAGCTCTGTTCCTCTCACACCTCCACAGGAATTAAATGTATTATGTGAAGTGTGTGTGTGTGTGTGTGTGTCGGGGCTCGCTCTAAGTGTTGTTCTACTTGTTCACAGTTCCCATGGTCACCTCAACTGCTCCCTTCTCTCCTGGTAAGATCGTCGCCCTCTTTATTTTTTATTAAAGGCGCCTCTTTCTCCTCTGTCTCTTCACGCTTTAGTTCATGTCTGTGACAACGAAGGGTTGGAGGATTATATACATTATTTATGATTTTCTATACCAGTACTGTCTTTAGTTCGCTGGCAGATCTTTGGGATGGCCTGAGGGCACATTAAATATTCTGTTTGATACTGAGAGAAAAATCATAACAGCAGCAAATTCAAGCACGCCAACAGTTACAGTGGTACTTGGACCAAATGCTGCAGCGGGTAAAAACATTATTTGTACATCCCAGAATCTTTTAAACAAACATAAATAAGGAAGAAAATTGCGTTTTACTGCCGTTTCCAGACAGTCTTGTGTTTTATAGTGGATTGTTACATACCTGGTGAAATTATTATGGGGCAATTTTATCTGAGCAGTCACTTCATACCATTAAAATCTTCACTAGCCTGTGGGGAGTACAGCGGGCACATAAAGAGCACCCACAACCATTAAAAAAACAACCATAACAAAAAAGAAACTATGTCAAAAATCATCCAGCGTAGCGCAAGAGCGGCTCCCAGGAAGTAAATATTTGGTCGCCGTCCTAATTGTTTACTGAGGTTATTAAACACTGGAACAGCCCCTCAGAGTAGAAGCTTTCTGCACACACTCAACAAAAAGAAAGGGAGTGGAAGATGTTCTTTAAAAATGAATTACATCACGGTTTTATGACATTCTGAGCCGTAAAATGAACGACGGCGTCTCAGTTTGTTTTCTCCTTTTTTCGTGGGTTCAGCATTATTCAGAAAGGCTGATCTGGATAATTCAATTCAGGAGAAGCAAAGAAAATCCCCCCAAAAAATAGCAATTTTATGTCATACAAAAGATGGATGTCTCACTGAGATATCAAAGTCCCGCCATTACACCTGGTTGACTCATCATGACATGAAACACCTTTTTATAACTTTAATAATGAATTAAAACCAAACAAAAACCAAAAGAAAAATCACTTTAACTTACATCAGTGTGAGAAAAATGACCAAAAACTACTTAATTTTTCAGTAAAATGGCAAAAAAACTGATCTAGGAGGATAAACTTCTACATAAATATGACTGTGACTGTACGATACACTGGATTTAATAATAAAATAAAGTTGGATATTTGCTAGGTATGAACCACAAAAAAAAGTTACTACAGGAATATTTTAGTGAAATTAGAATTAAAAAAAGTTCAAATTGAACTAAACCAGATACACTCATTATAAGAATATTAAATGTTCTCGAAATGATGAATTTAGTGAAGCTACTGTTAATACTGTTTCCCTGCTCGCCTCTTAAAATAAACTGAACCAACAAACTGTAAAGTTAAAGTGCAGCCAAGAAAGAAAAAAAGCTCTTTTCATTCAGGATGGATAATTTAATGTAAATAAAGCCAGTTAAGAGTCACAGATGCTGCACAAAGTAAATGACATTTTCCTGCAGTCCTCCAACTTTAATGACACTGAAATATAAAGGACATCATTTCACGCTCAGCTAATTATTATTTATTATTATGCATGAGGAAATGGACTTTGTTAAATAAGCCACTTAAAAGAGTTGAAATAATGCAGTTTGTACGTATTTGTTCATTTTCATAAAGTTGGAGAGCTTGCAGCACACAGATTAGAAGCAGTTGAAGCAGCAGAGGCAAAGATAAGGAGGTTTTTCAGTCTGCAGAAGGGATCCAAAAACACTGGATACACTACACTTCCCATAATGCAACTGATAGCATCTTCTTGTTGGACCTCCAGGTCTTTCAAACTTCACACCCCCAGTTTGTAACGCAGACTTTCTGGTATGAATCTCTATCTTCTAAAAAACCACACAAACTAATCAGAAAACACTTGAACGTACAGCGGAACCACTTAAAATGGCAGAAACAATCTTTGGGAAACATTTTATTTGACATTTTATTTAGTTTGCTTTATGAGCTATACCGCAGTCAGCCACCAGGGTGGCGATAGAGATGTTTTTGCTTCACTCTTTGAGAGCTGTTACGTCCTCCATCTTTATATACATTGAGGATTTAAACTGGAAGGTTTTCAGAAGGTTCCAGACCGGCATTTTGCAAATAGCTGTAAGTTTAATCTCGTCTTGGCGTGAATCTTCGTACAGTGGAGCCAACATGGCCCCCACACACTGAACACCACTGCTGTACGTTTAACACTAACATGTGATTGGTCTCCCTGTCTGTGTGTGTGTGTGTGTGTGTGTGTGTAGCCGAGGGCAGCGGGGTGATCATAGTGGTGATCATACTGTGTCTGCTGCTGCTGGCCATCCTCGGCAGTGTTCTCTACTTCCTGCATAAGAAGGGGAAGATCCCCTGTGGACGCTCAGGGAAACAGGAGATGTGAGTACCTCAGTCTCTGTGAAATCTGTCCACAGAACAACACAACAACAACACTGACCACAGCGGCGTAGCAGAAACAGCGAGCTGGTAGTCAGAGCTAACAGAGCTAATGAGCAGCTGCTGTCAGCTGGAGCTTTTAGCTTTGAGTCACTAGAAGCACATTCATGTTGTTTGTAAATGTTTCTGTGTGTTGTAGCTGAGCTAGAGGCTCAGAGAGGCTAACTCTCTCTCCACTCAGAGCGGAGGCTGGGGCAGGTGGGCTGCCCTCCTCTCATTACAGGGCATTAACTCATTTTTTGGGTTATTTTAAACAGTAGAGGGCACGTTGAGACATTTTCAACCCACTAAAACTCATAACTTTGGTAAAAATGTTCAATTTTAACAGCAGCACTGATGTGTTTCATCATAGTGTCGTCATATAATTCAGTTTACAGCTCAAAAAGCATCATTTTATGGAGGAGTACGTCTTTAAAGATTTGAATGGCACAGTTTTAGGTTTTTTCATGGGATTTGTTGATACTTATAAAAATATAGAATATATTATCCTTTAAAGAAGTTAGGGATGTAACTCTAGACTTATACCTCTTAGATGAAGTTGCAATCTTTTGTATTTTTTTATTTCTGACTCAAATTAAATAAATGTTTTGAATTATTATGGTTTATTGACTTATATAACATTTAAGCTCAGGTTGTACAGATGTTAGGGGCTATGAATCATTTCCACATACTCCGTCACAATGAGCAAAAACACCAACGCCGACTCTTGTTTCTGTCGTCAGTACCAAAGAGAAGACCACCAAAGATGACATTGTCGTGGAGATGAAGACCAACACAAAGAATGAGGAAGCCGTCCTCCTAAAGGCCGTCAACGGAGACAAAAAGGGCCCCAATGAGCAGGTAACTGCTGGATGAACGTCATTATTTCACAATGTAAGACTCCAGTTTGATCCTGTTACGTTTGTGGAGCTGAAATGTAAAGTTTATCCTGACGGTGGTGCGAGAGAAAAAACCCATAAAAACAGTTTTTCACAGATGCTTGTCAGGAACTCAAGGAGTTGGCTCACGTACGTGGTCAACATCCCCCCTCAGAGGCCGGGTAAAATTTTGGAAGTGTGTATTTTTGGTTGATAGCAGCAGCTTTTGCATCAATTATTTATTGGTTATAAATAAACATAGGCCAGCTGCGAGGGTGCAGAAACACATTCTGATGATACGTGGACGCCTGGACGTGATACAGACGGACAGGAGTTCAGATGTTTTATCTCTGTGCTTTAATGTGGGATTTTAAATGAGCTGTCACAGCGGCATGAAAGGAGCCATTGTCTGCTTGTTGCTTCTATAAACACAGACGTTATTTTAGCCTCTTTTTTTAATCATTTTGATGGAATAAAGTTGTTTTAGACGCCTAAGTTGAGAACTTACTGCACTGTTTTCCCAGTTTATTTGATCTGAATGTCAGACTTCCTCTGAGTTGATTGGAGGATCATTCAGATCACCTGTTTGCGGAGGCTGCGAGCGCTGACTCCCGATCAGTAATTGAGAGCAGCTTGGTGCGTTTCTCCTCTCGGCCAATCAGGTTGTGGCGACGCCCGTTCTTTAGTTCATAAGAGAGGCGGGGAACTTCGTGCCCGGGTCATTCTGGTCCTTCCTCAGCTTAGCGCAGACCTCGATCAGATACTGTCACCCAGAAACACTTCCCATTGAGTCTTTCTGTTTTTAACTGAAAGTGATTCTAAGCTTTTTGAAGCTCGTTTGAGTGAATATTAAAGAATAAGTTTCCTCTATGTTGCATCAGAGCAGATCTTAGTGCCACCTGTACAAACGCTGCCTGCATGCCTGCACCCTATTTTGTCTATTGGGTTGTTTTCTTTGAAACACCTTTAAATCCCATTTCCTTCCTGGAGAGGCATTAGTTTGTGTGTCTGTGAAAAGGACATAGATCCATATTTGGAGATTTGGATGAATTCTGAGCAGATTATTTCCTGTTTAAATGGACCGTACTTGTATAGCGCCTTTCTAGTCTTCCGACCACTCAAAGCGCTTTACACGTGCCACATTCACCCTTTCACACACATTCACTCAGTGATGGCAAAGTCCATCGAACAGAAACAACATTCATACACACTCACACACCGATGCAGGAATGGGAGCAATCGGGGTTCAGTATCTTGCCAAGGATACGACATGTGGCACCAGGAGCGGGGATCGAACCCACAACCTTCCGATGAGGAACGACCTGCTGCCCAGCCACAGCCCCCGGGAACTTTTTATAATTCTCTGTCTGTATTATGTATTTCTATCTATTTTTAACACTCATACAGACTTAATAGACTTCTTTTTGGACAAATTCAGTGTTTTCTTGTCCCTGATGCTTGACCATTGTTCTATTAGACAACGTTTCTTCACAGAAGTGAATGAAGTGCTGAGATATAGACCTGCTGTGTAGATTTTTTAAAGTTTTCCAGCACACCTTGATATCCAGAAGGCCTCACAACCCTTCATGAAGCTTTGGCGACCCCTAGTGGGGGTCCCGACCCCCAGGTTGGGAACCTTTTTGACCGTTTTTTGCTGCCGTTTCCAGATCTCATCAAACTAACGTGGCAACTACAACTACAAAAATAAGACCGGAAATTACATTTGTCTTGTTTTCCGTTGCTAAAATCACAAGTTGTTGTTGTTGTCGTTGTTGTTGTCGTTGTTGTTGTCGTTGTTGTTTGTGTGTGACGCTGATGTTTGTCCTCCTCTGTCCCTCCAGTAAAGTCCCCGATGGTCCAGGAGTGACGTTGTGCAGCAGGAGGCAGGACACACGAAGCCAGCAGTCAGCGCGCGTGTGTGCGTGTGTGTGTGAAACCACCTCACAGTCCGGACCCCCCCCAAATCAGGCTTTCATTCTCGGCAGTATTCAGTAGATTTACACAGGAACACACACACACACACACACACACACACCACACACACACACACACACACACACACACACACACAGGTATGTTTGTACAGATGTGTTTTTTCCTTTGGATGTTTGCTTCCTCGTTCAGTTTCATTTTGTTTTTGTATGCTCGGCTGTCGTTCAGTGTGTGTGTGTGTGTGTGTGTGTGTGTGTGCGCGTGTGATGGTGTCTCAGGTGCGTCATCACCTTTTTGTTTTTTAAAATAAAAGTGTATATATTATATATATTTTGTTATTTAAGATATTTTGGCACGTTCATGGGTCCAGGTGAGTTTTTCAGAGACCAAACGCTCTTCAGTCCCACTGAGAGGAGGCTCGTCAGTGTGTTCGCTCCGGTTTCACAGCCAACGTTTGTCAGGATTCATATTAAAACTGACCCCAAAAAAAGGGCGTTTCCTCCAGAATTCAGTGTCTAATGTGGCTTGAAACGCCGGATAATCAGCACGCACACTGGCAGCCTTCTCTGGCAAACTGCTGTCAAACCCTTGTACTGTTTGTAAATACATTGTAGTGTACAGACCTGCTAGTGGTGGCCTTGGACTGTTACTGAAGGTGAAAAGGTCAAAGGTTAGTGATCTGCTGTGCCTGTTTTTTGAGAATGCATCATACACTGAATTTCTTTTTCTTTTGGGTTTGCTCGGTGTGTTTGTTCTTGGTTTCCACTGCGAGCTAGTCGGGCCTGAAGAAGTGTTTCCAGTGTTTGTGAGTGTTTGTGACGTGTTTGCTGCAGATAAAACACACACTGTACTGCGAGCTGCAGCGTTTTACTTTCTCTGCTTACTGTCTGAGTTTCTGTTTGTGTCTGTGCAGTGTGAGAGTCAACTGGCAGACGCTTACACACTTTTTATCAGATAATCCGTCACAGGGAACATTGAGTTCTATCACTCGGTGGTGATGCAGTTTTTACTGCAGGTTGATGAGAAAGGTCTGCTCTGTGATGGATCTGAACTCCAGCAAGTCTCGAGTTTCAACGTTGTTTTTTTCTTTTAAATGAATGTAAAGCAGTGGCTGTGGAAGGTAGAAATACACTTCATTTCTATCTGCAGCTCCCCCAGTTTCTCATTATCACCACATTCACACGGCAGAGCAAAGAAACCAGGACTCACTGTTTCGAAGGCGTTTCAACAATCTACCGTCTGTACAGGAGCAGCAAATGACAAACCAGCCTGTTCTCTTAATCGTGTATGAAAATATTTATGGAACAAAAACAAACTCAACATAAAATTGTAACATTCCCGAATCCGAACAAAGACGGCAGCATCCCGTTAGGTTCACCACTCTTACTCTTCCACACAAAAACAACAAATCACATTAATCAATGACGGAAGAAAAGGCAAAAACATAACCAAACATAAACCTCAGAAAATGACAACAAAACAAGAACAGCAAAAAGAAAATGTTCCAAAACAACACAATTAAAAGATATATCTACGTAAGATTCGTGTTTTTCTATTTTCATACACAAGTTTTTATATTTCTTGTACAAAACAATAAGGGCGATGTCATTTCTGGACACTTTCTTAAAGAAAAAATGGTTAAAAGCCCCTTTTTTTAAAATCCAGATGAGGAAAAGGGTTTTTGGAGATTCTTGAAATGCCTTCAGACGAGCTGTAAGTGTTTCTGAACGAACTTCTGGCTCTTGTTGTGCAACAAGTGGACGTTTGAATGTGATGATGATGGATGGGGGGGGACAAACTGCAGCTGATTTCTAGTAACTATTAACATGCAGCAACACTGGAGCACTGCTTGTAAAGGCCCGTGTTGTGAATACGATGTTACTGATCATTGGTTAGGTTATTGTGAAAAGATTTGTTTTGTTGCGCTACGTTGCCCAGATGACTTGCAGCATTAAAAAAATATTAGAAGTAGTGAGATGTTTTCTGTTTTCCATTGAGGTGATAAAGTTGTTTTAAAAAAATAAAATAAATCCAGGTTCAGGACGTCCTCAGGCAAGAAGTGTCCTCGTGTGCGACGCTTTCATTGTGGTTTTAGAGAAGCCGCATAAAGCCATAACACCGACCGTCTCTGGTTTCAGTTCCACACAACTTTAAAATATTCTGTTTTTATTGTTTCACCGGTGAGAAAACAAGTTTGAAACATTGCAAACAAGTTCTTTCTTTTTCTAAATGTGTGTAAATTAAGTACTGTACATGTGATTCTTGATGCTTGCGTTTTTTTTTATATTTTTTGCAAGAAAATAATGCCAAATAAAAAACGTTTCATTTAAAGAGACTGGTTGTTTTTATTATTCCTGCAGAGGTTTGTATGGAAGCACATTACTGCCAATGTGATGGGATATATTGAGTTTCTCATTATTGTTGAGTCAATATTTTGAGTTCTTCATCATCAGGTTCAGTCATTTTTATTGATTTTGAAACTTGATTTGCAGTCAGAGGCACAGACATAAAAAACAAATGATTCCTGTACATATAATTTACAGTAAACCGTAATCCAACAACATCAATGCAAAACAATGAATGTGCAAGATGCTAAAACGTGTGCAAATAAAGCAGAGTTATTGCTCTTCAGCCGAGGTTCTCTAAGTCTACAGCCTGAGGAAAGAGTTCCAGACTCGAGGTGCAGGAGGTTCTTTATACAGTCCTGTACAGATGTGACCTTGTGGAGAACCTGCTGGTCAAAGACAGACATCAGGAGAGTCTGTGGGACCTTCAGGTTCAGGTGGTTTTTATCCTTTTTTATATTTAGGTTGCCGTACCAAACAATCAGATCTAACAGATTCGACTTATAAATCAAGGACATTATTTTCTGTCCACATCAAAAACATTTAGAAAGTTCTTCATCAAATTAAAGATATTTATACTGTTCATGTTCTTTTCTGAATTACTAAAATTATTCTGTCACAAATGTGCTTCCGTAGATACGAAAGAGCACTTGGTGTTGGAATGAGATCACTTTTGGGGCTTTTTCTTTGGCCCCAGGGCTCAACGCGAACCAGAACGGCAGCGAGTTCAGTCCCACAGCGAGGAGACAGGAAGCGGCGCTGCCTCCAAACCGCTGTCAGCGCGAGCTGGAAACGACTCCAACAGTAGCTCAGGTTTCTATCTGGAGTCTGGAAGGACCCAAAAACACAGCTCACATCTGCAACGAATTCAGGCTCCTCACAGCTGCCCTGCTTTAAAACAAACCAGCCATTCTCTGTTTTATTCAGTGCAAAGTGTAAAACTCCAGGTGACGACAACATAAAAGGGAGAAAAGTGAAAAGGAACTCTTCAAAAGTCAAAGTGAAAACAGCATCTTTCTGATCTCCTTTTAATCTGCATTTGCCCCAAAGAGAGAAATGACATGCTGATGGATAATGGTTCTCCACCTGGGGGTCCCGGTGTATCGATATAAACTGACTGTTCATCAGAGGTTCTGTGAATATAGGTTGCGTTCAACTCTTTAAAGTCTAAACAACCAAAGATCTGATCGAACGATGAGAAGAAAACACTCAATAAGAAGTCTATTAAAGGTGCAGTGTGCAGGATTTAGTGGCATCTAGCGGTGTAGCTGTCCCTCGCTTCACCTTTAACACAGAATCAGAAGCCAATAGAAGAGGTACCAAGTAACTTATCTATACTGTACATTGTTTTGGGTGAACCCACAGGTTTGCTGGGGATGAACAGTGTTAATGGTTAATTAATTCATGGCACACTTAAATATTTTGAGTCCACATGGTCAGTGTACTTTGCGGGAAAACAACCTAATCTATAAATAAGGGGAACAAAAGTTTTAGTTTTTAACTTTGTTTTAATTTTCAATAAATAAACCCTCATTTTTTGATTTTCTCATTTCAAAGTAAAAATCAGTTGGCTGCAAAGTACACAGACCGAACACCCTTGGGCCTGTAGTAATATTTCACTCATGACCTCAGTGTTACAATTCTTCCTTGTTAAAAACCTGCCGCCTACATTACCCACAATGCAACTCAACTGCAGACAGTTTGGTCATAGAATCGTGCATTATGTTCCTAGTGGCTCCAGAGTTCTTTCTGACTGCACACCTCCCAGATTTCTATTTTTTATTTTCAAACTGTTGTCTTCAGCTGCAACTGACGCCGACTCAAGTGACATCACTTGAGGCAACCACATCAGCTTTCACCCGACGCCTGGAGCCACAAAAAGGCTTTTTCACAGAAGCAGAAGAACTCTGAAAGATCTGTAAACTGACTTTAAACGTGTAAAATGTCACTTGAAATCAACTTAAGAGGTCAAAATCAGTGAATGCAGAGTTAATTATTATAAAGACTTAGTGTTGGACATCCTGTACTGTCTTTACTTTTCTGCTTTAGGCACTAATAACTAATAATTCCTGCTAAAATACACATAAGTTGAGACTTCTGCAGACAAACTGTTGACAAAATAACAAGGATTTTATTGTGAGGCAATAAGAGCAGTTGACTTACACTCTAAAAGATTCCCCCCGTAATGTTATTTAACAGCTTTAAAGTCAGAACGGACAAACCACACAGATCAGATGTTAAAGAAAATACTGTTTAATTAAAAATCTTAATGGCTTAGGCATGAAAACATGGCAACAAAACGAATGCTGAGGATATTAAAAAGACAATAAATAAAATCATATTTACACAAGCAACAACAAAGCAATGACAACTTGTTTTTTTGTTTTGTTTTTTTTTAGTAGGCAAGTTCTTGTTGTGAAAAAGGCTAGTAACCATGATTACGCCACACACACCATGAACCGGTGGGTCTGAACCAACTCTCTGTGTGTGTGTGTGTGTGTGTGTGTGTGTGTGTGTGTGTGTGTGTGTGTGTGTGTGTGTGTGTGTGTGAGAGAGAGAGACAGTGGCAGTGATTCAACGACCTCGAGCGTAATCCTTCCTCACACAGCGGCACTTTCACGGTCAGGAGTTAGTCGAGGGATCGGCGACACATTCTCTGATTGATGATCAATCTACACGAGGACAATTTAGGTCAATGTACAGTGTTTCCTTCCGGTTTGAACCACATTACACTTCCATTACGTCCGTTGTCAAGAGCTTGGAGGATGAGTTTACACACATGGAGACTTGTTTCAGACTTAATTTTAGGAAAAAAGAAAAAGTCTTAAAACCTGGACATGAGTTAGCATTTTAGCTTCACCTCAAAGTCAGTGAGGTATTTGGTTTAAATAAGTTCTGTGGTTAACATAAGCTTCAGACATTTTCACATTTTGTACTAAGACATAAAATAAAGTCAGTAAATTTAGAAGCTTTCACGTGTCTTAAAGGCGGTTGCTAAAAAGACGCTAAATGAGACACAGAGGTTGTCGGGCACACAAACTAGGCTAACTCAAACTTTACAACTTGTGGATTTTAATTACAAGTTTAAACTTCAGTGGTGGTGCAGTTTGTTTATAGCCCAACGTTAGTGAAGTATTTACAGTACAGAATGAAAGAGGAACCAGGAACGATGCTAACTTATAATCCCTGCAGCACTCTGTACACGAATATCAACTGTGGGAAGGTTTTTATCACTACATCTGGTTTCCATACAAAGTAAAAGAAGCTAAAGTGTTAGCATGTCAGAGCTCTGCAACACAGGAATACTTCAGTACGGATGCACACTGCATTCACTAAATAAAAAAACAATGAAATGTTATACAGTAAAATGTGTAAATAGTACCTAGTTTATGTTTTACTGTGGTGAATGCAGCGTACAGGCGAACAGCGTCATACAGAGCAATCAGTATTAAATTCAGACTGTTTCATAACCAGTTAATGTGTTCAAACCTTAAACACAAGCTTTAACTACCTCCTGTGACGCTGTCTGCATATCTAATGGCCCCCATGTGGAGAACCACCTCCAAACTCTCGACATACGCTGACTGGAAGTGAATATCTGAGTCAGACACTGTGCACATTCCCATTTCACTGAAACACGGAGGAGCGGTTTTGGTTTCGTCTGCAGGGTGGGATGGACAGAAGGCACATTTACGTGTTTCACCGCGGAAATCAAAAGTGACATTTGAGGATCTATTCTGGAGAAAAAAAAAGGAGAAATTGCACTGTTCAGACGTGTTTTCCTCTCCGTATGTGACAGTGGGGATGAGACACTCAGCCCTGTCTTGTTTCTGGCAGTGTTCCTAAATGTGTGCATTAATATGGAACAGCCCTCTCGCAGCGGATTTGTATTCTGCGCTCCTGTAGTCCTGGACTCGAGTCAAGACTCCCGGCTTTGATGAGTCAGCCAGCTTTTCATCTTTAGCTCTAAATGATCCTGTGGTCGGGTTAATATGCAGGACCCTCATGTGGCCACTGATGGAGTGATATAGCATCAAAGAACGGGAGTGACAGCTGCTCGTTATTGGTCCACTGGAGAGAAATAAGAAAAAAACCTGAGTGAAATCCACAACTTCAGACGACTGTTTGCGTGTGAATTTGGAGGTTTTGTTGGTAGAAAGGATGTGAACGTCCCCAGGCCTCAGACTGATCACAAACTCTGACATTTGAGCCACTCGGTTCATTAATATATGACTTTACAAGAGCCCGCATGCTAACATGCTCACAATGCCAACGCTGAGCTTTTTACATTTCACATGCTAACATTTGCTAAATAGCCCTCAACACAAAGCACAGCTGGAGCTGAAGAGTCAAAACATCTGCACCAAAATTCAAGTTCATCCACGTTATAATTGTTGAGATGTTTCAGTAATATGATAAAAACAATCTCATTTATATCTTACAGGTCTTTAAGATTATTCAGTTCATTTTCTCAATTCATCTTTTGGTCTATATAATGTCCCAAACTTGTGTGTATGTGTATATAAATAAACGCCGGGTTTGTCCGATCACCCAAAATTACTGATTTGCTATCAAATGAGACAAAAACAAATCAGCAAATCCACACAATGGAGACGCTGGAACTACAAAAATGTTATGTTGACTTAAACGATTCTAAAAATAAATAGATTCATTTTCTGTTCAACTAAAGCCGGGCACACACTGTACTCCTACTGTTCAACTCAACTGTCTGCGAGCCAGAGCTCCACGGTTCACAACCGTCAATAAAGCTCTGTTTGAAAGCTCTGAGGGCAGGTAGAGAGTGCAGCCTTCGTCACCTGTGCCGTCCTGTGTGCCCGTTGTTGAAACTCCTAAAGAAAGAGGACGTTCCTGTTCACGTCAGTCGTGACGGGAGGAAACATCGAGGAGGGGGAGGTGTGCTGCTGCCACCGCTCGACCAGCCTCCGTGTTTTACGTCCACTGTGTCACATTCAGACGCTCTGATAGCCACTCTGGGCAGCGAGGGGAATAAAGGCACAGACTTTGGGGGAACTTTGGGGGAACTTTGGGGACATCATCCCACCAAAATTTTGGACTCATCAGAAATTCATCCGAACATCAGACGTGTGTTTGGGAGCAGCTGATCAGTCCTCACTCCCCCCCCTTCATAGCAAATGACTCGGACTAGACTCAAAAGAGTTGTGCGGCTCAGAAATCGGATCAGAAACTGGCTCAAATCGTACAGCGTGTGCCCAGCTTTATCGATTCGTCATTCCAGCTCCAATATCTGATCAGGACGCCTACTAGCCGGTGAATTATCAACATTCATCCTGCAACAAATCTCATGAACCGCTGAGTGACTGAAACGTCTGAGCTGCACGAGATCCAGACCAGATCCAGGACTGTGGATACACTGGCACAGAGTGAAACAGGAGGAAGTGACTGCGTCTGGGGGAGGCAGAACTGACCTTTAATCTTTAAAAACAGTGAGTGTATGTAAATATAATGCAGGGAAGGCGAGAATAAAAATAAAAAAAATAAGATCGTTGGAATGTTTCTGTAAGAATGAGTCGTGAGTTTGAGCTCGTCCACAACACTGCCGACGTTCTGTCATCCTCTGTGTGTGCTTTCATTACATTCAACCCACTGAGTACCTGAGTCCACATGACAACCTTCAGTGTTTTGCATTAGAGCTCAGTGTAAATCCCTTCAATCTGACCTCAGTGAAGCTGTTCTGGGTGCAAATGTGTCACTGAGCTAAAATACCAGCACATGTAAAAGTCCTATAAACTACAGAGAAGCTTTAGAGTAAATAAACCAGCCTTCAGTGTCAGACCACCTGAAACAGCGGCAGGCAATCATGGAATGAAATGACAAAAATAAACTTCTGAAAAGATTCAGCCATTTGTTAGTACTACACACAGCACAACACCTTTTTTTTTTTTTTTAAATGAGTACTTAAACATTAAACTTGTTATTTTCGTTAATAGAACCATCATTGAACCGGGAGCTGAGAGGAAAATGTGGAGTTCGACTTGTCAAATACCATCGACAACAGAGCGAGCCACGGTGACGCGTACGACGTGAAGCCCTGCGATACTGCACTGCGACTTAACATTCATCAGCGTGAGCACACACACACACACACACACACACACCACGGAGTTAAATCACTACATTTTTCTGACCGAAGAGCTCGTCGTCGCTACATGTTTTTTTCGTACGCCACAATGTTTTGCCAAGAAAAAGCCACCAAACTGGAACGGCTGCCAGCAGCGGGACGCCGAGTGGAAAAGCAGAAACTCCGCAGGGTTCCCTCTACTGATCAGAGTCACTGTAGCTTCAACACACTTAGCTTAATGAGAGAAATGTACTCTGACTGAGGGGGGGGAAACACTGCCACGGTACGAGTGGACCTCAGCAAAAGTACAACAGGGTCAAAGCTTGGCTACAGAGAGCTCACATTTAAAGGCTTCGGTTCTCCGTGTATGCTGCGTTCAGGTCATACCGGACTACCGATGGATACGTCCGCTCTCAGGAGCTTCGTGCTCCATCTGGACTTACGAGTAAACAAGCGGTTTTGAGGCTTCAATATCAACGACTTGGCATCGGCGTAGTCCAACATAATCAAAATAATATATTTCACTTAGAAAAACAAGTAATACCTGTTGCAGTTTGACTTTGGATGATATTTCAGTGACTACAAGTTGCAGACGATGCAGCCGCCATCTTCCGATACGACGTGAACGCAGCATCACTCCTCAGAGTAAAGCCTTTTGGCAAGTACTTGTGGCTCTGCAGGAAAAGTGCTTGGTAAATGCGATCCATGATAATGGCACAGAGTGGAGACGGAGACAAGACTGAGAGGATGGTGGTTGTGGGGTGGGAAGGGGTGGGCGTTGCCTGGAGTGACTATGTGGCGATGTGTGCCGTGGAGGGGATGGAGACGAACTCGCGCAGGATGTTCTTGGCCGTCTCCAGGTTGTTCTGGGCGATCATCAGGGCTTTCTGGATGTCCTGGATGGAGTAGCCTTGGGACATCAGGCATTCGATCTCCCCGTTTAGGGCCAGGCTTCCAGGGCCTGCCGCCGCCGGAGGAGGAGGTGGTGGAGGCGACGAGGAGGCAGAGGAGGGACCAGGGAGGTCCGGCAATGGAGTGGGAAATTCACGGTTTGCAGGCCGAGGGCGCCGGTCGGAGTTGGCTCGGCGTGGGAGGGGTTTAGGGGGACGCTCGGGTTCGCCGCCTGCTGCAAACATACCTGGAAACACACAGGTTAGAAGACAATCAGTAAAAGTTGGATTCATGCACCAGAGGGAACGCAGAGGGGCAAACACGAGGTACTTCTCTCTCCGTTGGCTCCAACTATACAAACTGTACATTTACTACCAGATTGACAACTTCCCTTCCCTCCCTCTCTCTCGCTCCACCACAAACTCAATGTGCACACAAACAGGAGCTGCTACTCTTATAACAGAGTATATTTAAGGGACGGTGTTCTTGCTGCGTCTGCACTTCGGAGTTTAACCAGGGCTGCCATTTTTAAAAATCATGGTCAGAGAATAACAAAACAAAAATGTGCGGTTGCTGTCGATAGTTGCTTGGCTACTTTAAAATGGCAGCTTTGTGCAGGATGTCCCGTGTATGAAGGACCCAAATACCGTACTATACTGTAAACCCTGGTGAAATGTCAGGAATGAAAACATACATACTGTCCAGTTTAAATCTAGAAGCGTTTATAGGAGCATGAATTATTCTCACAGAAAAATCCAACCAGTCTACCGCTACCTTGACTTAACATCATATATAATGGGGGTCTGGACAGGTTTTATGCATCCACCAGGTAAAAAAAAACCCCCATAATTTAGGAGCCTAGTAGAGATACATACTGGCTTCTACCGCGCTGTCAATGCTGAGAGTGCTGAAGGCAGCTGAGGGACCGCCGATATCCGACAGGGCTCTTCTGGTGGGGGCGGGAGGGACGACAGGTCTGGGACAGTCGTACTCGTAAACATCCTCCTCGCTGGTGTCCTCCTTCATGTCCTGGGAAACCACAGCTGAATGTTGAGGGTGGTCTGAAAAACAAACACCACATTGGGGGGGGGGGGCTCAGCAGCAGCGTTATACTGCTGCAGGAATACAAAGATAATTAGGTGTGAGTGTTACCCAGGTCAGAGGCCTGTGCTGTCTCGGAGGAACCAGCCTGGGCTTGGATGTTACACATGGACTCGTAGACTTGGGGGTCCTCAGAGTCACTGTCACCCACCTCACTGCTGGGACAAAGAGAAAGAAACAATCTCATTCTTTATCAGGGTTCCTCTTTTTAAGAAAAACTTTTCCAGTAGTCGTTCACAAACAGTCATAATTCACCGGTAGGCCTCGTATGGACACATTTAACTCTGATCTTACTTCAGTTTTCCTCAAACTCTAACATCGATGGCTCGACACCAAAACCACAAGACAGAAACTACAAGTCTGATCCACTCCACGTCTGCTAAACCCGCTTTTTAGTATCAAAGCTCAGCCTACAAAGAGTCGAGTTGCAAACCAAATAAGCACCCAGGTTTACGTAGACGATCTGGGCTCAAATACGATTAAAATTTCCCAAAAAAAAAGATTATTTCCAGGATATTTGGTCATTTTGATCAATTTCCAGGTGTTTCCATGACTTGCATTCTCCAGGTTTTCCAGCGAGCACATGGGAACCCTGTTTATGCCTGATATTTGCACAAAATCTAACACTCTTAAAGTAATTTTACCCCAAATGAATCTGTGGATTTTCAGTTGCTGAAATTAAGATTAAAACGCGACCAAAATAAAGCAAACAAACCATTTTTAGCACAATATTACCAATATATGAGAAATTACATTCTATAATCTGGGATACATTTCAGTACATATTTAGTACATTGAATAAAACCCTTTCCTGCATGACATAATATCTTCTAACATCTTCTGATGACACAACTTGAAGTCTGCCTCAGGAACATCACTAATGACACTACGATATTAATAGTGCTGCTTCTGTCGTCTTTCTGTTGGTTCTCCCTTCGGTCTGTGGATTATAGTCCTGCATTTAATGACTCTGTCATCATTTCATTGAAGCAACAAGCTGAGAGACACTTCTTGTCAAACATTTGCTTCATTTTCTTTTTAAATTATTTACCCAAGGAGGTGAAAACCAGCAGATAATGAAAGGGAGGTGTTTGTGGGTTTAGGAATGAGACACAAAACAAACCTTAGGCTCTAGAGCCCTCCGGTGGCCACAACTATAACTGCTCCTGACTTTTTCTAAGAGTCGAGCTCTGAATTTTACATTTAGTCGACATTTCAATGGTCTTCACTTTCAGTTGTTTTCCCTCTACAACTCAACGTAAGTTGACTCTAGCTAATATATTAAAGTGATGCACTGTCCATGCCAGAATATTTGTTTGTTTGTTCCAAACTTGTTACCTTATCGCCCTTTTCAACTGCATGAACTTAGATACAAAAACATGTGAAAATAGGTGAATAACTTCAACAACCTGGACCCTAAGTTAACTAAGAGGGACAACCATTGTTAAAAGGTCCAGTATTGAGCGAGAGATCTTTGTAACACTTCATTCAAACTCTGGCTCTACTCAACGTTTTGTTCCCGCTGCCTCTCTGATGCCTCACATCCCTCTCGCTCGCTCTTCTCCCGATTTTTTCACATCTAACTAATTAAGAGTTTATTTTGATCAAACCAAGACGGTTTTACAATGCCAAGTAAAATGAATGTTATTGTTAATAGAGTCATGTGGCTTTGAACAGAGCAATTCAAATGGCTGTTTCTGGTTAAACAAAAAGATCTCTCTCTCTGGTCTTTTGGAGCCTGTCAGTGGCAAAATCCAACACAGTTAGTGGACGTACATTGACAAGGTTTACATTTCAAGTTTCCCTCACAAAAATACTGAAATAAAATACTGGACCAATTTCAAAGATTGTTGTCCCCATTAAACACAGAAACATGGGAAAACAGGGTTGAAAGTTACCCTTAAACACACACATGAAGCTCCCACAACCTGGAACCTTCTTTGCATTTCTGCTGTATTTTACAAACAAGTACATTTCAGATATACAGCATTCATACAGCTACACTGAGACCAACTTCATCATCCAAAAAGCAGGCAGCGAAAGGAGGAAATAAGTGTTACGTATTGTTGTCCTGTTTACCCGATGTCGTTGTCGTGGTGGTTCGCCTGGACTGGTGGTGGGGGCACCAAGGAGCCCGTTATGACCCAGGGGGCACCAGAGGCTGGAAGAGAGGTGGGACTCATGTACTCGTTCTCCTCACCGTCAGACGACGGCCTCTCCCCGCTCGGCACCGCGGGCGGTGGCAGAGATCTGACCACATACAAAAAAACAAAACACAAAGCATGATGGGATTGTCTCAATGTTGTCCTTTTGTGGTTTATAAATGAGGTTCTCTAAAATGATAAAAACATGCAGTAAATTTGAGTGTGGAGGTTCATTCTTGACCTCAGGAATACATATATTGTACTTACTCAACTGTTCCCAAAGTAATATTATATTTTTCTTTAATCTCTATAGAACTTTTTTACTGCACTGGGGGGATAAAAGTGGTCTAAGAACTTTATCAGGATAAGAAAGCTTTCACATTGGCACAATCTGACCCCGACTTCAGCCCAGGGTTTGCTTGGGACTTTGTGGGTTTTATCCTGCCAGTGTGATAGAGGGCTAAAGTAAACAAACATTTAACCCAGAGCTAGTCGAAGCGCAGTGTGAATCGTAGAGAATGAGTTATGTTCATTTTACCTCTCTGTTGTAATGGTATCAAAGTCTGAAGTCTTTGTGGAGTGGGACAAAAAAAAAATCTCAAGGTTCATCTGCCAAGAATAAAGTACACGACTTTTCTTTGGTGTAATACAAGATATTCCACAAGATAGATAGATACTGAATAAAGTATGGAGGGATTGGAAAACAAGAATGTGCTTGACCCAATCTCTAAATTCAATCTGGTTTAAGCCATCCAGCTCAACCTCCCTCTCTAAATTATATTGCCCGACATCTATAAACCAAAGTCTAGATTCTGTTATGACTAGAGTTGGGTACCAAACTCAAATAAGTCGGTGCCACATTTCAGTACCTGAGAACACATGTGGGTGAGAGAGTACAGTATAGTATAGAGAGAAATCACAAAACTGTCCAGGGCAACACGTCTATCACCTGGTCAAATACAAAACATCTCTAAAAGCTGAAGACTGTCACATTACCACGTGTAATAGCCTGAAAACAAAGTCCCTGCAGCCAGCACTGAAGTTAAACCTTCCGTGTAAAACGAAACATTGAGTCAAGCATCAACTACTTCAGGTAATGAATTATCTAGTTGGACAAGTTGTTGCTGGAGATAACAGGGTGTTATCGCGGTGATAACAGCTTTAGGGGGACACTTATTATTAGATTAGTATGCCTGTGAAGATTTGTGAATGACATACAATTTACAATATGTAAGTGGCAGTGAGAGAAGTTTGGACCTTGGACCAACCCTAGTAATGATAACTTGAATTCTCACGGTGTGTCCGTACCTCGCAGCCAGGCAGTAAACGGCGTTAGTAGCTGCCGTGGGTTTGCTTCCCTCTCCGCTGGTTCCGTTGCTCTGAGGGCAGGAGGACACGGATGTCAAGGCTTTGGAGACCGGACGCGGGACCATGTAGTTGGAAGCCCAGGCGGGCTGGTCGGGGGTGGAGGGCAGGGGTCTCCTCTGGAGTCTGGAGTCCTGGACGACCAGGGAGGGGCGATCTGGAGGGGGAGGAGGGGGCAGCTCTCGCAGGGCTGGAGGCAGAGGTAGAGGCTTGTCTCTGTGAGTCTGGGGGGAAGGAGGCGGGAGGAGATGGTGGTGTTATGAACCAGCAGAGATCTGAAGACGATTAGCGGTTTGCTGAGTGCGTTTGACCCTAACTGTCTCTGCTGCATGCACACAAATTATCACTGTGAACAGTCAGGCATTCATACGGTTGGCAGGAACCTGACTTCCAAAGTAATGCGTGCTTGCATGAGTTGTCTGACAGTCAAATTAATATTTCAAATAGTGTGTGATAGCTTTAAGGCTAGTAGGAAATGGTGAATCTTTTTAAAAACCAAATCCCCCCTTTTTTTCCCTGGGCAGTGTTTCCTTGATGAGCTGCAGCAGAGGGGAACACAAAGAGGGAATTTTCCACTAAAACTAGAATTACCGTCTCACGGTTCCGGTTTACATCCACGCCGGTCCAGACTAATATATGTAGGGAATACTTTGAAGGAATTTAATAAAAAAGGTATTAAGTTCTTTTTCATCCGTCTTTTTTTATTCCATTCCCAGAGAAACATGCTGTCTTTTAGAGGCTATTTTTAGAGAGCACTTGAAGCTCAATGTAAGCAAAACCAGCTACTGCTGTGTGTCTATTAATGCCGCACTACGTCCAAAATGATGATCACGATTGCGATAGTGGCCAGTTTCAAGCCAACTGACAAATACTTTGCACTTCCTGTGACGAGCTTACTTGAAGATAAAGGTCAACTTGTGGTTTTTACCAGTGAAATGCTTTTAATGTGAAGCTGCGGCACTAGGAAATGTTTGGTTTCTGTTAGCAGGGACTTCCAGGAATTTAAGTATTCAGGGTGTGTCAGCAGCGCAAAATTTGATATTTACTATGAGCCAAGCACCTATTTTAAAACATCAAAATTGTAGACGATCACGTTTATTTAATCGTGGGAAGCCAAAATCCTGATCGTGAAGTTGCCCTTTTGGATGTAAAGTAATGTTATCCTATTTAGACATTTATGGGAAATGTTGTCATCATTAGGGTATGAATTCTTGAGTTAGAGTCAAAAATGTTTACCAAACTGCCAAATAATCAAATCAGTTCATCCTTGAGTCCAAAAACTTTAAAGAAATTCCCTCGAGGCATTCTTGAGATATTTCAGAGGGTTAGCACAGATGGACAGACAACATGAAAACATAATGCCTTCAGTCACATCTGTCACCAGTGCAGAGGCATTAAAACTACAATAAGAAGACTGTTGCTTGTTAAATTCAGACAGCTGAAGCTCATGACTTATATTCGCTTCATTTGAACTTTAAATCGCTGTTGCACAGAATGAGGACGGGATTTTCTTCCACTGGAATCTCGTTTTTACATCCATTATACAGACCAATAACTCCTGAAATGCATGTACAATTTTAAGACATACTTGAATAAATGTGAATTTATCTTCTACGTAATTCTAATACACAACCAGGGGGTCTGCGTACACACACACACACACACACACACACACACACACACACACACACACACACACACACACACACACACACACACACACACACACACACACACACACACACACACACACACACACACACACACACACACACACACACACACCTTGGCTGTGGCTCCCTGTCCCTGTGCACTGTGGGAGCTGGAGGGTCTCTGCTGCAGGAGGTCCAGTCGGGGGGGCACCGGAGGCAGCTGAGACACTGGAGATGGTGGGCGCTCAACCTACACACAAACACACACACACATTGTTTAATGGCACTAAACTAACACAATGGATAAAGTTCTACAACAGTCCTTTCATTATTATTTAATGTTATTACCTTGGAGCAGGCCAGCCTGCTCATGACAAGGTGCTGGTCCTCCAGGCGATCATCCTCTTCCTCGTCATTGCCGGCAGCTTCCGCTCTGCTGGCACCCTGGAAACCGGCAAAGGAAGCCCCGCCGGCCTTCGGGTGGAAGGGGTCCACTACGATGGGCTCTGTGCCTTTAATCTCACAGCGGCAGAACGGGCAGCCCTGACCCTCCGACTCCTGACGCACACAGGAAGCAAAGTTTAAAGTTTGAAGGCCATCGTCAGATATGAGACACTCTTGTCTCCCTAACAGAGGGAGGACTCAAAGGATGACACGGGGAACTTGCAAACCAGCAGTAAGAATCAGCTAGACGGGCTGAGGCAATGATGAAAGCAAGTGAAGAATCTTTACATTCCTGAACTTCTTCCATATTTTTCATACCTAAATTGATTTTGTTCAAAGGCAAAATCCATAATCCAAGTCTAAAAAATGGTAATGTAGTTGAGAACTGATGGGAATACTGACCACTGAATTTCATTAACAGCAGATTTACGTTGAAGCTGAGCTTAAAAATGGTGACGTACATTTTTTTTTAATGACTCAGTAAGTGAGAAAACTTTGTGTCTGTGAAATTCAGAGCTCAGAGGATTACTACAGCTTCTTCTTAAACATCTAATTCATTTGAAGGACTTTTACACGCCCAATTCCCTCAAACTCAAGGACCCAACGCAGCTCAAGGTTAATTACTGGGAATATGATGATGTTGATATATGGTGTAAACCAAAATTAGCAACTTGTTCAGATCCTGTTCAGGAACCATGAGCCCTAGAGAGCGGCAGGTTTATTGTCCCTTCAGAGGACGACAGGCTTTATTTGTTGTGTGATCGAGGTGAAACAGAGTGAGGCTCACTTTTTGTTTTGCTGTCCTGTCTACGAGGACATTGGGATGTACTTTTTGGCAACATGTCCTCCATTTATGGTGATTTCTTTTGGTGGATCATTTATGAAAAACTTGAATTGTGCTTCAAGAAGTGATCTTTTCTTGTAGAAAACCTTTTGTGCCAAACTTGGGAGAGCCGGCAGAATAATTAATCTATAATCTGTAATGCTACTGTATGTTTGGTGTCTTGTAAACCCCCAGGCTTTACAGAAGCTCACAGACAACAACTAAAAAAGAGAGGGGCTTGAATTGTGTTCACGCCACTATGTTGTCTCAGGCCTTCTCTAACACAGCCCAGACAAAAACTAGACCTTGATGTTTCCCCTCAAATTCACAAACTTTCAAGGAACCACGTATCAAGAGTCACACTGATGTACTGATATGAATTATTGGGTCAATGAAATCTGTTGTTCTAACCACTTCTGCAATTTTTTTTTATATGCTGCCTTCAGAGATCGAGAGAGGCAACAGTCCGGTAGATGCGACGTGTTTCGTGACGTCTGTCGGGCCTTTGCCAGTAAGTGAGCCGGGAGCTCTGGGTGCAGGCAGCATGAAGGGAAGGTAAACATTGTTCATGTGCATTCACTACCCACATTGTCCACTATGATACAAAGCTGATTGAAAATCGGTAAAGTTTCAACAGCAAATTTCAATAAGATCAGATCAACAAATTTAAACCTCCAACTAAAATATGAGGAATTATAACACGTCACTCTATTTGAGAATGAATGGTCATCAAAAGGGAGTATTTTAGTCTGAAATTTAACAGTAACACTGAATCCACAAGCTTGTTTTAAATGCACAGCAGTAGGCAAAATAAAGATGCACTTCCCTTCTGACCTGTCAGGATTTACAGTCCTGCTCAAAAACAACATAATAAAACTTTATAGTGTGCCTCACCTGCCAGGCAGTCAGACAGGAAGTGCACATCAGGTGCCTGCAAGGCTCGATCTTCACATCCTTGTCGTTCTCCGCACAGATCTTGCAAAGCTGGAAAGTGGAGCCCATCTCACAGTACAGCTCGTACTGCTCCTGCAGGGGTAAAGGAGGAAGAGGAGACACAGATTCGTTCATTATCTTGTAATAAAGGTCTAATATGCATCTGTGTCTACCATCGATCAACCACTACAGTGGTCTATATTGTTAGTAGAAGAGGGTCGACTGGTTTGCAGATGGATAACAAACCTGAGTGACTTTGATGTGGTCCTGTGGGGAAGGTTCACACAGCCCTGTTAAGTCTGGATTCTGTGTGCGTCCATCTGGGAACAGATAGCTAGAGGACCGCCGCATACATAAACACACACACACACAGAAACACACACACACACACACACACACAGGTCAGTCAGTATTATAGAAAGTGAATTAACTACAATAAAACCTAAACAATGAGTTAAAAGATACTTAAATGCTTCGTAGACTTGAAGGAAATTGCAGAGTTTGTAATCATTTTTTCTGAACATAGACTCCAGCAGCTTTACAGCCTCAGCTGAATGATGATGTTTATTTAAGCTGTAGTTCCTCTCATGTTCCTTATTTTTATGTCACAATACTGTATATTTAGTAATTTATTGCTGGAATGGTGACAGAGTTCCAAATAATGAAGTGATCAAATATAACCTTCTGCTCAGAAGATTACGACAGTCTTTTTGGCTTTTTCAGGGCCACAGTGGAGGAATGTTTGATACTTTAAAAGATATTCCTTGCATGCTGCAACACATACAAGAAATGTTATTTTACTCATTCAAGCACTATGTGCTGACTTGTTAAAATACACACCAGTGATGTATGCGACTCTACAGAATGCACCAAAGCCTTTAGCTTTTTTTTTCCAGCTATGTCGGTAAATTAAGGGTTTAATTCCCTCAAACCAATGTTGATTGTTGGAAAGACTAACATGGACAGTTTTGGTGAGTTTTATTTTGTTTCTGTCCACTTTGAATGAAGTTACGATGATATGCAAGGTAAAATTACCGTTTTTGTCTCTGGAGTCTGGTGGATAGAAATATTTCAGCTGTTTTTGGTTAAACTGAAGGTCTGTCTCAGTTGGGATCCTTTCCATAATGCTGTCAAACACTTGAATAACAATATGAGCCTGTCAGTTGCAGAAACAACAACATCTAGTAGACATATTTTCTCCTCCTGTCCCATGGCAGCCACAACAGGCCATTTTGTGGTTATTTTCTCAACTAGCTCGGTCAATTAAGGGTTTATTTCAACCAAAGCAGCATTAGTGATTGTTAGAAAGATGGTTTGGTTTGAGTTTTATCTTGTTTCAGTCCAGTTTGAAGTGTGTTTTATGATTATCTGCTAGGTAAAGTCACTGGCAGCACCCATTGTTTTAATCTGGTGCAACATCTAGTTCATCAAGTGAATTTATCATTTTAAGAGTGTGTTCTGATCTTTGGTATAGTGGAGATTACAGTGGGGTGAAGCTGTAGAGCCACACAGGCAGTGATATGTTAGTTTATGCATAAACTACGACATAATGTCCCTTAAGATGTATAAATTGGAGCATTGACACTGTGTTGGACTCACAATCCCTCTCTGTATCCATCAATGAGGGCTTGGAAGAGTGGTTTGTTATGTGGGATGGTCTGCAGGATGTTCCCATCGGCCGTCACGTAGCCGATTGCCCACTGGCCCAGCCGAGTGCAGCTCAGCCTGAAGATGTAGCTGTGAGGAAGACGACAATGTCAACCAACCGGACTCGCTTGTAAAAGCGTTGGACTGCAGCAGTACGTTCAACGCAGCATGAGAAGAGCTCGTCTGTGTCTCACCTGCCGGGTTTGTGGATGAACCTGTGCAGCCGAGCCTTGACCTCGTCGTAGGTTAGGAAGGCCATGTAACCGGGGTGTGTGACCGCCAGACTGTTCCAGTTCCTTAAAAGAGACGACCATGGCTACACCACACACACACACACACACACACACACACACACACACACACACACACACACACACACACACACACACACACACACACACACACATACAACAAATTAGTGTTCAAGCTACAGATATAAATTGTTTTTGGCTTTGAGCCTTATTTCCTACATCTGATTGTAGGATATGCAGACAGGATGCGATTCACCACATTTCCCATTACGCCACAGTTTCACACTGAACCTAAAATATTTTTAAACCTTTTCTTTTTTTTTGTTTTTCCGTTGCTTCAGCAAAGCCTCTCTCACTCACAGTCAGTCTGCAAAATATCTGCAATCGATAGACTAGTGGACAACCTTGCTTCGCTCTACCCCTCCTGTACGGCCCAGTGGACAATCTCACATGTTCTGCAGAGAAACACGGAGAGAGAGAGACTTTCTCTGACGTGTACACTACACGGTGGATATTTTGCAAGGACTGACCGGGTAAAGCAAGAGTGAACAGCAGTGGTGCTAACGTCATGTTGGTTTCGATCTTTTTGATAGTCTACGTCTTTAACAACAAGCCTCGTCCACCAGCGGCTCACCTGCTTTTTGTGAAAACTCACTTACTGGTTAGCAGTCCTATTAGCTGGAGAGAGGAATGAAACTGAGGAAGAGGGCCCATTAGTTATATATCATAAGAGGGCCCATATTTAGTAGCGATGAGATAATCAACAAGAGACCAAATGTCTACAGTACAGCAGCCTTAAAACCTGAAGTCCAGAATTTCGTCAGTTCCAGTTTCCATTTAGAGTCCGTCTTGTCTACTTCTGCATCGACACTGCAGACTCACTCAGAAAGTGGTGACCGAGGCTGAAACATGCCAGCTGTGCACTCAGCTAAAATTGAAAATGTTTTTCCCCTCCATACAGCATAATGTTTGATCCTGTGAACTCGCTGACTGAAAGCTTCTAAATGTTACTGCCCGTCACTAAAACGCTACGTGGATCAGTGGATACCGCGACATCGCCCAGAGTGCTCTGCTGTTACCTGGAAGAGCCGAGTGAAGATGTCAAACTCAAAGACAGAGATGTAGTCGTTGCAGGTGAGGTCGATGGTGGACTTGAGGGCCATGGCCTCCAAGCCCGAGCTGATGGGGTGAAACTCGTGGAGAGCCTGACGAAACGTCCTCCATGGCACTATGGTCCTACAGTACAGGGGGGGGGGGAGTTAAAGGTTTAAGAGGAAACATTTATCACAGTTTGAAAACCACACATTGTGCTCAAAATCTAAAGCTCAGACTGCAACTACCAGACAGAATGAGTGTGAAAGAAAGGCTAAAACTGAGGCAAAAAAATAGGGTAAAATCAAACAAATGTGCAGCTGAATGTAAAAACTTGCAAAACAAGTTCTAAGTAAACTTCAACATTTGCAAGTTTAGAGAGCCAATGCCTGAATTTAAATAGATTTCTTTTTTCAATATTTGATTAAGTAAAAACTCACTTGTCCCCAAATGACCTTCTCCAAAATTCGGCAGCGTCAGCTTTGGTGATCCTGAAGTTGTCGCCCTGAAATAAGCCATTTGGGAAGATGGCTTTTAGCTCTGCTAGCATGTGACTGAAGATCAGCGACAGCTTGGTGAGGTTTCGCCTAAGTAAGCGAAAAGAGGAGAGAGAAACGATACAAACACAGGTCAGTTAGTGAGGGATATTATCAGACTATAGCAGTGTAAACTGGGTATGTTTGGGTTTGGGGCTGTTGGTTGGACACAACGTTTGTAGCTGGTTGATTTAAGACTTCTACATTCCCTTACATGCTGATTGAACCCCTGTTTTCCAGCTAAGGTTCCCCACTGTTTTCTAGTTTGAAAATACCGTAAGTCCTTTACCAAAGCCAGTTTTTAAAAATCTTAACTATAAACTACAATACTTTTAATCATCATTAAACTCATAAGCATGCAGAGGAAACATGGTACAATGAGCTTTACAGAAACACCCTGAGGTCTGACTATGAATGCAACTTCGATGGTTCAGACTGAAGCTTAGTAAAGCCCTGGTGACTGATACATTGAATGTCGCTCACAACAGTTGTTGATGCAGAGGAGCTGTGAGGAAATGCTTGATAGAATCAGAGGAAGGAGCTTTTGCTTAGTAAGGGGTTTTCTGAGAAAGAGGAAGTTAATGTGACAGTTTAATCACGCCTCTATCATTCGGGTGATTTGACTTCAGTTCGGAGAGCTGTCCTACGTTCACCAAATGTCACAGATTGCATTTCATCACAGTGACGGAAAGTCTTTCTACAACACTGCACGTCCGTACCAGGTTGCTAAGACAGAGCAGCAGCAGTGTCTTTCTTTAGATAGAGGTTAGCCGACCTGTTTAAAGCCCGTACACGCACTGTAATTATGTCAATAGGTCACTGCCAGCTTAATGTTGACAGAGTGGAATAATAGCTGTTCAAAAATGAGGCTACTGCAATATAACGAGCTACTTTTAGATGTTTTTAAGTTCTGTTTCTGACAGTCTTATAGAAATAAGACAAAGCAAAAAAGGACGGAGGACTCACTTTATATCTAATTCAGTTTGTGCTTCTTCCTCATAAATACAACAGACTGTGTGTGTGTGTGTGAGGGTTTCTGCAGGTTTCAACAGTTTAAGATCCAGTTTAAGATGTTTTAAGAATGCTATTTAACGCCCATACGTGGCAACAAAAAGTGTTACGTGGCCTTGTCCCTCCCCCACTGAGCTGGTTCATAAAGCAGAAGGATAGGGCAACAAGCGCAGCTCCCAGAGGGGGACTGTGTGGTACAATACAGACGTAGCAAGTGTTCTCAGTTGGAGCCACTCATTACTGAACTTAAGAGAGTGCACTAATTACCTAAAATAAACCTAAAAACATGGCTAATCTTACCACGTCACCTCTGGCCCTGCCTTTATATAATCTCACTGTTTTTACAAATCTCTGTCACTCTTGTAATGTACTTCTTGTTGCATTGTCTCTGGAAAATAAATAAAGAAATAACTAATGTTTTATAATCTATACACATTTTTCCCAAAAACACATTTAAAAGTGAGACTGAATGCGACTTTACTAAAGTAACATTAACCTCGTTAATCCAATCAATTGATAAAAAGCCTGTTTTTAAAGCCTTAAAAATTCACCCTGATGTGTACAAAGCTTTCCACTTTTAGATGACAGCACCTTTTCTAAACCAACCAATACTAAGCGCGATCCTGTACCGTAAAGCCACGTAATCCGTAGTGAATTAACTTTGAGACCGTGCTGCTTATAACACAGAGGTAGCTTCTGTCTGCAGCAGCTCGTGCCAATTAGGTCGCTTAACACAATCGTGATCTTCAGGGCTCCTTTTTCGTGGCTGTGGAGCCAACTCAAACAATGATAAGCCTGATCTTCAGTTACCCAAACACCTTCCCTGCTTCTCAACTCCTTTCTGATGCTCTTCTAGTCTCCTTCCACCATGAGGAATTATGAGACAATAGGGTATAAGCCTACCTGGGCTGGGAGTTCTCCTCGTACATCCTCTCCTTGGCCTCCTTAAAGAGGCTCATGGTCTGCTTGGTCTTGTTGGTCAGGTTCTCCATGACCACGCGAAAATACTCGTTCTCCCCAAGGATCTCTATCTTGCCCTCGTATCGGGACAGGATGGTGCGCAGGTGCTGGTAGGTGTCCGGCAGCAGGTCCAGGATGTAGGGAGGACTGTTCTTCAATGCCACCTTGGGGTTCTGGCACAAACGCACCACCTGCATAGGGGAAACATATGAGAGATTTGTCACCATCATCCCAAAATACAAGTAAATGCTGGCTGTCCAAACAAAAACGAGCTGCTACAATAACATTTCAGAAGTCAGTGACATTTGATAAGGGTCACGTAAACGGCATATTCAGTTTGGATATTCCTAATCTAACATTTTCTGATCAAGAGATGTGGGATACGTTGATATTTTCCAGGTTTTAGGAGCCTTCTTTGGACGAATATGCATCTCATTTGGGCTTTTACAGCAGATTGCCTGTTTTACGTTCAGCTCTGTGCGTTGCAAACAAACCAACCAGCCAACAGTTTGCAAGGGCCGGAGTGGAGACACACGCACGAAAGATTAGCTCACATTTGTGGTGAAAAGGAGAAATGTAACTGCTTTTAAACATTAAGAAAGACTTGGACATCAACAGGTTTTTGGATATGTGCAAATATTGCTAAATCGACCTTTTCAGGAACAAATAAAAGAGGGAGGCACTGTCAAACTTTGAAAAAAAAAATCCCTTTTCTTTTGACACAAAGAGGCAAAACTTTTACCACGGGAGCAACACGACGGCAGTTTTAAACTGACAGTACGTCATTAACAGTTAGGTTTATCAGAGTATGCAGAGCAGCATATAAACAGGACAGCCATTTGTCAGGTAAACTGCTGAGTAGGAATATTGTCGAGCACAGTCTGGAATACTTTGTGCGTGTAAACGTAGTCACTGTCAGGGTTCATCTTCTGGCTGTGTGCGCTTGCAAACTCTTACTCGAGATTAATGTCACTGTTTAATCACAGTTGTATATTTTCACCCTTCAACCAGAGATTTAGACGATTTGAGAACACCAGAGAGACGTTTTCCTGATATTTTTAGTAACTTTTATTTGACTATTTGCTATTCAATAAATATATTTTAAGCCTGTGATTTAAAGCCCTGAGTGTTTGCTTGCTGGAAACATTCCTGCTGCCCATAAATGGCTTGTTACGAGACCCCCTCCTAATGCGCCCCTCTTTCCAAAGTTGATCTGAAGTTAATGAAGCTTCAGTAGTCGGAGTAAGAGAAGTCTGCAAACACCAACAACTTAACATGCGTGGTTCCGTTGAATGAAGAGTGCAAACACCGACTTTGGCTGCTTCTTTGAAAACTATTTTTGGGGGGGGAATTTGTTTCGGCGGGCAAAAAACAGGAAGGATGAAAGTGAGTGGTGTTTACAGAAATGTTCAGTAGGTGGTAATACATAAACTGTGAGAGCAACAAGTTGTCCTTGTTAATGTTTGCTGTGCTTTACAACAGGACACTTTATAACAAATGTATTGTGCACTACCGAGCTGGAAGATATGGCAGGAAGGATAATAATGAGACTACTTCTGATACAAATGTGCAACAATTTAGTAAAGGTATGCAAAACTTACAGTAATTAAACTGTTAAGACCAAATTCCTAACAAAAATCTACCAAAATAACACATTTTCTTACTTTTTTGCTTTCAGTATAACCAATAAAAATACATTGCAGGGCCATAAAGTGTCACCTGGGTTTAAAGTTTTAAAAACCTGCAACAACAAAGCAGATCAGTCACATAAAGACACATCAAACTGCAGGTGTAAACAAGTTTGCACAGCACGCTGCACAAGCACGCACCGCTACATTAAACTCTGTCTTATCTGATATCTGTTGCTACTTTCACTCCAGCCCTTCATGAATTCATCTCTTCTGAACTCTTTGTCTCTTCATTCCTCTCTTTCATCTACCTCGGTTAAGATAAAGTAGAGCGACAGCCAGCAATCAATCTATATATATATATATATATATATATATATATATAAAAGCCTGTTTCCATACAACACACACACACATTTCTTTTGATCTAATACCAAACATAATCCCGGGGACATCCATCGGCCTCTTGAGGTGTTTCCAACAACAGATTACCTTCACTGCGACCTGATTTGCTTTTTAAATTGTCCTAATTAGATGATGCACCAGAGAGCTTTTGGGAGGTCAGTTTTTCTCACGCAGACACCGACGACAGCGCCACAACTCAACAGCGATTTTCTGCATGGATCTCTGAGATTAAATATAATCCTACTGGGTTTAGTAGAACTAATATTTATTCAATGAGAGGAAACCAGTTTCACGTGTGTGTGTGTATATAACAGGGTGGGTTATCAGGTAGATCAGGCTGGTAGCTTGTAGACGCAAACTAATGATTTAATATAAAGTAGAGGTGTAAGAAAATCATATTTTATGTTGTGATATTGTGTTGATTCTCAATAACACTTGTTTTTAAACGCCCTACCGCGTTATAAACGTAACCTGAGGGCTGTGATGTTGCACGTTAAACTACTTTAAACTCAGATTTTATGTGTTCTTTATAAGTTAGCTCCTAAAAATGTGACTTGTTTTCATTAAATTGCAATATATCGCCCGGCTGACAGTATCGCGATATCCTGATATCGTGATATGTGTCGTATCGCCACACACACACACACACACACACACAAGTTGTTGGTTTATAACAAATATGTCAGTGTGTGGTACATTTGGAGAAGTTAATTTCTCAGCTTTGGAGTATAACTTCATATAAAAACTTTATGTAATATACAACCATAAAGGGAAAAAAGAGGGAAGTGGCAGTGAGTATGCTTTGTGATGTGAAACCAGTGATAAACGGACATAAGTGGCATATTTTCAGTTCCTTTTTATTGTCTTTAAAGCTGTTAAAAAACACACAAACAAATACCTTATCCATGAGTTTCCAGCACTTCTCCACCATTTTCTTATCGACCACAGCAGGTTGGTGAGGCTGCGGAGGCTGCTGGCTCGGCTGAAAGGCGTCCTTCCACAAGCCGATGAGCCCGGCGCCCCTCCTCGGATTTCCGGCCATAAATTCGGTCGGCGACCGGGGGGTTAGCCCCGGAGCTGAGGTTGACAACCGGGGGATTAATCTCCACACGTTTCGCCGCCCGCCAACAACAACAAGAAGCGGTTGTTTTCGCTGTAGCCCTCTCTGTACTCACACACCGGCGCTAGTTCGCCATGCAGAGCCCGTTCAGGAGCTGGGGGGAGCTAACGGAGCTAACAAGCTACATTTGGAAAAGCCTTCTTCTTCTTCTTCTTCTTCTCGGGTTTTAATTCCGTCGCTCAGGACATTGTCGTTGTGTCGGAGGCAGAAACACAGCTGTATCTCTGCGTGGCAAGTTTAAAAAATTAAATAAATACAACACGACAGCCCCACAACGTCCTCCTGAGGAATCAAACCCGGCTCATAATGTAACTCTGGCTGTTAATGAGCCGCAAACGAGCGATCAACAGACAGGTTGTGCACCAGCGAGAGGACACACGGATATCCGGTTGCAGCCTTCAAAATAAAGGTCCAGTAATATATATATTTATATATATATAAAAAATAATAATTCCTTAACTAAAAACTAAACTATACTACAATTAATTTTATTGTTTGTGCAAAATGAGCAATTAAATGATTTCCTGTAAAATATTGATCAGAAAAATGCACTTTTTTATACAATTAAATGTATTTTAAGCAAACAATTTAGTTTAGTGTTCTTCAAGAAATTAACAAAAATGCTTCTTACAACTCCTTAAAATAAAGAAGGTCTCACAACCCCCTTGTGAAGCTTTGGCGACCCCCAGGTTGTGGGTTCCTACAGGGGCCCTTTTTCTATCATTTAATGAACTGACAACTCCTGATTGTCTCCACATTTTATGGATGTTTCATATTATATTTAAAACTGTACAATACTCCCAAACAGTGAACTCAGTAACTGCAAGACGTTTGTGTAAAACCAGAGATTTGGATGGATTTTGAGCAGATTATTTCCTGTTCAGGGAACTTTTTAAACAATTTCCTGTCTGTATTATGGATTTTGTAATAATTTTAAGCACTAATACAAACTTAACAGGCTTCTTTTGGCACAAATTCGGTGTTTTTTTGTCCTTGATGCTTGGCCATTGTTCTATTAGACAATTTACTTAAAAATGTAGTTTACATTTCTTCACTGTTTAGGGAACTTTTTATACTTTAAAGGTCTAGTGTGTAATATTTCTAAGGATCTGAATACAAGGAGTTCAACTCAGCTGAAAATGAATCCTGTTGACAGTTGGTTCATCTGAGCACATATTTTTTTTGTGGGCTGCATAAACCAGCCTGTAGGTATGAATATGGTTGTGTTTGAACAGTGTGGTGAATGAAAAGCAATGGCAGCCCGGGAGGTAGGGACACAGATCTGAAACACCACTTTAAAAATCACATAATTGAGAGCTGAAAATATACATTATTCATGATAAAAGAGCTAAATAATGGAACAAAAACACACTGTTATGGTCCTTTAAAGGTGTGTGTGTGACAGTGTGTGACAGTGTGTGAGCTGCAGCAGCACAGCGGGAGGACGATGACCTTTAACATTAACAGCTGCTTCCTTACAATGATGCTTCCCTCAGATCAGCTGGAAGCCAGCAGTGCTCATCTGTGGCCGTGTCTTCACGTTACAGCCGAGCACGGTGGAATAAAATCACCCCAGCTCTAAAAACAACTGCAGGAAATGCACATGAGGCAAAGTGTGTGAAGCGGAAAATATTTTTATTTTTTATAACAAGATGGCGGGAAAAATACAGCTTCTAAAGACAGCTGGTCTTGAGTCTTCGGGCCTCCTTCTTGCCCCTGTATCTGAGGCACTCGACAAATGAGGCTTCAGACGGGCGAGCAACCGTTAATAATGAAATAAAACCAGTTAAGACATTCAAAAACAATCCTGGATTTTCAGTTTTTATATACTCTACATAATTATAATTGATATAATTTATTTGTTTCTGTCATCTCATTATGTGTTTGTAGAGGATGTAGTAGGAGCCTTGCAGTTTAAGATTTGAAGGTTAAGTTGGCGCCACCTAGTGACAGTATCATGAACGACACAATTAAACAGCAATTTAAACACAGTATGGAATTTCTGCCACTAGGGGAGTCGCTCACATCAAAACAATAACAAAAGATGAAGTTGTAAAGTAGCATAGGATCATGGGAGTTCGAGTCCGGCCCTTTACTGCTGGTCGTCTCCTCTCTCTATCCTATATAATAAATCCTTGTTCAACAACAACCATTGCTGATTCCATCATGTTCATGGAAGCAGTAATATTAAAGTTCAGTTATATTCACCAACCTCCTCCTTCAGTTCACAGCGCCTGAAATAAAATAAACTTTTGATTTTCTCTTTTTTCTTATTGGGTACCACGACTGAGGTCACCAACGTATGGGCCTCAGTGTTTACCGCTTGTGTGGAAGTTAGGATGCCAACCTTTTGCCTGAAATTTGCTGGAGTATTTCTTTCTTTTAACTTTCTTCTGCATTGCGTTCATGCCAGAATGTGACATTTGGTGTAGTTGTACTTTTGTTGTCAGACTTTTACAGCACAGTGCCAGAAACAGGTTGTGATTATCAAAAGGAAAATGGGAAAATTGTGACCCTGGGAGGAAACCTGGAGAGGGTGCAACATAAATGTACAGGTATTATGGGCCAAAGCCAGTACAACAGGTTTGTAATAAGTAAACAAGCTACTGGAGAAACAATGTGACTTCTGTTGAGCATGGGTGTACCTACCACTGAGTTAATCAAGGTATGGACTTCAGTATTTTCTTGGAGGGGGATACAATAAAAAGCCAGAAGCCCCCCTAGAAAGCTCAGTTTTTGGACTGCATACAGAAACACTGGAGAGGCCTGTGTAACTGCGTCTCTGTGTGTTAGGGTTGTGCTGAATCAGGGTACTGGCACTGCGTGTTCACCTGGTAACTTGAGGCAAGTAGGAAAACTCATCATTGACCTGAATAAAATAAAAGGTTTCTCCGGGTTTCAACGTTGCTGGAAAGATTTGGGATGATGTAACTCAACAAAATACATATAAAAACATAGATCTGGAGTTTAATATATTAAAAAATATATTTATTTTCCAACATATTTTACCAATCTGTTGTACAACTGCACTGAGTCTCCTCACATTATTCACAACAAAGCTTGCAGGTCCTTTAACAGCCACAGGACCAAAGGTGAGTCCATTATTTAAGATCCGTCACTAAAGGACACCAAGGCTGTTTTATTTCAAAGGCTACGCCATGTGCAGCCAAAGAATTGTGGCCTTCTTCCTCTTAGCCAAACTGTAAAGGTCCTCTGGCAGCGCAGCCTTCCTCTGCATCGTCATATCAGCTTATATCGGCGTTCCCTGGAAGCTCAAAGCAATGTTCACCAGCTGAGCTCCCAGCTCCGCCTGCTGCCCTCCGGGGAGGAACTCCGCAGACAGCTCTCTGTAGGTGCTGCAAACCCTGCGCTCCTGAACATCCTCCCTACGAATGGCGTGCTTCCACCTGTGCCGCGCCTCGCCGTACAACACGACTAAAGACCTGCGAGGAAGACGCACAGCCACGTGGACCTCCTCTGCCAGTCCCAGCTCTGGCAGGCCCTGTTCGAGGGACATGGTGAGCGTGGTGCTGGATAACATGTTGACGGTGACCAGGCGTTCCCCCCACAGCCAGGAGTCGTCTAGGTGCGGATCGATGGCGGAGCCTCGCTGAGGGTGGTAGTCCAGGTTGCACTGCTCCACGGGCTGAAAGCCCGATAGACTCGGCTCTCGCTGCATTCGGAGCACCAGTTCACGGCTCAAAGCGGGAAGCCCACTGAACCCGCCGACACGCACCTTCCTTTTCTTGAAGTTAACTTTTGGGCCAAAGTCCTGCAACAACACGAGGAAAGACTTTTGTTTTATTTCATCAGAAATATAAGAAAGATAAAGTGCAGCAAGTAGCATCAAACTACTCTAAACTATAAAGCAAGGATTATGAAAAAAACAAATGGTAACATTACGGGAATAAAGTAGTAATTTTATGAGAACTGTCAGCCTGTTGGCTCAGCCAGCAAAACTGTTTAACGACGAAATTATCAATACGTTATTCTCGTAACATTATGACTTTATTCTCGTAATTTCCAAGAAAATAAAAAATGTTCTCTTAGCACGGCCCTAATACTCCGTCGTAGTTTTCTTCAGGGTCGATACAGATACTGATCATTAGTTTATCTTAATCATCAGAGAAACTAATAACAGATCCAACACACAGATTGCAGACAATCTTGCTCAACAAGTTGCACTGAAATCAAATGTTGTTTTGCTTCCATCTGGCAGCTAGTGAGCACAGGTACTATTGGAACCTTGTTCTCATGTTCTCTTCTAAGTGGGAAGAAAAGTGTCAGCCTGGAATTTGTAATACAGAGCAAACGCCACGTGTTCCTCATCACCTGTTTCCTTCGACCAGACTGGGACTCGTTCCACACATCCTGGTCCATCGCGCTTATCAGCATTTCCTCCTCCTCTTCTGATACGAAGTCGTCCCGCAGGAAGACACCAGGAAAGGGGAAAGAGGGGAAGGATGCAGCGGCGGCATCTTTGCAAACGGCGAGCCCCGTCTCAGGGTCGTAGAGGAAACGATGCACAATCTGCACGCACAGAAAAGACAATAATAATAATAATAATAATAATAATAATACGGGGACAATGGCAGTCATGATATTGTCATTTTCTGAAGTTCAATATCAAACAGAGATTAGTGTTCAGAATACAGACATACACAAACACAGATCCTCTCTAGTGGACACATATTCTCCCACATGTGGACTTCAGCTGGGTACTGTGGTGGTCTGCTCAGTCGGGGTTCGGATTAGCACCCCTAAAGGACATTTCACTACGTTTTATCCAGTGGAAAGGGACTTTCTAATGTTTTATCTACCAAAAATTACATCCAAGAGGGTGTTTTTAGGGTGTTTAATTTAATGGGTGTAAGACAATCTAATAAACATACACAGCAGGTCTATATGTCAGCATTTCTTTCATTCCTGTGAGGAAAACTAAATAAAAATGTTATTTTCAAAGTTTAGATTTAAAGAAACTACAGTTACATTAGAAAAGTACGCAGAAGAAAACAGTGAATTTGTCAGATAAGAAGCCTGTTGTATGTATGATTGTTAGAAATAATACATGATAAAGACAACATTCACAGGAAATAATAATGATTACACACCCTTCCTGCACTATTGATCTTCACTGTACACTTTATTGGCTGCTGTATTGATTATAATATCTATAAAATACGCTCCTTTGTCAGTTTACTCAATAATAGAAATGTTCCTTTAATATCAGACAGCACAGCAATGTATCGTGTATCAATATAAAAGATATTACACCGTAAAAACATAAAATACTGTCTGACAGAGGATGGATTGTCCTGTGAGGGCACCCGTAGCTGTTTATTAACGGCGCTATTAGCCATTAAAAGCGATTTAAAGTGCAGTTTTTTTAATATATATTAATATTAATATACATATATGTGTTACCTTCGGTTCATTCGCCTCCAAATGTTCTTTCCTCTTTAACTTCTCACATACGAGACACCGCCGGACGCCTTTACAGGCGCAGGGAGAAACACCGGGCGCCATTCTGGCTCCTTCTTCTTCTTCTTCTTCTTCTTTATGTGTTGTAGGTTTACCTGTTAGAGCAGATCAACAGCGCCACCTACCGGAACACTGGAGGAACCATATAGATCGATAGACATTCTTTATTGATCCCAAGCTGGGAAATCGCAGTGTGGCAGCAGCATTACACACAGTAACAACACACAGACATATCCAATAAGCGATATAAAAGATATAATAATCAACAAGGCATAAAATAAACAATCAACAATTTAACAGACATGAAATAAACAATCAACAATTTAACAGACATAAAATAAACAATCAACAATTTAACAGACATAAAATAAACAATCAACAATTTAACAGACATGAAATAAACAATCAACAATTTAACAGACATAAAATAAACAATCAACAATTTAAGACATAAAATAAACAATCAACAATTTAACAGACATGAAATAAACAATCAACAAGACATGAAATAAACAATCAACAATTTAACAGACATAAAATAAACAAATTATTGATTGTTTATTTTATGTCTGTTTAACCTTTTAACCACAAAAATGTTTGTTATTAACAAACAAAACATTATTATTAACCAACACCAAATATTTCAACACCACTATATTTATGTTTAAATAAAATAAAATTATTGATGTTAGACCTTTACTGTATATTAAAAGCGAAATGTCTATGACTATATTTCCACTAATCTAATACTGTTGTATGTATGTATATATATATATATTACACCATTTCTTTGACTTTTTAAATTTTGAATTCAGGACAGAATATTTTCCCACTGCTACTTTAACTTAAGTAATGATCTGAATACTTGTTCCACTGCTGGTATTAACCTGGTATAAACAAAGTATCTGTAGCCAGTAAAATATACAAGAAATGGATGAATGCCCTCATTTTGTTGTATACAGTTTAACTATTTTCACAATGCTGCTTTAATACTTTATTCGATATGAAACGCCACATTTTATATCACTGTATTAAACATCAGAAAATATATGTTTGGTGGTATATTTTGGCATATTCCCCTCACTAGAGATTTTTACATTTTACCTTGCAGGCTTAAAAAAAACCTCTTGAAATTGACATACAAGTACCATTAAGTAAAGCCCATAGACAGTATATATAAGCAGAAGTTAAAACTATTATAAAGGATCATATACGCAGGAATACTGGGACTTTCAGCGAATAAAAAACATGTAGATATTGGTGGATTACAGGGCGGGAACCCAAAGGAAGAGACAGTCTGTCTGAGAATAGGACATACAGGATTAAATCATTCACTAATAGACTCATTGTGATAATGATAGTTATTATAAACAATAATAAAAACATGTATTAACAGACTGCAGCAGATATGATCAAGAAAGGATCAATATGAACATGTGATGAGGGACACAATATTACATTGGAGAATCTATTTGGAAAGTAAATTATCTTTTAATTAATTATTTAAAAATAACATGAATAAATAAATATAAAGGAGATAATTAAGTTATTTTCTTTGTTTACTTTCCCCTGCAGTACCGCTGCACCCCTCCAGTCCAGCAGGTGGCGCTAATGCAACTACAAGCGCTGGTTCACCAGAAGAAGCTCTAAACCACGCCCACCGGATGTACGCAGCGTTTTCCCCGGGAAAGCTCGGTTTGTTGAGAAGCTGCTGAAGCGTCGGTGAGTAACTTTATCCACAAATAACCACAAATAACCACAAATAACCACAAAGGTAACGTTTTATTATGGAAGATAAAGGATTGTAGTGTGCGGTTAAAGGTTAAGAATAAGTATTTTACTGTCTGTTAACGTTAATAACAAACAGATACTGAGAACTGCCTCCAACGTGGCGAGCTAACCTCTTGTTGTTGTTAATAAAAACATGTCGAGAAAAGATTAAATCCCTCAATAAATATATCATAATGTAACATAAACAACAGATTTTAAAGGTTAGACACTGTTTCTGAGAGCTAATGTTATATAAGAGGTATTAAAGCTACAGAAACCTTCGTTATTGTCTCTTCTCTGTGTAACTTTCTGATATACAGTCGCTGTGAATGTGTCTTAAACAGTAAAATAAAAGTTCACACAACAAAGAACGACAAAGCAGAGGCTCTCATGCAAAGTGCCACTTTATTATACCCGTTATATCTTTATAGAAGTAGGAGATTGGAAGGAAAGGCCATAATACAACAATAACAATATATAAACCAGGAAGGTGCTTGTGGAAAACTCACTCTCAGTTCATTTGAAAAGGTAGAAATTATGATTTTATCCAAATATGTGTGATTAGATGGCTCTTAAATAGGATTGCAGATCTTTGTGTGGCTGTATTTATTGTTACAGTGACCTACAAACTACCACTAACAATAGACAGATCCCACAGGATAGTGGGCCGTACCAACCTGAGTTAAGTTCAGCGTTAGAAAAGGAGTTATTGTCAGAATATTACACTATCCTGTAATACAGTTTTCCGTTGGACTCCAGCCTGTAACTGTTGTGATTGAGTGTGAGAGAACAAATAAGAGTCAAAGGCATCTCCATGTGCTGGTAGGGTGACTGCAAACTGAATCCACTGGAACAAAGAGACCAAACCTAAACCTAGATCCACTGTTTAAATAACATCTGCTGCAGTGTACTATCACATTATGAGTATTTTTTTGGGGCTACACAATTGTGTTTAATGCTTTTCAATGCATGTAAAACAGTTTAAGAGACAATTTACTCGTAAATATTTCGAAATCTGCAGTTTGCAAGCTAACAATCCGCTGACAACAATGTGTATTGTCACACCTCATGTGCTGCTGTTTCTCAGACGGGTACTGCAGAGGGCCACTGGGGGTCAAATACATCTCAGTTACTGTAGCAGTTATAAAAGGTGTGAAGAGTATTCAGGGTGTGGTCAGTATCAACCCGGTATTACTGGTGCAGCTGAGCACACCCCAACACTTAAATCTTTGAACAGAGAGGGGACAGAAATAGTTAACTCTATAAACTCCATTCATGCTCTACAGTTGATTCTCTGGTATCTTATTTCTTTTTTTGTGGTCCTTTCTTCAGGTAAACAATGGAGAAAATAACAGAGAAACTCTTACTGGAGAAAGGTTCTCCAAAAACCAACAAACTGGAGCAAATCAAGACCCTAAAGTAAGTCTGCCTCTATTCTCCTTACCATTGTGTTTATGTGTTTGTTGCGTTGCTCCTTTGTGCAAACACTCACTTCTTACTCTCTGATATTCAGTCTGTCTAAGCTGGCGCTGAAGGTTCAGGACTTGCCGGCCAGGCTGCTGTCCCGTCTCCAGTCCCTGGAGAGGTGGGATCTGTCTGGGAACAGACTGCAGGAGTTGCCCAAGAACCTGGAGCTGCCTGCGCTTCGCTACCTGGACCTCAGCGACAACCAGATGGAGGATGTTACCACTCTGGAGTCCCTGGGAGGTCTGGAGGAGCTCAAGATAGAGGACAACCTTTATATCACTGTGAGGACACGGCTTGTGGCTTTGTGTTTATTTTTGGTACATTCATTCTGGTTTGTGTTCAGCAATGTGGCCTCACAGCAACCAGTTCCTGTAGGCCTTTTCTATGTGAGGACATTCTCACTGTGTCTGTGTGGGTTTCAGTTCGAGGACATGCAGATTATGTGAGCTGGACGCTTGTAGGTGTGAATGCGAGTGTGAATGGTTGTCTATTGTAAGCTCTGTGATCGACTGTCCAGGGAGTTTCCACCACCTTTCACCTCATGTGAACTGGGGTAGGTTTCAGCCCCAGACCTCTAGCACAAGATAAGTGGGTGTAGACCAGTGGTTCCCAACCTGGGGGGGTCAGCAAAGCTTCACTTGGGGGGGGTCTGACTTAATTCTTGCTCTTAAGAACTCAAAGTACCTCTTTTGCATTCATATGTATTTTATTATTATTAGCAGAGAGTTGCTTTTTAGAGTCATGTAAAAGAATACTGCAGCATTTTAGGCCGGGTTAGGACTAGAATGGTCAAAATCCAGGATCTGATCCTTTCAGAATAAAAGGACGCCTCACTGGGTCCCAGACTGGATTGTAACGTTGCTTTTCTTCCTCAGGTGAGTGATAATTATAAACTGATGACGCTGTTGCCCAACCTGAGGATTTACAACGGTAAAGATATCACTACTACTGCCAACCACCTGCGCTACGTCTACACTGAGAACCTGAGGACCAGGGTATGAAACTGAGGACTTACTTTGCTTTATTTTGTGATTTTAAGTCATGTCATATGCTAAGAATGATGTCTGCAGTGTCTGTATTGTTTGAAAGTGGAATATTTGGTGGCATTACGGAGCCGTTTTATTATTAAAGCTGTTTACAAACTGTCTGTTGGTTATTTTAGATAATTGCAGTTTGGGAGAAGAGCTTCAGTCTCCCGGATCCAATCACGCCGGAGAAACTCTCCACCTTGAAGACAGACTTTGTCAACGCTACCCGTCAACAGGTTAAATTTGGACCCGCGTCGGTCAGCGACTTCACCAAATGGAAGGTGAGTTCTGGATGTTCGGGACAACTTGAGCTCTTTCTTCGTTTTGTTTCCCCTCCTGTCAGTTTCAGTAACTGTGTCTCCTTCTCAGGTGGAGATTATGGCTAAGGAGTATCTGCGCTCTCTGACAGAGCCAAAGGAAGAACCACAGAGCGAGGAGCCGACTGACACTAAAGACAACTGTGTAAGTGTTTGAAGGATGCTGTACACAGACACTGTCATTGTTACCTCTTCACATTATCACTATCTTACATTGCCCTTTTTAAACCTCATTCTGTGCGTTTGCTTTCTTCAGGAAGTCTCAACGCCGACCAAGAGGAAACAAACGACACCGGTAACGGACTCCAGCATAAACCTGACGCCTCGCAAGAAGTTGTGCGCAGATCTCCCAGCGTCCCCAGTCGGAGACAGTCCCCGCAAGGCCAGCCTCCGCTTCAAACCTCAGCCGCTAATGCAGAGCATCAGGATGAGCCCCCGCAAGGCCGCTCAGCCTCCCTCTACCCCCACCAGAGCCCAGACGAGGGCAGAGACGCCCAAGAGAGGCTCTAAAGTGAGACAAACCAAAGAGGATGGGGCTCAGATTAAACAGAAGGAAGGTGTGAGCAGAAAGGAGCTGCAGAGGGATGCAGACACGCTGCCCACATTAAAGATCTGCAGCCAGACACAGGTAACAGAAATACAGATATTAAATACTCTACCTGGTGGCTAATAATAGCATGCTAAGGAAGATGTTGAACATGTTGAAACATTACACTTGCTAACGTCCCCTCCCTCCAGCAGCCGGTGCATCTGAAGCCCCTCCACGTCCTCCAGTGCCACAGCAAACAGGACAGCTCGGAGGACTTCTCCACCCAGCTGTGGGCCTGTGCTTTCCAGCCAATGCCCGACTCCACTGGTACTACTCAACACACTTAGAAATACACTTCTCTCAACTGTATCAGGGCATACATTTGTATTTGTATTTTAAAAGCTTCCTTATATCTGTGTTTATCAGAGACAAATAGAAATAAACTCTCTTTTCCTGCATTGACAGGCGCTGGTGGAGGAAGCCGTTTGGTTGCTACGTGTGGCGGAGACTCGCTCTGTGTGATTGACTGTGAAACTGGGATTGTGATGAAGAAGTACAAAGTTCCCGGAGAGGTTCGCTCCATTTATTCTCTGACTTTTGTATTTACATACACAGAAAACATTGCTATAGATTTCATTTTATTTCCTTCCTGTGCTTGTGTTTACACAATCTTAACGCTGCTGCTATGGAAACGACTTATATTTACCAGAGAGGAAGGACAAAAAAAATTACAAAATGTCAACATTAAAGAATGTATAATTACAAGGAAACGTATGTATAATATATATAAATGTTTGTATATTTAATGCTGACAGCAGTTAGTATGAATTCTGCAGACATTAGCACACTCCAATATAAAGATTAAAGATGGTGTTTAATGTTTCTGTTCCTCCCAACAGGAGTTCTTCTCCCTGGCCTGGTCCACGGTGCTGATGTCCAGGGGGGGCAATGCCTCGGCTCAACACTGCAGCATCCTGGCAGCTGGCGGGAAGAGAGGGTTGGTCAAACTCATCCACCCCAGAAACAACGTGGCCTACGGGGAGTTCAGAGCCAGCCGCAAGTCGCTGTCTGTCCTCCGCTTCAACCACCACCGGGGCAACTTCCTCTTCAGTGAGTCCTGGTTACTTCTTACAGATAAACTACCGAACGTTATGAGTTCTGATTGTTTGACAGCCTCCCATTTCAAGATACAAGAGATCAGTTAGGTTGTAAGTGAGCTACAGTTTTTAGCTTCAACTTATTTGGAAGTTCACCGGCCCAGTAGTTTGAGCTGGGAGATGTGTGATCAGTGCAACAAGCTCTAAGAGCTTTAATAAAGACAATAAACCAAATGTGAGGAAGGAAGAAAGGAAGGTACACCTTCTAAATTAAAGTTTCTCTCTTATACCAAAGTAAGACCTTGTTAAGCGATCTTAAAACACACTTCATTCAAACTCGACAGAATCAAAATACAACTCCCCAGACTGTCTTTATTGTCATGTTTTTTTGCAACCACTGCTGTATGATAACCTCACACGTTGAGGATTTTAGACACGTCATGTTAAAAACCTGATTCTCTTCAGTGTTTAGTTTCTCACCAGTTCAGCTTTTCTCTTGCAGCGGGCTCTTACGATAACAAGATCGTGATGTGGGACATCGGCGGAGTGGACAGCCAGTACAACTACAAAGTCGTGTGAGTATTTCTGCTTTTTATACCTCGAAACAGTCTTTAGAAAACCTCTTCTGAGACACACATTGAGCATTGTCTCCTTTTAACATAACTTGGTCTTTAGTATTTTGTTACAGCATCATGAGACCGTATGTGACGTAGTCCAGCAGATGTTGAGAATATTTCTGCCCTCTTTCTGTCCCTCCAGTCAGCTGCTGGTGTTGGAGATCAGCGCCACCCCTCTGCACATCTGCCTCCCCCCCACTTCCCCCAACTCACACCTACTGACCGCCTGTGAGGACGGCCTGCACTGCTTCAACACACAACTCGGCACCAACACCACCACAAAGAGGTAAAGGAGACCGCAGCGTGTGTGCATGTGTCAGTTTTTCATGTTTTCAAGGGTTCGGAATATGCTTTAATTCCAGTATATTCCTAGAAAGATGCTTTATTTTCAACATAATCTGGTGTTTCATTGACACTCTGCATATATTTTGGAGTGTTAATCAGAAAACGTTGTGTATAAAATCCTACATGTGGACCAGCCAGTAGCATTTGTTGTGTTTTTCTCTCCGCAGGTCAAAGGAAATGGAGATAACTTTCCCCATATATAAGAAAGAGGACAAAGACCACGACTACCACACCATTGATGGGCTGAGTTTTCTGACAGATGACATAGTGGGTAAGTGAAGCTCTTACAGTAATACCAGTAGAACAATACCCCGCCCTGAGCTCCAGACTGGTCACTCCTCTAGTGCCACCATATTTGTTTTAAAATGGATTAAATGTCTCAACAACTATTAAATGGATTGCCATGAAATTTGGTACAGCTGTCCACGGCGCTCAGAGGATGAATATATAATGGTACAATAATGATCACAGATGGCACTTTGTTGTCAATAATCCAATCAAAGTGCTGCTGAACAGCTGTTATTGTGTGGGTAGTGTTTAAATCAACAATAATCCAGTTTATGGGAAGCTGAGAACATAAGTGAGCCTGTTGTGTTTAATCTAACACTAAATATGTAAATTGAGTCCTCAGTATAAATGTAGTCGCCTTAACAGGCCACTTGATGGCGATATAATGGAGTTTAATGTGAGTCCCTGTCTGTACATTAGTGTGTCTAACCATGGTGATGTTTCATTACATTACATTTTAGGTCTATTCAGTCAGAATTAGTGAAGTTCTTCCAGCTGGGTTTGCTTCATTTCAATGTAAAATTGACATTAAACTAAATTCAAGACGCTTTAAGGTCCTTTTAATTTAAATTAAACGTGTCTCTAATTTAGCTTTTGCACTAATGTGTCATTGTGGCCCTCTAGCCTCCAAGAGCTACATGCACGGGGCCATTTACCTGTGGAGCTGGAGCAGGACCAAGGCTCAGCGGCCCGACAAGAAGAACAGGGAAGTGTGTGCTGTGGTTCTGGCTGAGCTGCAGTGGACCAACACAGAGATTCCTTACCTGGCTCTCAACACCTGTCCCGGTTAGTCCAAGTCTTCTAATCTAATCAGTAGAGCTGTATTTATTGTTATCCAATGATCTTCCATCAAACCTGAGAACCTGCCACTTTTGTTTTTACCATGGTGCATTTGATTGTGTTTTCATTTTTATCAACGTTATATACTGTAACTTCTTGTTGGGAAGGCAAATTTAATTTATTGGAAAGTGTTTACTCTGAGTTTTGCTCCAGATAAAGTGTGTATTACTCAAAAATTGTCTGTAAATGCTGCCATAAGCTGTCACTAGAGGGAGTTCAAGCTCCAGTTTATTTGCTCTTCCAGTGCCTCAGTTTGAGGCTGGAGCCCAGTATACTGTATACTCAGGGCCCGTCTGAACCACGGACAGTATTTAAAGTTTGCACCCCTTCACATAACATAATACATTCTGCTGTTTTGTTTAATTGGAAAAAATCAGGGGTATGAAATAAAACAGAATATTTTCTGCAAACATTCATGCATAGTTAGTTTTATTTCATAAATTAAACTAAAATAAAACATCCTTGTGGCATAAACAAAGGTTTGGGCAGCGTACACTGTCGGTTAGTAATAACAGCAAGTTCTGGAAACATCAAACCATCTGTATAAAAGAGAGAAAGATGGCTTTACATCCTTGTGTTTACATATTTTCAATTAGAAAACTCACCAAAATATGTTATTTATTGAGGAGAGCCCCCACTTTCACACTCAGGTTGATGCTGAACTCTGTGTGTTCATCCCTCTCTCTTTAGGCCGAGCCTACATAGTGTGTGGAGACGACAAAGGCCGGCTGTGGACGTACCACATCAGCAGCCTGCAGAAGAACAGCCTTCAGACTGGGAAACCCATACAGCCCACTGAGGTAATGAGCTGTTCCTGTACAACTGTGCTTTCATACAATATCGTACAGGAAAATGAAGGGTTGAATGTTTTGTTCTGTTGATTTGGAAGAGGAAGATTACTACCCAAACTCTCTGTTGTAAACATCTGTCACAGTTTACAGATGTAGATCTAAGTACAGTCTACTGTAACTTTCTCTATATCCTGACAGCAGCACATGACACACATACTGACATATCAGGAAATGATCAGTTCAAAATTCCACCAAATCGTTCGTTTTATCAGTTGCTCTGTACTTTTATTGTTTTGATTGAGTATAATATGAAATGTCCATAAAATATGTCAGTTAATTTACTCAATGACAGAAAAAGGGTCCCTTAAGGACTCATTCTGAGGGACTAACCTTTTAAAGCCGTCGACTGAAGCCCCTCCTCATATGTTTTTGTTGTCTTTGTTTGGGCAGGTGTTGGAGTGGCCGACACCGGAGAGGAAGGGCCTCGGGCAGGTAGAGGGCCCCTCCATCAACAGTGTAGCAATGGACCCGGAGCTCCACTTCCTGGTGGCCCTCAGTGACAAGAACATGGTGATAGTGTGGAAGAGAGACGGAGAGCAGGAGTCCTCCTGAGCCAACAGAGCGACTGCAGCTCGGGATGGACGTCAGACGGATCTCTGAAGTGGTTTTTGTTCTGGGAACAAACGGATGAGAGTTTACCAAATGTTGGTATCTGTGAGGTTAAATATGGAAGATTACCTCATTGTATTACTCATTTTTGTCCTAATTTGTTTGGAAAAAGACTTTTACAGATCGAAGGAATACACCGACAGGATTCTTGATTTTCTTTTATATGAAAATATGTGGCGTACTTGGTATTATTTTATAGTCTTGTACTTAAAGTTGCTGCTGTTGGGAAGAGAGCTGTCGCTATGTGACACAGTTCTCAGTTTTACTTGTGTATCTTAAAGGATACAGCACATAAAAATGTCCACACCGACCATAAAACATGATGTCACAGAGTTGGATTACTCAGTGTGATAACTTAAACATGTAAACATTTGAAGCAGATCATAACAATCATATTTAATCTACAGAATTACAATAATGCTGTAATTGGCCTCAGGCGTTTCATTTTAGATCTTGTTTTATTGTCTCTTTACTCTGGTTTTATTTGAGTCTTAAGTAAAACGTCTTGTATTTCCAGCTTTCAGTGCAGTCATGAATGAGGACTCTAATGTTAAATTCATGAATGTTTTTTTGTGCATTGACTGTATTTTCTTTCCAAATGTACATATTTAATGTGAATAACTGTATATGAACCAACATTGTGTTTGAATGGAGCTGTAATGTTCTGATAACACTGCTCACTAACAGGTCAGTGCTGCTGTGAGGAGAGTTCGAAGGGCAACCTGGAGACTAAATACTCACAGTACAACGTGTCCCTTCCTACTGTGTAATCCCACAGTATTTATACTACCCGTGTTTCTGGGTACAACCCACCATGTGTGGTTGTACTAATAATCTTCATTTTTAATAAAACAAATGACTGCATTCTCATTTTATTTGTCTGCGTGTCTGTGTGCAGTTTCTGGGATGTAATGCCTGACTAAAAACAGGTACAGATACCTTTTTTTATATAAAATATCACCTGTAACAATAATAAACTGAGCTTTTATTTTATAAATGTATTTTTGACGGGGGGAGGGGGGCACTGATTTATGCAGTATGTGTCTCAGGTTTCCAGTTAATCCCAATTTATGTAATTCCAACACTGTTTATGGACCCCAGTATGCAGAAATATTCAAATACACTACATGAAAATAACATTTTAACATTAAAACTGCATGAGATTAACATAAAGTGGGCATGTCTGTAAAGGGGAGACTCCTGGGTTCCCATAGAGCCCATTTTCATTCAGATATCTTGAGGTCAAAGGTCAAGGGATCCCTTTTTGGACATGCCATGTTTTTCCATCGCCAACATTTAGCCTAACTTTGGAGTGTTATTTAACCTCCTTCCCGACATGCTAGCACGATATGCTTGGTACCAATGGATGTGTTAGGTCATGTAGGATTAAAACAGCCGGCTGCAGCCTCTGAAAGACAGTGTGGAGTGGCAGAGGGAAGGATAATAGGTGGGGTGTGTCGTACACACCTTGTGATTAATCTCTCTGAAAGACGTTCATTGTATACGACATTACACATAAATAAATGTACTGCAGCATCCAAGAAAAACAAGATTACATGATTTATTTACCAGAGATTACATTCTGTTAAAAGCCAGATACATTCATTGAACTGAAAGAAAAAAGTGTTGAGACTGTTGACAAAGAAGATTTTAAGTCAAACTAACTTATAAGTTAAAAAACATCCTTGATCAAGTAGCTTTAGCAATTTTAAGTGGCAGTTAAAATAACTTATTGGAGTTTAATATACTCTGCGGAAGGATAAATATAATTATATATTCCTTTGGACAGTTAATATATAGAGTGAGCTCACTGATTATTGAAAATATATTGAATTTATTGACGTGTTTTCTTGTGTTGGACTCCATATTGACTCCATGTGTCACCAGTGTGTCTCCTCTCTGTGTGTAAGACAACCGTCTGATACCTCTGCAGCTCTTTTGAATTATTTAAATGCTCGCACCAGTTAGCATGACATTTATTTTTTAAACTCCCAGACTAACAGCAAATGTTTAAAGATATCAACTTTTTACTGGCTAAACACTGGAGATCATTTATAAATAACTAATAAAAGACAACCACGTCACATAAACCATTAATAATTTATAAATGATAAAACAAATGTTATTAGAGAGAATAACTTGGATATTAAAAGCTAAACAGCGTGTTTTTGAAAGTGCCATCATTAATTAAATTCAGGATGTGTAGAAATATTTGTTATTTTGGATGTATTGCAATTAATATATTAAATGATGAATAGATTAATATTTGTTAAAACAGGAAGAACATTCTTGTTTTGAATGTTTTGTTTTCCTTTTTGAGTAAGTGCTGCGATCTTATGTTGTATTTATTATTGTTATAGCTTTTATGGAAGTAAAAGTTGGATTTGAAAATATATTTATTTAAAATAATGATTAAAACTGTAGTTTATAGCTCACAGATCAATCCCTGCTGCAGCTGTCAAATTTTAACGCATTCGTTTTTGATTAACATGTAAAATTAATTCAATTTATCAATTAATTATGCCCTCGGTGCCTCGTAACAGGTCAATCCAACGAGAAAACAACATCATTAGACAGTTTAAGTGAAGATTTCCTTCCTCCATACGCTCATTAAAATCTATACAACTACGTCATGTCTTTGCCATCCTAGGAAAACAAAATCAGCTTGCAGAAAAGCAGATTCATAAGTGTGTATACACAGGGTGTAAAACTACAGGGGAGCCATGAATAAGACTTGAGCTACACTGAAAACATGATTTGTCTCTAAAATATTGAGAGAATCAGCCCCTTCAGGATTTTGTAGGATTAGTTTTTTGGGATTGTTGCAGCATAAAATGTCTGATTTCTTTCTTTTAATAAATTGTTATGCTTTTTTTTTTTTTTGCAGGTAGTGAAATAATTAATACAAAATTGAATGAATTTGCATTAATTGTGATCGCGACTTCCTGGATGGACCACAACATGCTATTTTAACCATGCATGTCTCATTTTAGGATTATTTGTAAACTTACTATTAATGTAGGATTTACTAGTTAACTTCAGATCGGTAAATACACAGTGAGGATAAAAAAGTGTGTGTATTGTGTATACCGTGCACTGATAACGCAGGGTTGGAGACGGGGTGGCCAACAGGTGCACACTTTCTGCCCTTGGTGCCCCGTAAACAGCTCAATCCGGCCATGTATAAATGAAATAAGGACCCCCCCAAAAAAAAAAAGTTGCAGTAGTGAACTTATTCCTGTGTTTCCAGTGGGAGAATTAAACCTGCAGGAAAACATACAAACTGCATTTTAATATGTGTTTACCCGGTGTCCCCTTGAGCAACAGTCAGGTGTTTCTTGCAGTGCAGTACAGTTGCATTGAGGGGGGGTGTTAGGGCCTTCTCGCTCCGCCTCTGACCGACTGATTGGTTCAGCTGTCCCGTCGTCGCCCCAGCTCTCTCCAACCACTGGCCAATGCGCACAAAGCCCTTTCTGTACCCTCTCTCTCTCCCTCTACTGTATTTCAGATACGTGCCTTTGTGCACCATTACCGCCCCCCCCTTACCCCCTCCCTCAATGGCCTCGTAGCAACACCAGAACCCACTGCTTGTACAGGGGCAAGAGTCCTGTTCACACACACACACACACACACACACATATACACACATATACACACAGCTCGTCTCCAAATGCGTCCGGGACTGGCGGGTATAGCGGTGGAGATGCTGAGCGGCGCTACCTGCAGGGCCAGGCCGAGGCTCGGCAGCCTCTTGGCGGCCACTCTCACCAAAACAGTGCCGCCGATGTCAAACACGGGGAGCCCGAGGTTTCGCTCCACGTCCTCGATGCAGGGGTTTTCGGAGCTGGCCAGAGAGAGGTCGAAGACTGTCACGTCGTTTTACAACCAGTCCGCCATTGACGTTTCCGCTGAGAAGGTGAGAATGAGACTTTTTTTTTTTGTTTTTTAAGCCGGTTTTAAACGGAGCTCCCCCCCCACACACACACACACACACAACTACTAACGGAGAGTTAGCAACGAGGGCGTAGGCTAGCTGTAGCTTGAGAGTAATGCTAGCCGTTAGCAGGGTTTATGCTGAGTTCACGGACGCTGAAGAGGGTTAGTAAATACGAGATTCTCTCATTTGGATCGACGTTTAAAGACAGTTAACCTCTCAGGGATTGAGATTGTTGATGAGGCTCGACTTTTCTTAAACTGAAAGAAACCTCTCACCGAAAGGAAATACTTAAAAAATATAGTTCGAGTGAATTAAAAAAAAAAAAGATATAGCCAACGTGTATGAAATTAAAACACGAGTTGCCACTTTTGAGTTTTTGTATGACACGATATATGTTAAGGATATTAAATAAGTATGTGTGCGGTTAAAATGCATATCTTTATTAATCATAATCCTCAAACCCCGTTACTTTAACACAAATCTGCCACTTGACGGATTTTCCTCGTGAGCATTCGAACGCAGCACCACCGGTTCTCATTAGAACATAATGTCTTGCTCGATTTAAAATCGTTAATTTCGCACAAATATCAAAACCACCACGTTTCAAAGCTCGCCAGACCAATGGTGTTTCGTCCCAGCTGTTGGAAGCAACAGGAACAGTTGCCAGTGCAAAGCTGTCATACAACAATTAAACAACAAGAGAGTTCAGGGTGTTAAGTTTCAGCGATGGAGGTTAAGTTGACCCAATTCACATGAAGCTGCTTTCATAATATATTTCACTGTTGTGGTCACAGTCACTGTGGGAACTTTTAGTATGACTATAGTTATATCTGTCATATTCCACCTGATTGTGTGCTTGCATCTAAGCCTGGGTTCAATATAGGTGCACCAGCATTTAGAGGAAATGTGTTTTATTAAAGGAAATGTGTTCATACTACTACCATAACTGTAAACTAGAGCACTGGGTGCTCAAACTAGGGTCCGGGGACCAGTACAGGGGTTGATTCTCTGCCCCAAACTCGACTGGGGGTCGGGCTCAGACGTTATTTATTAGTTTTGATCATTTTCACTTAATTATGCACAGGTTAGTTTACTTCAGCTTGTAGTAAACTATTTAAATTATTTATTTTAAGCAGAAATTCGGGCTTGGTTTCGGGCTCGCACAAAATTTCTCCCGGGCTCGGGTTGGGTCGGGTTCGTGAGTGGGATGTAGGGGGGTACCCAGCAAAAAGAGGAATAAAATATTTTCACTTTTATCACATTTTCTGGAAGTTAATCTGGCGTTTTGATTATTCGTTGACTATATTTATAATCTTCACACCTCAAGATAAAAAGAGGGGGTTCCTTAAAGCTACAGTTGGTCATTTTTTATAAAAAATATATATATCTTTTGTCATATTTGCTGAATATTTCTCTATATTCTGACAGAAGTACATGAGATAGATAACCTATGGAACTCAGGTCCAAGTGCTCCGAATGGCATTCACAAGAATCCACCGGGCCCGAACACAGACTCAGAAATCAACTATTGATTGGTTGCTTTCGCTCGGGCCTGGCCACTAAAACGAGCCGGAGGAACCTGATTTTTTTCACAGATTATCTGACTCATGTTCTGCTGTCAGGATATAATGAAAGTTTCAGCAAATGTGACAAAAAGTTGTTATTTTTATAAAAGTAATATGTTTTTATAATGCAGCTTTAATAGAAAATACTCTCAAATTGGGGCAGGAGTTCCCACGTGTCCTGGAAAACCTGACCGCCATTTATGAGCAAGTATTGTCCTGTATCGTTAGGAAAGACTCCTGGAAAGTGTCCTGGGAAACAGTGTATAAAAAAAAACCCTGTGGGGTTTAATGGTCTAATGTGCATCCATTGTTTGGGTCCTTAACATGGAAAGGTTTGGGAACTCTTCAACAAACTCTTCTTCCTTCCTCTCACTTTCTCTAGTCAAAAATCTCTCCTCCCTCTTTTTCCAAAGAGTTTTATTCCTGGCAAGAACATGGGTGTGTCAGGAGTTTGTCATATGCTTACTGTCTGACTGTTTGGAAAGTAATACTCAGCATTTTAAATAGATGTAATATTTCTTCATAGTGAAATGAGGAAGGACTTTGCACTTCAGATACAGAAAATAAAACACCACCCTAGTACAACGCTCTCAGGCAGTGCAGGGAGTTAAAACCTAAGGGTGCCGGGGAAGAAGTAATCCTATTACACTGTTCAACAAAGGTGGAGCTGCTGCGGTGCATCTGTCTGATTGTAGTCAGCTGCAGTCTCTGTCTCGTGACTTATAGTCACACATTAACCTGCCGCAGTGGTCGCCAACCTCAGGGTTCGGGGAGGGGGAGGGTCACAGGATGATTTAAAGGGATAGAATAAGAATAATAAGATTGCAGTGAGCAGTTTTTGCTGACCTTTTGACCTTTTCTCTGAGTAACTTCTGCCTCTGTGCACTTGAGCAAACCTTTCCACAGTGTCTTTTAACTAAAACATCTCATATGAGCTTGTATTATTTGTTATTTTAATGTGTATCCGGATGTCCACGGGGCATTAACAGGTCTTTTAACAGGTCCTAAACATTGATTCTCGCTTTTAAATGTGTTTTTGGGAACTACAGAATGAAACTAAAAGGGAACAGATACCGATTTTCCTTCAGATCCTTTGCCAGTATGCACATAAAATAATTAAGTAATTCTTATTCTGGTAAAGTAATTGTACATTTCTATCTAATGTTGTATTTGAATATTGTTTTATATAATCTCTGTTTTTCTCTTTTTAAAGTATGATAATATTTATAAAGGGGAGGTATCGTCAGAGGCCTCAAACCTGCACATTGTTCAATTTCTTAATAAATTCTGTTGTCTTTATAGACGTAGACTGCATGTGCAATTAAATTAACTAAACTAATGAAATTGCATGGTTAATAGTCTTAAAAAGGTCTTTATGAGACTTAGATTTAATCTATTAAAACCCTGGTGTATTTTACCTCCATCTCACAATTAAAAAGTAAGATTTTTATATTAAAATTGTGCAAAATTTCCCAAATTTCTGAGCTTTTCTTCCCGTGGCAAAATTCTGGAAACTTTCTGCGAATGTTATTCACTGCTGGGTTAAGAAAGCTACTGTTTTTTTTCCACATTTAATAGCTGTTTGACTGAGGGACACCAGCTGCATTCTGCATGCATTTACACCTTTCATTAACATGAGCTGATCTGATTGCATGCTGTAAATGGGGTCTTAGCGAGTATTCACACTGATACCAGTGCTACAGTAAATAGGACCATTACTGACGTTCCTTCTGCACACGCAGGTTTAATAATCCACACAGGTTATTACAGGAGGCTTTCGCTGTAGTGTATCTGAGCTCGGGGTGGGTGGGGGACTTGGTTGAAGTGATAATAGTGGGCTGCTTCAATCATGTCTCGTAGGTGTAACACTGGTGGTTGAATCATTGACATAATCAGCGCCCTCCACTGCTCAGTGATTCACTACCTACTGTTTGGACTCCCTGCACCCGGAAAAACATATTTTTATTTAACACTCGAGGGCTTTTTGGAACCATAGTACTGTATCAAACATTGACATCTGGTCAGACTTGTAATCTTGCAGGCTTATTTGATCTGATAGTTGGTTATATAAATATATATTTTTTGTTTTATTTAGGTAAAGTTCTCGTGCAGCTACTTTGTGTTTAGAGAACATATAACATTTGAGGAACTTTGGCTTCTTTTGTTAAAATAAAAAAGGTTTTTGTTGAAAAATATATACATGTATTAAAAAGCATGTTTCTTGTGTTTGGACTGAAATTCATTAAGAAATGTGGGAATTGAGAAGGAATGTCAAACAGAAAGTGCAGCAAAAGGGTTAAATGAGGAATTAGACTTGAGGCCATTTCTGTAGAGTCTACTGGATTATATTTGTCCCCATTAATATGATTTCTTTAAGGAGAAGTGTAGTCCTTGGATGGATGTGTTAAGTGGATTGACTTTAGTTAGGGTTATTTGTAAATGTTAAGTGATGGAGGCGATTTAATACACTGTCTTTTGAAAATGTAATCTAAATAATTAGGTTTACAGATTACAGAATGTATTTACTGACGTGTATTTTGGGAGTTAGGGAATAATGTAAAAAGTTGAGCCTTTATTCTCTATTTTTCTTGCATAAACTAAGCTGATTTTTGAAAGAACAAGACGACAGCGTTTCATGGTATCCGTGGTGATATATTAATGGATGTGTTGTATTTAAGGACACTGGGAACAGCCTCAGGCACCACCTCGACGAAGGCGAGATAGCCCAAACCGTTTGGTGAATAAAGTTCGGTGAATGAGTGTGTGACCGTACGTGTTAATGTCTCCCCAGGCCTCGGTGCGACTGACCTTGGCGACCCTGCTGTATTCTGGGAAGTCTCCCGATGGACACCACATCCTGGTAAATATTTCAGCCAAGTGTGTGTGTTTACAGAGAAACTCTGCGATCTCTGTGTGACTCTTCCTCACTCACTGTGTGTGTGTGTGTGTGTGTGTGTGTGTGTGTGTGTGTGTGTGTGTGTGTGTGTGTGTGTGTGTGTGTGTGTGTGTGTGTGTGTGTGTGTGTGATCTCAGAGCAGTGCCAAGTACCTACACAAGGAGCTGCCTGTACGGATCGCCCATCGCATCAAGGGCTTCCGTAGTCTGCCCTTCATCATCGGCTGCAACCCCACCATTCTGCAAGTGGTAAGACACACACACACACACACACACACACACACTGCTCCTGGCTTGTACAGGGAGCATCGGCCCTGCAGCAGATTCTATAATAAGAAAGTGACAACTGGGCCGTCGCACAGGAGAGTCGCGGCTGTACTTTGAATGAAAAGAGCGAAATGTTCTCTTTAAAGCTGCGGCTGGCACTTTACTTTTGGCGTCATTGGGCAAAAAACAACCACAATAACCTTCCAGAGTATTATAATTAAAGGAGACTTACGCATCTCCTCCTGGGTCTGTTTTCAGGCATTTAGACCAATCACACATCGGTAAGATAGCCGATTGTTGAGTCTCATTGCCAAGGTTTGACGCTTTGAGACTCAACTATCGTCCTTGGAGCCACCAATCCAAAGTGTCGGTGTTTGACGACCTGCGAATGAACTCAACAACCGGGTACCTTTCAGCTGCTGCTGCCGCCATTGTTCCCAGTTGGAAGGAGTGATTGTGTTTCAGGAGGAAGAGCTCACAAATCACAGGGTTGGTGGGTCGATCCCTCAGCTCTGCATGTCCTTGGGAAAGACCTTGGACTCCAGAGCTGGGTCTTGTAGCTCATATTGAGCTCAATTGAAGAACTTACAACAATGGTTTGCTCTTAAAAAAATATTATTTTAAGAGTAAGACCACTTGCACAACTTCTCCATTTATGAGAAAGTAGTTTTGTCCCAGTGTTTTTCAGAATGCAGAATGCTTCTGGTGCCTTCATTTAAAACAAAGTCACTCATTTTTATCATGCTGTTTGAAGAAATTGTGTCTCATTGTAAAATTGCTGATTATTAATCTTAGATTAAGGTACAAATTCTTAAATTCTGCTCAATAAAGTGACCGAAATCTGTGTGGGTGGCACACAGTGGTAGCAGCTCACTGTCTGAAAGGATGTACATTCGGCTTGGGCGGTATCAAGGTATCGGGTATACCAGGTTATTTAGAAGGTGTGATTTCCAGAAACACAGGTGCTCCTCTTTCTGTTGGATCGATGATATTCGCTCTTAGATCCTTCATTTTCTGTGCGCTCAGTTCGGATTCGAGTGGCCGTTTGTGACGGTCTGCCTGAACCTGTAAGAGTCTCCATTCTTCACTAACAGCTCTGTGAAATTACATGTCCCCATCTCTCATCTCGTATTTCAGCTTTCCCTAACGTCCTGGAAAACCTGGACATTTAGAGACTAGTTTTCCAGTCATGGAAACACCTGGAAATTCATTAAAATTATCAAATATCCTGGAAATAATCCATGTTGTCCTGGATTTTTTTGTATTTAAGCCCCTCACTCAGATCACCTACGTACCTACAAACTGTATGACATTAAAGGCAGGTTTATCAGATGCAAAGATTAACTGACTGCAGCGATCTGTCCGGCATCGAGTCTAGTTTTTCCCGAGCTGTGAGTGAAATTCTCATTTCTTCATGCATGCAGGCTAATAATGATCAAATGTCTTGTTGCTGTGGTTCATAAATACATCCACAGTGATGTTAATTGTACGTGCAATGCACCACTTTTACGTTGAGCTGTTCCCAAATTAATGCCACCAATTTGCCCCAAATCGCAGCTTTTCTGACCGTTTGTAAGCCAGTGCTGTCCTGTATCGTCAAGAAAAAGTCCTCGAAAATGTCTGGTACAAACCCTGTGATTCTAGGCTGCCAGAAAGGCTAGAAAAGCTGCACCGGTTAAAATAGAAATGCTCTATCATGCATGACTTATCACCAGCAAGCTCAGCTTTTACGTTGTTTTTATAAAATGCATATACTGTCATATACCGTATTTCCCCTGGTGTAAGGAAGGTATGAAATAATCTTTACCGTCCAAACCTAATTTGCATATACTACACATATTTGACAATTTACTGGCCTGTGTGTGTGTGTGTGTGTGTGTGTGTGTGTGTGTGGTGTGTAGTATACACAACAGTGTGTGACTTCAGGGCCATCATCAGGGTCACCTCGGGCCACCAGCAGAAACACGTCGGTCTGCAGATAATGTTCTGTATAGTACGAGTGTACAAGTAGCTGAACATGTGCCATAAATCTTAACTCTGCTTGTATAATACAGTACAACAGGCGGCTGGCAGAAGGCGTAACCTTCAGTGTGCAGTATGTGGGTCACCGTGACATGACACACTAATGATAGGCAAAGCTTTTATTTTCTGAAGCGCTGGGAACGTTAGAGTGGATATTGCAGTTTAAAGAGGTCACTTGTGTGTTTAAATGTTCTTCTGCTGAGGAATTAACAAACAGTTTCTACCTTTTAAACACTTCTTATATGACCGCTCCTGCAGGGCAACCTTTACTATCACAAGAGTCTTCTTCTGGCCCAAAATAAAAAATCTGTCTGGAGCCACAAAACTTAATTGAGCCTTTATAGTGCTCATTTCTCTCTCAGCAGATAAAGCACACCCGTTAGCCAGCGGCGCTGCTGGAGGAAGAAAACAAATCTGTATGTGGAATCCAAAGATAGTAGAGCTAGGGAGACTCAAGACTTGATATTAATGACCGGCAAAACATGGAGGAGAAAGTGCCGGTGCCAAGGAAAGATTTCCACCTTTTATTTGGTGTATAATGGCTACACATTTTCACAACTGGAGCATGTAAGAATCACTTTAACCCCACAACAATGATAAATGAAACTGTTCAAAACACAGCTGTTATTTCTTTCCATTTCATTTTTTTTGTCAAAGCCACAGGGAGCCACCGGAGAGGGGCCTCCTATAGGGCCACAGGTTGCCCACCCCTGCTCCATGGGAAGGTTATTCCAATGAAAACTGTCCACAGTGAAGTCCACAACACTTCCTGGAAACACACATTGCTGTTGAGTTTTTCGAATGCCATTTCGAACAAACAAAATTCCTTTTAAACCCCCCCATAAGGAGGTTGAGGCACAAGGCTCACACACACACACACACACACACACACACACACACACACACAAAACACACACACACACACACACACACAGACGTCTCAGACCCATCTGCAGCACACACAGTTAAATGATACTGCTCATTATAATGATGATGTGTATGAGTGTGGAGCAGCGGATCAGGTTTTTTATTTTCAGTGAGAGTTTGTCTGCAGGGCCTTCGTGTGGGAACAACTCTCTGTTCCCTACAGTCCCTTTTATAACCAATTCGCCGCCTCTGCATGTCTCGTAGCTGATGAACTTTCACCTAGATTCCTTTTTCTGGCATCGCAGAGCTCCTCTGTGCCGATTACATAAAAAGCAGTTCCTTTTGTATGCCACCAGTCGTAATGTAGGTCAAAGTGTCTTGACTCACCCTGTCAGCTCTTCTATCAGAAACCAAAACACTGGCTGCAGCAGCTTATACACGCATTGTGAATTCAAGTCATATGAGCTCTTTGGTTTAAATGAGGAACCATGCTTTGTTTTCTCGGGAGGAGTTGTGTAACTTTGTTTTCAACTCAGAGAATTCTTCACATAGAAGCGTCCTGAAATGTAAACCACATGTGGACTTGTGAGTAGTGGCGTGGGGCCCGTTGAGGGTCCGGTGCTGCTGGTGTGAGGCCTTCACGGTCGGATGGACGATCACAGAGAATCAGTCTAACTGCAGCCTAACTACAGTCCTCTCTTCTCCTTTCTTACAGCATGAACTGTACATCAGAGCCTACCACATGCTCAGTGACTTTCCCCCGGTGAGTGTCTCTCTCCACACACACACACACACACACACACACACACACACACACACACACACACACACACACACACACACACACACACACACACACACACACACACACACACACACACACTCTCTCTCAGGGTCATGAGTTCAAGTTCACCACTACTCAGGCAGCACATAAACAGGAAGTGTGAACAGTTGCTGACTTTTGTTTTGCTTGCATGTAGCAGCTCCAGGGTTGGTTGAGCTGTACAGAATGTAACACTAACTCACACTGACTCGTTTCCATTAAGTTGTTCATTAAATCTTTTGAATAACAAGCCACAAATCACTAAAAAGGTATTTTGTTTACAGTTTCAGATAAAGAGAAAAAAGCAACATATAAATAAATATATTTTAGTTTTTTAAAGCAGCAGTGTGTTACCATCTAACGGTAAAGTTGCAGGGCTTTTTCCATAAATCACACTCGAAGGAGTCAGAACATAATGATCTATAACCATACTATAGGATAAGACATTGGCTCCTACCACACCAGTTGGCCACATATGCACACATCCTTCCATATAAAGCTCGCTCTCTTATCGGTGAGGCATTTTTACGGCCCTATGTAGAGTCAGTGTTTGATTTGTCCGTTCTGGGCAACTGTAGAAACATTGCGGTTCGACATGGCGACACGCAGCGTCTGTAGATAAAAACAGAAAGCAAAAACACAATGTTCCTATATTCAGGTGATTATACACTAATTAAAACATACTAATGAATATTATATTCCATTTCTGACTAAAGATCCTCCTAAATGTTACACACTGGACCTTTAAAATATATTTGAAATGTGTGACGGAGGAAGGCACAACTTGAAAACAATCGTAAGAACTGATCATAAATGAAAACAACTAACGGTAGGAACAAGAAGAAAAGCAGGTTTTTTTTTTTACTCTGATGTGGTTGTGAGAGTTGTGAGACAGTTTCTGGTTGTTATGGTGCACAAAATCTCTTTGTTTGAATTCAGATAAGGTGCACATGGAAGAGTATAAAGATAAATATTTACCTGACCGTGAACAAGGTAGCAATAAAAGTGGTGTAAGAAGAGTTGTTTGTGTTAGTGCTGTGAAGTGTTCAGCACTCTTAAGACTACAGTACAAATAATATTTGAACAAAATGTTATTTATTGTACAGCTCAGATGTCACTGCACAGGTTTAAACAGGACTGGACATCCAGAGCTTTCAGCTTTCATACAGCGTGCACAGTGAGGAATGTGGGTCAGTCCTCTTCAGTTATTTCTCGGTCGGTGGTGACAGTGAACAGCCTCCGCTCTTTATTTAACTCTTTATTGAGCTCTTTTGAGGAGTCGGTGCCAAATAAAACAGCTGTTCCTATAGGGTCCTGTATATAGGCTGCACATAATGACATACCTGCTCAACATTTTTTCTGTTTTGTATAAATGCAGGCTCCCATTTGTCCCTGCCTTCAGGTTTATCAGACCCATCTGCCACCTTACCTCAGGCTGTCTGTGCTGGATACATACAGACATATCAAATTCAGGAAAAACAAGCTGTGTGCGTGTGTGTGTGTGTGTGTGTGTGTGTGGTTTTCTGTCACTGAATCATGAGGGATGTAATGTTATTTGTGGTTGGCAAATAAAGGCTGACGGTGGTGCAGTTACCCGTTCTGTTTCTCTAAGCTCACGTGGTAAATTATAATCTATTAATAATGTACATAATGCACATTTCCACAGCACTACGACACAAGTCTATTCCTCTTTCCTAACAGAAATACTGTTTTCATTCACTAATTAATTAGTTGCTTCTACTTTGACGTTTTTTTTAACCTTGTTAATCACCACAAAAGCCAGAAAATGGGGGGATTATTTCCTTTAATTCCCTGGAATGCTTTTGTTGGGAAACATCCGTGCAGAAGGTGTGAAGTTTCTCTGGCGGGAACTTAACGGTGAGGGCAAAAGAAAACCGAATGAATGAACAGCATTTCATTCTGTTATAGAAAATAAGCCAAACTCAAAGCGACGGCACCTCTGTCGTTGTCTCTGGCTTTTCAAACTTCAGGTCTTTACAGCGCGTTGATACGAGCCCCTCTGTTTACAGATCAAGGATCAGGACATGGAGGCTCGGTTCTGTAAGCTGGTGCAGCAGCTGCTGGACGACCATAAAGATGTGGTGACCATGCTGGCCCAGGGCTTCAGGGAGTGTCGCAGACACGTCCAGGTAAAAACTGAACCTCCGAAAGATTCTATTGAGGATATTTCATTACGTTCATCGGAGTAATTTTAATGTTCCAGATGTTTTTTCAGAGAGTTTCGGCTGTGAAGCTGAACACAGTTTCTTTCCTACTGTTGCAGGACGAGATGATCCTCCGCAGCTTCCTGGACACAACGCTGTGCTCTCGCCTGGGAATCCGAATGTTGGCCACGCACCATCTCGCCCTCCACGAGGAGAACGTACGTCCGACTGCACTTTCTGTTTGGCTCTCAGCCCCCAAACCCATCAGTTCCTATTGAAAACAAAATCCTAGAAAAGCAGAACCTAAATATAGAATTTAATTTGATTTAGAGAAATTAAAGAGTTTTTAGCAAACATTACTCAAACCAGAGGAGCATTCTTTGGGGAATATTTTTAGCCGCAAGGAAGCATGAAACGACATGTTTCTGTTGGCAGTTTAAATGTTTTTAATGTGTAAAAGGAACTGAATTCATTCAATAAATAGCAGAAACTACAGTAGGAGAAAGAGAAACCACCCTGCAGGGAATTCAAATGACTGATTGAGACAAATTACAGTCAGTTATTGTAAAAGTTTTCTCTTCTGTTCTCCCTTCAGGCTGACTTCGTTGGGATCATATGCAGACGTCTCTCCCCCAAAAAAATCATAGAGAAGTGGGTGGACTTTGCCAGGTGAGTGTTGAGTTGCGCAGCTTTGTTTACTTCTCACCTTTAGATGACTTTCTGCTTCTGTACGAGCGCGCTGTTGACCGAGGGGGGTCAGAGTTCAGCTGATAAACTGTCAGCAACATACGTGTTTCAGCGCCCGGAGCTGTGAATGAGATACGAGCTATCGTTGCTGTTTGCCTTCTGTAATCTTATCACATGACCTTTCTGGAGTCAGAAGCTTTTACGGAGTTCACAAAGAAAGTTCACAATGACTGGAAATAATCACTTTTTCTGTCGTTACTGTTCAGTGTACGGCCGGTGAACACAATGAAATCAGTGTAAATTACAGTTAATATACATTGATATCTACATATCTCTGACAATAAAACATTCCCTTGTGATAATGCTAATTAGTATATGTTAGAATGTAGAGCTGCAATAATGAGTCAATAAAGTCGACTATTTTAATAAGTGATTGACAGATTTAAGTCATTTTTTAAAAGAAAAAATGTCCAAATTCTCTGTTTCAGTTTCTCAAAAGTAAATATTTTCTTCCGTGCTCTATGACAGTAAACTGAATGAGACATTCGAAGACGTCTCTTTGGACTTGATTGACTTTTTGGAGATTATTTGATAATGAAAATAATCGTTAGCTGCAGCCCTGTTAGCATGCGAACACGTTACACTGCGTACAATGGATTCTTGTTTTGAAATGAGAAACCTAAAATTGGGAAACGAGACGTTTTCTGTTTTTTATTCTGAAAATGAGTTGAGTCAGCGTGGTCATCTAATTTTCATTTTAATTTTAATTTCAGTTTTATTGGTTTAGTTCCAATTCATAACAAAAGTTATCTCAGGACCTTTTCAAATAGACTAGGTCTAGACTGTACGCCTGACAGAAAATGTTAGAGAACAATTGCTCAGATAGGCTGATTAATCTGGCTGATTATCTGTCATTTAGAGATAATCGGCATCAGCTGATGTCTGTGCTCACGAGGCCGAGGCCAACAAACAAAATAACATCTTCAGACACTCTGCATTCAGCCCCGTCAGTGTGTGCGAGCCCTGTACTGTAACTCTCATGTAACCTGCTGTAAACACATGCCTGCATTTCCTATAGAATAGAGTTATACATGACTTTCCTTTGTTTTGATATCAGCGTTATATATTGGCCATTGATGAACCCATATCAGTCGACTGTTAGTGTTTACGTCTTATATCAGAGGATCCACCAGATCAGATACAGTAAATGCTCCTCATGTGTTCCTCAGGCGTTTGTGCGAGCACCAGTACGGGAACTCGCCCAGAGTGCGGATCAACGGACACGTAGCAGCTCGCTTCCCCTTCATCCCTCTGCCTCTGGATTACATCCTGCCCGAGCTCCTCAAGAACGCCATGAGGTAACTTTACCACGATGTTTGTTCATCGCCAGCGTGACTGTCCTGTTCCTGCTGAGATTTAGAGATGGAAATCATAACGAGAGATTTTCGCTGTACTGGCATCAAATGATCTTTCTCTGTCCTTTGACTGTGAGAGAGGAAGAGCAATAAAGTGTTCATACTGTTACGTTATGAGTCCGGCTTTGTGGTCAGAGCTGCAGGCTGTACTGTGTGTTGTCGGCTACATTCCCATCATTCATTGGGAGCAGGAGAGAGCTGGTGCTGGTGTTATTTGTAGGAGTAGAGTCAGTGTTCTCACAGGCCCTTTTTGTTTTTGAAAACTGGGTCCTGTCGATGTTTGGCCCGCATGTACGCTTCATCTGCCAGCATTCCTGTGTATTTAGCACAAAAACAAAAAGCTCATAGCAACTGTGAGCAGCACCCAAAACAAATGTGACCCAATGGATTTCCATTCAATTCCTTTAATGTCTGCAGTGTGCCACAATTCAACACTTACTCCCCGTGCATGTGTATGTATTTGTCTCTTCAGGGCCACCATGGAAAGCCATCTGGACACCCCATACAATGTGCCCGATGTGGTCGTCACCATCGCCAATAATGACATTGATTTTGTCATCAGGTGAGCGGCTCAATGTCTGTCATTGCTGCTGGTTTCAAAACCTTATTTAATGACACAAATAAAACACCGCTTTATGAGTCCTTATCAGAAACGTAGCTGCTGTTTTAAACAAGCTGGCGGGTTTTCAGTCGTCTCTCGAAGCTTCCAAAGATAACTTTTCTTTCCCCCTTTTTTTTTTTTTAAAGGATTTCAGACCGTGGCGGCGGCATCCCTCACAATATTGTAGACAAGGTGATGGACTACCACTTCAGCACGGCTGAGGAGAGCGCACAGGACCCCCGCATGAGCAACCTCTTCAACAACATTACCAACAGTGGAAACCAGTCCAGCCCTATGCATGGGTAAGAGTACATCTAACATGGATACATCAAAAACACTTCCAGGCGCTAATTTCTGAAAGTCTGACACAAAAAAAAAAAAATTATCTTTAAAAAAAGTTTTGTTAGGTCTTTTTGACAAAAACAACAGTGCAGTACAACCAGGGTCCCCACGCGTCATGGAAACACCTGGAAATTGATTAAAATGAGCAAACATCCTGGAAATGTTTGTATTTTAGCCCCTCGCTCAGACCACCTACATAAACCTGGGTATGTCTTTTGTTTGGAAGGATAAACTGTACGACTTCTACCTTCATACAGACTAATAATCATCACATTTCTTGTTGCTGTGGTTGTTAATCGTACATTGGATGAACATAGAAGATGAATTTCATGTAAAATAAAATAAATTCTGCTTGATTTGAGCTGTTACTTATGAGCTGTGGTCAAAGTAATGTAGTCAATTTGCCAGAAACCGCAGCTTTTATGAGCTGCTGCTGTCCTGCATTGTCAAGAAAAACTCCTGGAAAGTGATTGTGGGAACCCTGACACTGAAACACACCAAAAACCAAATAACGTACACACGTACATCTTATCTACTCTAGGTGTGTCGGTATGTGAATTAGAGGTGGGCGATATATATCGTTTGTGATAATATCGTCATTGTTGTTTTGACGATGTGCAAATTTCCATTATCGAGTATTTATATTACTTCCACAAAAACAATGAAACGCCCGCGGAAACTCCTCACATCCATTAATACACGGTGCAGCAGCGCTCTCTACAGCATGGCAGGATTCAGTCACACGACTAGTGGGCCTACGTGATCACATGACGTGATCACGTGACCTCTCGCTAGCAACCTCTTTGCAACAGTTTAGCAGCGCGTTGTGATGGTAGAGAGAAAATGCAAACACCTCCAGTCCCTGAAGCTACCGGTACTTCAGATGATTTAGTGCTGAGACGTGGGTCCTATGGGCTTCAGCGTTCAGAGCACTAAGCGCCTTCAGCGGTAGAAAGATGTCAGCGGAGAGGTTTTTTTTTTTTTTGCGCAGCGCTCAGAGCGCTTCAAGTTGAAATCTGTTCAACTTTTAACACCGCTGGGCGCTCGGAAAATGAGTTTTTGAGCTCTCTCAGCGCTGTAAACGCGTTTGGTGGACACAAGTCCAGCTCAGACAATTCTAATCACATTTTAAAGGATATCGACTGATTATCGTTATCGCCAAAATCCCCAAAAATATTGAGATATTATTTTTTGCCCATATCGCCCACCCCTAATGTGAATATGTTTTATCCCTCCTGAAGTGTTCAGAGATTTGGAGAATCTAACAGCAGCTGAGAAGTTGTTGGAATAATGGCATACAAACACACTGTAAATATGTCAGCTACCTGCCGGTGAGGCCTCAGGCCCCCTTTTAAGTGTCTGGATATAAACCACATGTGTTTTAATGCACTTTCTTACACTTAATCACATGTACGTCTGCCATCTGTCAGCCAGTCAGTGAATCTAATTGCATGTGTCCTGGTTTTCTCAAGCTACATGCAAATTAAATTGTCTTCTCCGGCCCAGGGTGGTGATAATGTGGCTCAAACTCTTTTGTTAGCAGCTGAAAAAACACCAGCAGGGGAATGTGCACTTTAGTTAGCTAACCATCCATCAAATAACAAAAAAACCCAGAAAAGGCCCGGCGAGGACAGGCTGCGAGTGAGACAAGCGTTGTGCTCGTCTCTGTGGGCTCTCACTTACTCACGCTGCTCACTCACCCACACAGATCAATAAGTGGTGGCGCTGGGATCAGCAAAAAACGCTACAACAGCAGGTTACATCATCTGTGTGTTGAGCTGCATGCTTTAATGTGAGGGAACAAAGCTGCTCGTGTCACGTATCACAGGAGATGCACTGTATTAGTGGCTGCTTCCACAGATGGGTGTCGGTACGATTACACACAGGCAGACATTATAACTCCCTCTTAAGGTGCTTTGTGTTAATGGGGTATCTGCATTTCACAAGACATGTCCTAACAAGGGCTGCACGATATGGTATAATTTAAAAAACTATGAAAATCCTGATGCTGGGACATTTGTTGAGGTCTGTAGAACCAAACAAACTTGTTTTTCGTACCTCTGGAGGAAACATTTGTAGGTCAGGGCATCTCTGCAGCACAAAAGGACTTCATTATAATTATTGTATATTGCACTTAACTCGATATTCTGATTAATTGCGCAGCCTTAGTCCTAACTGCGTATGAGCGGCCGATGTAACGCGATAGTAATGCCGTCTTAACGTTACAATAGAAGGCCACAATGCAGCGTTTTCATATATACTCACATTGGTGTGGACCATTGACGTATAAAAGATGAACGTCGCGTCTCCACTTCCTCCCGCTGTACAAAAATAAAGCTGCGGTATCAAAGTCCCGCCCAGACGCTCGGCAGACGCAGGGCTCAGCTGTCAATCAGGATGTGAAACCCCGTTTTTATAGCTTCAAATAACTAATAAAACTGAATTTATCTGAAAAATCAACACTTAACAAACATCAGTGTGGTAAGAACTACGTAAAATGAGAGAATCCATCTTTTGGAACCATCTTTTTTTAGTTTGTCCCATCTACGTCATATGGCGTCCATCTTTATACATGCCGATGGTGTCAACCTGGTCAGACAGGAAAGGGGAGAAGGTGGAGTTTTGGGTTTATTAAATCATGACATCAATGCCACTTCTTGGGTCCAGTGTCCACCCGTATTTACCAGCAGCTGGCATTTCACAGTTCACCGACGCTTTCAGGTTTTTACCTACAACTGTCCTCTTTGTGTCCTGCAGGTTCGGCTTCGGCTTGCCCACATCCAGGGCCTACGCTGAGTACCTGGGCGGCTCTCTGTCCGTACAGTCTATGCAGGGCATCGGCACCGACGTCTACCTGCGTCTGCGCCACATCGACGGCAAAGGAGAGAGCTTCCGAGTGTAAAGCCCCGCCGTCGGTCACCCTTGTAGAACACAGGAATCAGGCCATGCAGGAGGACACCAGGAAGGCTGGCATGGACTACAGGACTTTGGTCCACACAGTGATAGCCTACACAGTATGTTGTCAGAAAGCTCCTAAATCCACCAACCCACTACTTGTTCTTTATTTTTTTTTGTTGTTGTTGTTCTGCCTTAGACTGATTATAAGCTATGTTAGCTCTCAAGTTGATTATTTCAGTTGTTTTTTTTCCTTCGTGTTTTGTACCCTGTGGCATGTCGTCTTGAAGTTTTATGGGGTGTATGAACTTTTGAATGTTTTAGGTTATCGGGACAAACTGTGCATAGTGGACATTGACGTTACTGTGGAAGGAAAGGAAGGAAGGAAGAGCTTCAGTTTTAAAGAAGTTCATTTTGAAGTCACACAGCCTCCAAAATAGGAACAGACGTTTTGATGATTTAAAAAAAGAAAAACAAAGTTTCAAAGGAAACTTCCTGAGACACTCCAGCAACCCTGTCAAAATCTCCTCAAAGTGCACAAAGCTGCTCGCATGTTCCACAACGATCAACACAACCGTAGTCTGAGTTACCAGAGCCTTCCAGTACGTTATCAGCTCTTTGTATCAAAATCTAAAAGGGTCTACAAGGTGGTGGATGGGGGGGGGGATAAAACCCAGCTCTGGTGTCCTCGGTATTAAAGCGCTCTCCAGCACGAGCTGTAAACCTCAACCGTCGACGACCGTTAAGCGTCATTCAGCAAAGCCTTGAGTTCAGCTGCGGCTGGTACACGCAGAAGAAAAACTGCCAAAAACACCGAAAGCTCATTAACAGACCTCCGTCTCGTTCCGTTTGGAGAACACGCGCCGCGATCCAACATCTTTTTCTTTGTTCAGCAGTATTTTTGTGGAGCTTTTCAGGCAGGGAAGCCAACCCGAGATGTTCAGTGGCCTTACTGTGTGATGTTTAAGTCCTTCAACTGCATGCTGACTTTTACTTGTTTTTTGTTTTTCTTTGTCGTTGCCTTTATCGGTTCACACAGATGCACAACCACCATGTCAGTTTCATTAGTTTGGATGTCAGATGTGTTTTTTTTTTTTTTTGCACAATGAATAGATTTCCCATTGTGATGCTCAGCACTTGCACCAATCATAGCGTTTTTTTTTTTGACTAACAATATACCAGAGAAGTATTGTCTAATGTTGTCTCCTTTTTTTCTGTTTTATCTCTATCTATTTAGTTTTTTGTTTTTTTTTTGTTGTTTTTTTAGAAAGTGTTTCTGTTGTATTTCAGGTTTGCTGTCTTTTTGAGATAAGTTTTGTATAAAATAACATTTCAGGATCGGTCAGTACACGGAGGTTCAGTTTGGCTGAGGTCGCTCGTCATTTTTAGGTCAATTTTGTCAAGATCTCAACTTAATGTGAGCGTTACTTTGAGACAACGAATGGCCATATCTTGTGGGGTTTATTTTTAGAAAAATTCTACTTATTTTGTGATTTTTGTCCCTTTTTCTTTCTTCTAATTTAGAAATATTGAGTTCCCTAACGACTAAAGGTCTCAGTGAGCTGTCAGAAATCAGTTTTTACTTTCCCCTGTACAAATTATTTATTACAACAAAGACCCTTTTTGCTACCGTACAAGCGAGATGGTGTCAGCTCTTGTTGCACTCCAGCTACGTTTTTCCGTAACTGAACGTGACGAAAAATGATCACGTTGCTGCAAACTGCACAGAACATACTTGGAGTTTTGCCCAACTCCTCAAACGCCAACTAAACTAAGATAAATAAAATGCTCGCTTCAGCTCATTGTCTGTACTACTAAGAATGCGCAACTCCTCGTTGCTGCTTTAATTTACAACATTATCTCTCGATATCACAGTTTTTTTTTTCTCTAATCGTCTCAGGATAACGGGCGTCTGTACTTCATGGTCTATCCAAGTCGGTTTCATAAAGTCATTCCTCTCGACCTGAAGACAAACAGATGAATACAACAACAACAACAAAAACACGATTTATCTTGTAAACAAGCTCGAATTCGCAATATCTGCCACATTGTGCATGCATAACCTCACAAACATTTGACCCTTTATGCCAAATTTACTGCGGCTGCCAAATAGTTGGGAAATATTCGTGGACGGACCGACCGAAAGAGCGAACTATAGAAAAAACGGTCGAGTTGTGATCTTGACATAACGTAGCAAAAATGATTAGCAGACCCCGGCCGCTCTGAGTTTCCAGTTACAGTTGTATAAATCAAATAATACAGAGTCAATAACACGACGTTTCAGACATTTTCCCACCTCAAGCACTCCTCACATTGTGTTGAACATTCCCCAGTGAGCACCAGTCATCCACCAACACATCGAACTGAAAGCTACATTCACACTTTATCTGTTGGGAGCATTTGTTATTATATTAGCTTATACTGTTTAGCAGAGAGGGCATTGGGAATCTCGAGCTGTAATTACCAGGATTGGAAATCTATTAAGTTTGTCTTCATACGTTTTATTTTTTTTTTTTTCGGTTTTTGGCTCAGAGAGAGACTCCACCTGTGATTTGACCCCCTTCCTAAGTCCCGCCCCTTTTTGGACCTGGTCAACTTTTTCCTTTCCCGTACTTAAAAAGCTATGCTAGGCTAATCTGTATTGGAAAAAATAATCAAATTTTTAGCTCATGTTAGCATAACATAAGCTAACTAACTACTTAGATAATCTACATCCGTCATTAGCTGGCTAGTTAGTGTTTTGCTACGGAGCAAATATTTATATTTAGTCTACATATCTTAAGTTAGCTAATGGTAATTAACATCAACTGTTAGCTCGCTAGTTAGATGGCGTTTTGCTACAGAGCTATAGTCTGTGTAACTTAAGTTAGCTAATGTTAGCAAAAACATTCTGCATCAATCATTAGCTAGAGTTTTAACTAGCTAGATAGCCAGCTAGCGATTGATGTAGCTAGATAAGCTCAGTAGTGAGCTAACGATTTAGCTAACTTAAGATATGACTATATTTATATATATATATATAATATTATATTATTATATAATATTTTAACTATTGCCAGATGTGGTTGGTTTTTTCCCCCAACATGTACTAGCCTAGCACGTAGCATATCTAGCTACAAGAAAGGAGGAAGTTGGCCGAGGCTTACTCAACTGTTATTGGAGCACAGAGCAAAAAGGGGCGGGTCTTAGGAAGGGTCAGTTATTGGTTATAAATCACCGACCTGGAGTCGCACAACCTTTTATTCTAAAGCTGCATCATAAAAGCTTTAGAATGACAGACACTGTTTGGCCATAATGGGAAAATTGGTCTGTTTTTTGTTCTCTAAAACCTATAAATTATATACGATTCTGACACGTTTTATATCTTACAAATAACTGGTTCGCTTGGATTTGCACTCACAACTTTTTTTTGTTTACATACAAAATGTTCCTTGAGTTAAAATGAGATTTTAGCTTGTGAGACATTGTGAAAACACGAGCGAACCACTTATCTGAGTTGTAAGATGTTGAAAACATAATCTGATTTAATTGGTGAAATATTTATTTTATGAAAACAAAAACACGCCCGTATAATTCCCAGCTCCAGAGCGACGGAGAGCGGCTTGTATTACCTTTACCTGTATTCTCGCCGAGGCCGTGTATATGAATCAATGTGTTTATTGTGGCTTTGAAGGTCTTGAAGATGTAGTATATATATGTATGTAGCTTATGCATGTAAAGCAGATGCTGGTAGACGGATGGTTTAAGGTTTGTGTCCCTTTTTTTTAGAGACGCATTCGCAGGCGAACCGGCATCATTCAGAGGTTTTCTCCTTGTCCAAAATGCTGCTGGTGAAATGTTTCTGAAGGTGGTTTGTAAATTGTGGATTTGGCAGCCAGGCTTTTATGAAGCATGGCACGTGTACTGTCTGCCCCCTGCTGGTCTAAAAGGAGAAGTGCAAGCAGACTAGAAAAAATACTGGGGGGTTTTTTTGAAGAGGGAAGAGGATGTGCAACAAAATTTTCCCAGTTACTTTTTGCAGATAGAAATGAAGATTAATAGAAAAAAATAATAATAATTTCTCCATCATTTCCAGTACAAAGCCAAATATTGGACTTACTGACAGAATGTGCTGCCATGGAGTGTTTTGTCTCCTTGACTGAAATTAGTTTCTCTCTCATGTCTTTCTGTTGTGTTCAGGACTCTGTAAACATTAAATTTTACTTGGTTGGAACTCTTTTGTGGTTTAAGTTTCATTGTGCATCTCTTTGTCAGGAAGTTACTGTCGTCTCAGGAGTCTCGCAGCTATCTAGAGGACAATCTTTAAATATTCGCAGACTCTGTATTTACCTGCAGTGTGCAGCGGCGCCGATGGGACCGGTACGTGCTGCTCTTCAGGAAAACACATTCCTGTGTCAGCGGTCAACCATGACACCTCCGCAACAGAAAGCTTTCATCGGATTCAAGCAGTTCACACACACACACACACTCACGTATACATTTACAATTACAGTTGATGTTATATTAACTGTTGTATCTTTGCTTTTTATTTTGTAAAATTTAAAGTGTCTGTCATCATACTAGCAGCTCTGTGAGGTTGTATTTAGTATAGATACACACATACACACACTACAGCAGTGGTTCCCAACCTTTGTCCTAAAGAAACCCTTTCTCTATCATTTTCTATCTATTTTGAGCTGATTATTTTCTTGTGTGCGTCCGATATTTTGATATGATTCTGTCTGTATTATGCTTTTATTTTTAATAGTCATACATATTTAATAGGCTTCTTTTTTTCCCTCCCTGATGCTTGGATATTGTCCTACACTGTTAAAACAACCAACGCGCTCATAGAACAATGAGAAGGAAACACTGAATGTGTACAAAAAAAGAAGCCTATTAAGAGAATTATATAAAAAGTTACTAAAAATATCAGAAACTCCTCTCTGATTTAATATTTACAGGAAACAATCTGCACATTATTCATTCAGATTGCTCGTTCACATTCGCTCCATAAAATGTCACTTACTCAGTGATAGAAAAGGATGGGAATCACTGGAATATATCAGCTGTTCCCAAACTTTTCCATGCCAAGGCCCCCCAAATAGCATTGTTTTCCAAGATGTCTTTAAAAACCAACTGACAATACTATAAACAGTAAGATTTCCATATGTTATATATTCTTATTTATTATATTCTTTAATAATAGGGTCATAATTCTTCCCTCAAAGTGTCTGAGCCCCCTCTGGCACCCCCTTGTGGCCCCCAGTTTAAAAAAACACTGAGAAGTCAGAGTATCTGTGTATACTAGAAAAAGAAACCCATTATCTCAAGATCACAAGTTAATGGTTTAGTTATCAAAGAAAATAAGAGGGCAATTTTCTCGAGAACTAAATTGTCTCAAGATAACGGCACACTCGAGCGGTCTCGGCCTCCGTAGATCTGCCATTTTAACATGTTTGTTCTGCTTTTGAAGAACTCACAAGACACAATTAAAACTTTACATGTTTTATTTTGGAAGTCTGTTGCAGGCTGTGAAATTTAATCTTCCAACACCGGTCTCCGTGACCTCTGCGGTTATCATTTAAGAAGCACAAACACGAGACAAAGTACGACACAACTACGACTACAAGTGCACTTTTTGTCTCCTCTGAGAAGCGAGAAACAAACAACTGAGCAACACTTTGGTCAGTCATCTTATTTGGAATGTGACAGTTTGTACATTTCACTTATAAACGCAGTAACGTACTCTGACCTCGTCCTGTGTGTGTGTGTTCAGTTAACACACACACACACACACACACAGAAAGGTCTCCACTATTTTAGTATTTACACTGGAGATCACAACGTGCACTCTTGTCTTCACCATTCTGACCTTCTCTCTCTCTCTCTCTCTCTCTCTCCGTCCCCTCTCTCTCTCTCTCTCTCAGACGTTCAGGCCAACATTCCTGGCTGTGTGTGACCTTAAGCAAAACAGCATTTCATAAAAAGGCAATCATTCTGTAAGGCAGAACTATATTTGGACAGTAACACATTCATATTTAAGCACTTTGAGCAGCGTCAGTATGCACACATGACCGGTTTGACACCTTTTACACAGGCTCCGTGGTCTTTGTAAGACAGGAAAAGCTATTAGGAGGAAGAAGATGATAAAATGTTTGAGGCTTGTCTGTCACTTTAAGACTTTACAACTCCGATGGTAGTTGTTTTTTTGTTTTTCATGCTGCACCAGTACATGTTGTAGAAATGCCCACAATCAGTCAGAAGAGAGTTGCAGTCAGTGTGATGTATGATCCAGCTCTTTACGGTTAAAACAACAATCTGAGTTTTATTGTGAAACGTGAGCCTGACCGAGGATAACGCACCACGTAATCCATGCAGCGGGATTGGGCTTCGATGGTTCGTTTAATCTCTTATTGAATCCATTTAACGGTTTGTAAGGATCTGAATCGATCAGCTTCTGTTGGCAGATAAAGCAGAAACACTACAGCTGTTAGTGGCTACAACACTGAGATAAACGCCATAAGACATCAAATGTTGCTCAAACGCACAAAAACAAAACTTTGGCACACGTCAAGGTCCTGATTCACAACTATTAAACCGTTCAGTTTAAAAAGGGGCAGTGTGGAACATTCAGGAGGATCTATTGTCAGAAATTAAACATAATATTCACAGGTATGTTTTCATTAGTGTATAATCACCTGAATATAAGAATTGTGTTTTCATTAACTTAGAATAAACCGTTTAAATTCCTTGGAAGGCGAGTGGTATTCAGTTGCAATCTGCAGCTTCACCACTAGATGCCACTAAATCCTTCACACTGGCCCTTTAAATTGATAGTCAAGTACAGAAAATTAACTGGGAGATTCCCATTACTGACCAGAGTCCATAAACTATTCTGATAACTGATTCATTGCTTTGAGTCATTTTTTAAGGAAAAAAAGCCCGTTTGAAGTTAATACATAAAACTCATTGATTTAAAAAGGAACTCTCCCTAATTTTATCATAGCAGATTCCAACATTTCCTCTCAGCTCACTGTCGGGGGTTCACTTTGGGCAATAATCAACATTTTTCACCGTGTTCTGGGCCAAACAGCAAGCAGTTAATTAAGAAAAGTATCGACAGATTGATGGATAATGAAAATAAAGGCTGGTTGCAGCCCTGCGGAGCGGACTCACCGCTGTGGAGAGGTTCTTCTTTCTCTGTTATTAATTAGCTGACGCTCCGGGCAGGAGAGATAACAGATTCAATAGGAGATTTGTTGCAGTTAATCCAGGTGTTTTGCATGGACCCAGATCCACAATGGACGGCTAATGTCACCCAACCCTAACATGAAAACAAATACGACACACAGAACATAATAGCCCTTTTTCTGTAAACCTTTTTACCACGCATATCACAATGAGATCTAAAACACAGCCGCGTCCCACAACACAACTTTGCCCCCAGAATAAATTAGCAGTCTGACGTGTGTCGGCAGTCTGTGCGAGGAGCTCGCTGCATCGACGAGGACCAGAGCAAACGGCGGGGAGGAAGGAGGGCTTGATAAATACGGGATACAAAAGGCAAGTCCTTAAAGTCGCCGCCGTGTTCTCACACAGTCTGGAGGCCTCTCTCGTGGCCGTCTAGCTGTATCTTTATCTTGTGCAGCTCCTCGATCTCCTGGTGGTGGCGCTCTGTCTTGTGGCCCACCAGAGAGCGATAGAAGTGGACGGTGAACACCAAAAAAATCACCCCCACTGGAACCATGATGATGGTGGAGGCCAGCGCAGCCTGCCAGCCGCTGTTCTGCGGCCCGCGCGCCGTGGTCTTCACCACGGCGGTGGCCGATACGGGGCTGCACGTGGTGGTCTTTTTGATGTCGCTGGAGTCTACGGGCAGGAACTTGATCCAGCAGAGGAGCACCACCTCGGCCAAAAACAGCAGGATGCCCAGGGCCGTGGAGAAGCCCCAGGCCAGCTCGATGTAGTAGTGCATGCGCTCGTGGGGCGACTCGCTGACGGAGTTGAGGTTGTGGATGTTGCTGACGGCCTCCACGTTGGGCAGGATGCAGGTGCTGATCAGCAGGGCGAAGAGGTGCACCGCCACCAGCACCGTGGTGCACACGCTGAAGGCGATGAGGAGCGGCCGGGGGTAGTCGTACTGCGTCTCCAGCTCCACCTCCACCATGGCCACCTGTGACACAAACACACGGACAACGTCATCACAACGGTTCCCATGTTACACAAGTTGTTGTTACAAGTTCCACTCCAGACAGCAGCGCCCAGCGGCGTGCGTCACACCAGCCGACGCTCCTATTGTCTATGTTTACAGTAAGTGTAGTTAGCATCTTTATTAGCTAGTAGCTGGCAGTGGCTGGTGAAGCGTTCAGGGACACCACCATGTTTGCTGTCAAACGTTTGACTATGCGAGAGCAAACTGTACCGACAGGTCCGCCCTGGACTGCAGGTTTCCTGTTTGGTTGCCGGTGGCATTTTCTAGACGGCAGTAGGTTTTGGAATTCGCTCCGTACTGAATGAAGCTCGTCTGGAGCACAGAAAGCAGTCTCACATTTTAGAGGACATAAACATATAAAAACATATAAAAACACATTTTTGAGTGGAGGGGAACTTTAAACATCTCGTGACCCTGACATGTGGATTACACTATGGGCTACCGGGCTACCATGGGACTGCCAGGATTCTGCAAGTACAGCAATTAGTACAAAAGATAAACAGTTTTATGATATATCTAATTGAAGCCTGTGGCTAAATCTGACTCCCAAGGTAAACTGCCTTGAGAAACATCCGATCACAGATCTTAGAAGATCTTACTTAAAGATTACAGTTTTAAGAAAGCTGAGATTCTGGACCAGTGTTAGATGTTAGATGAGTTTGGTGTTTTTGATCCTAACGGCAAAGATGAAGAGTGGATTTGCAGCATCTCTGATTCACATCTCTGACTGGCTTATTCTCCATGGCAACAGTGGCTGTGGCTCATGGGTATCGCAGTATTCAGAGCCAGCTGCCACACCAAGCTGACGAAGGAAATACATTAAAAAAACCACAAACAAGCTGCAAGTGCCGGAACCAGATTAAGCTTACAATTACCACAGTATAAGACCAGTCCTGTGTATTTATGAGAGAAAACCTGGCTCGTAATATCTTACAGTGGACGTACAGGTGGCTGTCAGTGGGCTGTGTGCTGTATCAAAGTTACAGTTTCTGCTTCTTCACTCACTATAAACTCTTAAAGGATGCTCAGATGTTGTGGAACTGATGGTTGGTCGCCATAAACCAACAAAATGATGAGTATGGCAACAGGAAATTACATTTAAAAGACAAACTATAAAAGCAGTTTGTTGTTGAACAGGAAACACTGAAACCTTCAGAAAACAGGAAGTTTAAAATCAGTTCCTGTGTGCAGCTTTAAATGGAACATGCAGGTTACTGTGGTGGATTATCTAGATCAAAACAAGAACTGAAACATGCAACCTGGGACCACCGAACGCAGACTCTATGTCCTTAAAGAGGCTGAGTTGCAGTGACGTAGGGACTGACCATTGCGAAGCCAGAGAGCAGCGCGGAGGTCCGGCTGGAGGCCTTCAGCTTGGCCCGGCTCAGGTAGAGTTTCCTCCAGGACAGGGCCTGCACGGAGTGGTGGTTGGAGCTGACCAGCTCCAGGTAACTGCGCCGCACCCAGTCCCTGTAGTCCATCCCCCCGGAGTCCGGACCCCGCTCCGAGCCCCCCGGGGCCGGGGAACCCATGGGCACGTTCAGCTCACTGCTCATGGCACCTGGCGGGTTTAAAAGGAGAGAGATGGTCAACATGGTGGTGGTGATACTGGCAGTATTCTGGCGTACAGCTGGAGGTTAACACTGCTACCCACTCCCCGGTGAAAAGGGGAAGGGGCGGCAGTACGGTGGAAGTGATTGTGGTTGCAAAAGATCAGGTAATTAGGTAATATGTAAGAGATGCAACAAAAGAGAGCAATACACCGAACTTATTTCCCCAGCCGAGTACAAAGAGAGCCCCACAACTAATGTGAGCTCAGTATCAACACAGAAATACCGATATTACAACTGCAACTATTAGTGGATAAATCCATTAGTCGACTGACAGAAAGTTAGTTTAACGAGTGAGGACAATGCATGTACTGTACCAGATACTCCAAAACAAGTGTTTCTGGGAAATGAGTCTAAAAGGGATCTTGTTAAACATGTTTTGCATTAGAAAAGTAATCTGGTTTCAAGAAAATATATCTAACTTAAGATGTTACAGCTCATATTGAGCTAAATTTAACCAGTTACAACAAAGGTTTGTGTAACATCCCAGCAGAGGAACCAGATTATTGTCCTTATAGAGGAAGAGCAGCTGTTTCATTGTTTTAAATAAAAAATGCTTCATTTAAACACAAAGTCACTTATTTGTAAGATTTTGATAATTATTAACCTAAGATTAAAAAAAAAGGTACAAATTCTTAAATTCAGCTCAATAAAGTTACAAAATACTTATTTTAAGGAAGTCTACCTCAATAACTCAACCTTCTTATATTTTTCTACTTTTAAGGCCCATTACAGGTTTTCAGTGGTGAGATTTTAAAGACGTAAATTCTGAAAAACAACAAGCACCCAGAAACAAACAAACAAACAAACAGAAGAACAAAAAGCAACTAAATTCCCACTACAGAGCAAACCCACCACAACCCAGCACAGTCATCAGTATAAGAAGGGACCAACCATACTCGGTAGTTTATCCATGACTTTTAATTCTTGCTTATATAGACTGAACTCATTTCTGTTGTTATTCAAGAAAAAACTGTCAAACATTTACTGGTTCAGCTTCTTAAATCTGAGGATTTGCTGCATTTATGATAGTAAATTAAGTTTTTTGGGAGTTTTGCACTGTTGGTTGGACAGAAGAATCTACTGTAACACATCCCTTTGGGCTTTCACCAACGACGAACCAACAATGAAAATAATGGTTAGTTACAGCCCTACCTGAAATATTGTGATATTATTTTAGAGCCTTATCACCCACCCCTAATGTCAACGGCTCCTCTTCACTAAGACGACATAAGAGGCTGCAATGTAAGCAGCGTGACTTAACTACGATCAGATAAAACTGAGCCTCTGCCACACACCCATCATGTAAAAGTGACGGCAACTCAACACGACGTTCTCAGGTCTGTCTGAGTCAGTTCAGATCGAGTTACAACTAACACAAAGCACCCAAATACACACTTCATTCAGCCCACATGATCATTTAATTGTGTTAATCGTTTAATGTCTTGGGAGTTAAGTTATTGAAAGTTACCATGTTAACTGTGTGCACTCTATCAGAGTGCAGGGAGTGTTTCCTGTGTCCCATCGATCATTACCAACCAACAATAACTCTTCTCTTTTTAGGGAAACCACAAACATTCCCACAACACACAGTGACCCTCCCTGCGGGGGCATCGGGATGAGATCCATCTCTCATAATAATGTCCCCCGCCCCCCTCAGTGTGTGTGTGTGTGTGTGTGTGTGTGTGTGTGTGTGTGTGTGTGTGTGTGTGGTAGGAACAGGAAGCAAATAAAATGACAAAGATAAAGCGTAGATAAAAAAGTAGTTGGCAGTAAATAGCAGCGACTGTGCTCTCATTTTCTGTTTCACCCAGAAACTACATGATAATACGCAGCAGTTGCATTTGTTTACCGGCTGTTGGGATGAACAGTTGTTGTTGTGACCAGTTTGAAATGCAATAATGATTCAAGTTCAATGATCAACATAAATAAAGCTGGTACATTTGTTCTCATTGTCCACGAAACAGTAAGAAAAGTTTGTGTGTGAACAATGTTCTCTACAGTGTGAACAATGTTCTCTACAATACAATACTACACAGATATACACTATATAACCAAAAGTAATTAATAAGAGTTTAATACAGCAGACGTACATCTCAGCACGTCATTCATCTCTGTGAAGAATCAATTAAATTGTATTGAAGAGATAAACTTTGAGGATTGGGGCTCTGCGACACGGCCTCGTCCTGCATTAGAAAGTATGCAGTTAAAAAGAACCACAGAGCAAATAGATTAATGAGAATAAAGCACTGAATTTGTCAAAAAAAAGAAGTCTATTAAGGCTGTGTGATTGTTAGAAATAAAAGAAATACATAATACAGACAGAGAACTGTACAAAAAAAATGCTTAAAAATATTATTCACTGGAAATAATCTGCTCAAAATTCATCCAAATGGTTCGTTTTACACAACCTGATCTGGACAACAGTCTCGGTGGTAACAGTTAAGGGAAAGGCACTTTCCAGTTTGAACAGGACAACATGTCAAAGTCAAGCCCATGAAGAAACTGTTTTCCCAGTTTGGTGTGGAAGAACTTGCCTGGCCAGCACAGAAACCTGACTGCAACCCGCCCCCCCCTGCCGCCATCCAGCTCTGACTGCGAGCTAGAACTTGTCACCCTACATCACTAACGCGAGCAAATTCCTGCAGCCGGGATCCCGAAAAGTCAAAGAGTACAAACCGAAGACCGGAGAGGCTGACATACCAACATCTTAAAGTGTAACTACACCCTTCAGTCCTGCTGGCTCCCTCCCTCACAGCAAGCATTAAAACCTGCATCAGAGACACACACAGACACACACAGACAGACAGACAGAAACACAAAGACACACATATAACACAGCAAACTCACATGATGAGTCTCCATCAGATAACATTTGAAAATGAGAGCAGTGGTTTCACACCCTCCCACTCAGAGCGGAGGCTGGGGGAAGGTGTTAACATCTGTTTTTTTTTTTTTTTTTTTAATGTGACGTAAAGTAGTCCCAAAGTGACGAATCACATCTAATCTGAGCTACTATTTGTGGTAGAAAGCAGAACTACAGGTCTAATTTTGCAATGTGACCTCAGTGTGAGCATTCATATCGGTATGAACGGGACTTTTATGTCACTGTGGATCAATGTTCGTCAGGCTGGTGGTTTCAGGACCCGTTCACACTGGAATCAGTCAAACCACAAAAAAAAACACCATCAGATCCGAGCATTAACTCAGATTTGAGCACAACGGCTTACAGTGTGAACGCAGCCTACGATGGCCTCACGCGGTTCTGTGTGATTTAAAACAGATTTTCCACCAATGAAATGCCGATTTCCATACATTTGGTAAGAAGGTCAACTTTAACGTCACATGATTTAGTTTACAGCTTTAAAAAAACATAACGCAGTCACTCATCGCTGTGGGTGAATTTGGTGACGTCTCAGCTCAGCTCCCCCATTCCTCTCGACTAACCACGACTCTTTGACTGTGCAAACACAAACCACTGGTTTTCCCAAGTTTGTACAAACTGGCACGCAAACCGTAAAAATTTATTTTTATTTTTTTTTAATTTAAAAAAAAAAAAAATGGGTTTAAAAAAAAAATTTTCTGTTTTTCTCTTTTAAAAAAAATTTAATATTCTTTTTTTGTTTTTATATTAGTTATTTTGATGGTGATTTTGGTATTTTTTTGACACATCTACAAAACAGTGGAAAGAAAGATATTAGTTTATTTTTTTTTAAAATGATGTTTGTGTTGTTGAACGCAGTGGAGCTCAAACATCTCTGATCATTCTCCTCTAATTTGTTGATTAAGTTATAAATTAGGACTGCACAATTAATTGAACTAAATGTACAATGTGTGTATTTAAATGAACCTCTAGAGACGTCCTGGCCTACACATCCATGTTTGTTCAGTACAGAACTCAACAAATATTTACCATCATGCTGATTTTAACAGTTTCAACAGTGAAAACGACATTTTTCTGATACCAATAGTGAAAGAAATAAATGCAATATGACGTTTTTAACACTGTCCCGTTGTAAATGTGTAAAAGATATAATAATTGTGTATATTCTCACTGATTGATCAGAGCAGCATTGTCCTGAAATAAACTTTTATTCAACTGAAAACCTGCTAATTTATACACATATCAATGAATTTATGAATTAACACTGACACATCCTGCATTAAATCATCATGAGTAATCCATTACTTTAAGACAGGGGCTCTCCCAACTTTGTGGGAGGTTAAAAACTTAAAAAAATATACACTGTAGGCCTATATCTGATCTCATTTGTACATTTCTGTGAAGAAAACCAAATGAAATTCTTGTGTTTCAAGTTTAGATTATTATCTCTCTCTCAGCCTCACGCTGCATCAACCACAGAGCTGATAGAACAATGAGAAGAAAACACTGAATCTGTATAATAAGAAGCCCACTAAACACACATGAATGTTAAAAACGCATGATACAAGCAGATAATCTTATAAAACAACCCTAAAAATATCTGATGCTCACAGGAAATAATCTGCTTTAAAAAAAAGTACAGAATGACAGAAAAAGTGCTTCCTTACAGAAAAAGGTTGGGAAACACTGCTGCTGAAGGAGAACTGCAATAAAAAGTGATTAAAAATATCAGGAAAACTCATCTTTGGTGCAAAATGACAGGAAATAACCCCCCCCCCTTTAAAGGAGCCAACCACTGCTGTCAGTGCATGAGTTAAACCTTCATTATAAAGTACAGTGATGCATTCAGGGGTAAAAATACAAATCATATCTCTACCTGTCTAACTTTGGAGAGCTGGACTCATTTTTTTGGGGGGGGTTCTGCAGGGATAGCACCACTTCAGCAGAACAGTGCACCTGAACGCCTCATGTATATTTAGAAACAAGTTAGCAGGATCCGTTTACCGGACAGAAAGCCAGTTTAACGGAGAGCTGCGGTTATTTAAAATATTATATTATTATTATTATTATTATATAAAGTCCTCGGGGGGGTACATTTAGACTCCTCGTGGTTATAAACCCGCATTCAGAGTGAACCAAGAGTCAAAAACAACGCTGAGTTCAGGCGCAGACTCTCTCGTTGGCTAACTTAGTGAAGCTAACTAAACTAGCACGCTTTCCAAATCACGCCACGCGCCTGTAATTGATTCCTTTTAGATTATTTTTTTGGTTTTTCTTCTTACCCTTCTTTCTGGTGATCGATACAGGCTCCTGGAAGCCGCTCTCTCTCTCTCTCTCTCCTCACTGTGCAGCTCAATAAATGAACGCTGTCCGGATTCACTGCGACTGTTTTTGGTTGAACTATTTCCGGTTGCAGTTACCGACAGCCCCCCCCCCTCAGTCGCACCTGTGTGGTTGGCTTTATGTTCCTCGCGGCCAGGTAACTCCACCGGGCATCTCTCGGTTGTTTGCTCTGGCGCCGTTTGGACCGTAGAACCGGGCGGATGGAGAGGGAAAACTAAAGTCTTTACACAAAGGCTTCCGGTTCTGTTGGGCGTGTTGCCTTCAAAATAAAAGCACAAGGTGATTTGCATTGAATTTGCATAGAGGAGAGGGACACATTAAAGCTGCAGTAGGTAAAATAACTGATTATTAACTTGTTATATTTGCGGGAATTTTCACAGTGTCCTGACAGTAGAACACGAGACAGATAATCTCATAATAAGTGAAAAAATTAGGTCCCCCTGGCTCCTTCTAGCTCTCCTAAAGATATTTGCAAGAATCCACCCGCCCAACCAATCAGAGTCCAGAAAGATATAAAGACACTTAAAGGGTTGAAGATTGTTGATTGTTGCGTCTCAAAAAATCCTCCCTGTTATTTTTTTAAATAAAAAAGACCTACTGCATCTTTAATTACGTATTTTTAATGCACACACCATCACATCCACTAAATAAGAGCCTGCACTGAGAATAAAAATACTATAAAAAGATATCCTATAACCCTTTCTTTTAATTTTTCTTACTGTCACTTATGAATTTATTTAGTAACTCTTTGCTTTATTATTATTATTCTCTTTGTCTATAAAGTAACTACTGTAAGGGGCCACATTTCAATAAATGAAGAGTATTAAAATAAATGAATAAAAAGATTTAGCCTATGTTAAATTTACATTTAATGCATAAACCATCACATCCATTAAATAAGAGCGTGCACTGTCGGTCAGTAGGTAGGTATTCTATTGATCCCAAAGAGGAAAAAAGGCATTACAGCAGCTTATATCTCAAACAACAGCAGCAAAAAATAAGGTAACAATTGTAGGATAGAATAAATAAAATTAAAAATAAATAGACATCTGACGCAATACACAATAAGAGCATTGCTTACTGCTTACATTTGATTGTAACTGCACTAAAACTATTTGATCTGAAGCTTAGCAACACACACACACACACACACCGTCCACATATCAATAAAGAAAAATAAGAGAAGTCGTTCTGTTCAACTGACTGAATAAAATGTATAAATACAAATATTCCTCATCCAGTGATTCTGCACGACACAAGACAGAAACACACAATTATAGTCCAAAGTGGGAGCTGTATCATTTTTTTTTTACACATTTGTTGTTATTTTTACCACGGATCTGAAAATCCATGCTGGTGTAATGAGATGATCCCTTCATGGTAACTTCAGTATTGGGTTCACACCCATAACAGGGTAAAAATATAAGTATGAATAATGAAATGATAATCCTGAGCCTTCATGGAGGTGATCTGTCAGTGACGTGGACTACCATGACCCCTTGTCCACAGTGGCACTAACCCCAGAAGCACATGTATTCCTGTCAACTGTTATTTCAGACATCTCCATTTATCAATCTGTTTTTGTATTAAGGATCCAAGGTCCATGTTGACGCCAGCCACTGGCCATTCCTCAAGCTCTGAATAACCAGTTCAATTTCACACTGCAACATTTCTATTTTTCCTCTCGCTGGCAGCCTGGCGTTGATGAGCAAATGTCCACCGAAGCAAACTGGAGAGAGTGTAAGAATGGAGCTCTGTTGAAACATCCTCAAGATATCTTTGGCCTGGACTTGTGATGATGACAATGGCAGCACTGTTTATATTTATATGAACAGAATAGCGAGCGGGTCGCTGCCGTAACCAATGTGGCATGTGCAAAAGGACCGCAAGAACATATTGCTTTTGCAGAATGTAATCAAGGAAATGTTGGACTTCATTTGCCACCACATTCCTCACATGAGGCACAATATGGCCTGACACCTTAGGACAGCTGCAGACATATTATCAACAGCCCCCCCCCCAACTCACACACCCTGCATCAGGGCAGTTATGGAAAACAGAAAGAAAATCAGAACCTAATCTACCCCAGCGCGGACCCTGACTCACTAGTATTATTATCCTAATCTCAGTATAATTGCATCTTTGATGTGCATTTAAACTTGATTAATGGTAAATACTTTATTTCATAATGAAACAGCGCACTATTGTAGTACACTAATACACACACAGATAAAGGAGGCTTATGTGAATTTAGGAAGATTATGTGTGCTGCTGCCAATTAAAGCCATGAAAATAACACAGAACTCCAGCACTTAAGCTACAGACGGGGGCCGAGCGGGTTGAGATACAAGACTAGCATTGTCACAGCTAGAAGTAATCAGGTTACACTTTGTCCTCATCGTAATACAGAGGGATCCATTCTCAAGATGTGCATCACACTGTGACTTATGCACATACTGGCCTATGGAAGATTTAACCACAGCGATAATTAGAGCTCTAAGGAATTACACAGTGTCAAAAGAGCAAATAGTACAAAGATACTGAACATTGCATGATATCAGAAATGTTCTGGGATGTAAATACAATCCGTCCCAATAATGGCTTGGCTTGCGAACATCATGTCCATATCACTTCGGTCTTTCAAAGCCACCTTTCTGATTCCTTGGACACTAGGAGAGCGGGGCGGAGGAGCCCGTTGCTACTAGAGCTGTCAGATTTTCTAGCTCCACACCAATCTCATTTATCTTGTGTGCATTGTGTACAGTTCCCCACCGTGCCATGCTCTCGAGGATCTGGGTTGGGTCTGTTGGAGCTACTGCTGGAGGAGAGCGCTGTTTCACCCCCTTATTGAACTAGTTTCTTTGCATGGTGAAACCGCATACCCAGATGTGTTGTCTCAGGGTTGGTAGTACTGCCAGGGAAGGCTTTCCTGGGCGGCTGGTGACTGAGTTGTTGTTATGTTTGTTTTGTTCTGACCAAGGTCTCAAGTAGTGGCAACAGTGGCAGGACGACAGTGGCAGTGAGTGAGCCCAGTTCTCTCCATCTGTCACCCCTCTGGCGATGGATGGATGGTTCTTGGTTGGCGTCATCGTATTAGCAGTGTGACCTCTACTTTCCCCCGTATTCAGCGTGCTGCCTCTGCGTGGGTTTAAGAAACATGTGGTCCTAGAGATATCCACACCCCTCTTTCCCTCGCAAATACAAGGCGGAAGGAAAGCGTTGGCTCACTTACTGATGTGGACGCACGCTAGAAGTGTCAGTGGGTTTTCGGGACTCGTCTGCAGTGGCTGCCGTGGATCCAAATGAGTGATCCAAGTCAGCGACCTTTACTGCTGTTCCCGTGGTGAGGAGGATCTGGTAGGGCCTGTTCCACCTGCATGCTTTGCAGTTTTCCACTCGTCTGTTTTTTCCGCTACTCTTCCTTTACCTGTTGGTGGATATCAGAAAGCACAGAGGACAGGTTTGAATAATAATGCAGCATTTCATCTTCACATTGACTGGTGTCAGGGAGTTCTTAACAGGACCAATCCCAGTGTTCAGTGGTCTCCCAAATAGGATTTTGAATGGGCTGAGACCACCTCTGTCCCCCTTACTTTGGCCTTCATGTGCATTAAAACAATCGGTAGCGCTTTTGTCGATGTCGAACCTGTGTGGAGGTGGGTGAGCAACCTGTGGAATTTGAATACCACGGTGCGCATTGTTAGTGGCACTTGTGAGAAGTTAGAGAACCCCTTTGTGTACCAATATCTCCATATTTCACTCATCCTATCCTAATTTGACAAATGGTCCTTCCCATGTGTTAATTTAGCATTGTGAGGAAACAGACTTTGGTAGGCAGGGCTCGCCATTTGGCCACTGCCATGTCCATGAATGAGCAACCTGCTTTCTTCCATGCAGCTTCCTCCTGTGAAGTTGCCCATATTAGGAATTCCTACAAACCAACTGTAGGTGTCAGTGGTGAATCAGTTAAAGCAACACATTGAACACCTTGTTTGAGTCCACTTTCGCAAGGTTGTTACTGTGTACTTCACATTTGCAGATAGAAATTTGTTTGGGCATCAGTACAGAATCATGAAATGCAGCAACAAGGGTGTGGTGAGCAATAGGTTTTCCTGTGGATGTAAGGAACCCTCTATTTGACGGCCAGGTTGAATACCTTCAATTCCTTTCTTTAAAAGGATATTGATTTTGCTGTCACAATAGGCTCTGTGCCTTTAATTACACCTACATCATACTCGTTTTGTGCCCACAAGCATGATGGCACCTGACTTAGTTCAGGAATTTTAAATACGTCTTTCACAAAAAGGTGTTTGTCTTGATGTGGTTTGTAATTCATTTTCAACATATTTGAAGTTTTAGTATTTCTTTCTTCTTCTCGCCAGTTAATTCTTCACACTATCGGTAGTCAACTGTCCAGCAGTGGTGTCCTGGCTTTACCTCTTTAACCTGAAGCTTCTGCCAATCTACAGCGTCTGTCACAGCTCACTCTCAGGTGGGGAGAATCGAACAAACTTTAGTGCAACTTCAGTCAAAACCCCATTGCCCTTCCGGGGTCAAAACACCAGCAAGCGAAGGCTTGAATGAGGAAAAAATCTAAGGCAGTGTCCACTGGCCTGATGTATCTGTCCACACTGACTCACCTACAGAGCTCTTGCTGCATCATTTTGGCAGGAAAGACCAAAAGGTCTTTCCATTGGACTTTTATCTCAGTCCCGAACTAGGACCTGTAATGGTTTGCAAAACGACATGACTATTGGTGATCCAAGTGATGCCACCCTTCTGATACAGAGAAAGATCTTGTATCACCTGGATAGCTTTGTCCGTCATCCACATAGAAATTCTACTTGATTGATTGAGGCACTTCAACCAAAAACCCTTATTGCTCTTCTGGGGTCAAAACACCCCAGGTTTTTTTTTTTTTGGATTACAATCTAAACTTTAAAGTTATATCGCCACCACCGTCCTGGAGTATGTAGAACAGGCTCTAGTTAAGTTTACCCTAGTCTATAAATAAATAAATAAATAAATAAAATAAATCAATTAATTTAAAAAAATAACTAAAAACTATATTCTACTAAACAATCCTAAAAGATCTATAAGCCCTTCTCTCCATTTGTTCCTAATATCCCGTCTACATCCCATCCTCCTCGTCCGGCCTCTCTCACCCTTTGTTGTGAAGTTACCCTCTCTTCATTCTAGGTGATACAGTTCAGTATTACATGTGCAACACTTTCACTTATTACAATGCAAACATGTTTGCTCTCTTCCACTTCTTCCTTTAACACTTTGTGGTCTAACTGGTTTTTGACTTCTATAGTATGTTCTACTCGTACTATCTCCATCTTACATTTTTTGCCAAAGTTCAGATATTTTTGAAAAATCTAGTTTGAGCTGTTTGTTTTCTTTAACAAAATATGCCACAGAGAATATGAAGAAACTGAATATACTTGACATATTTTCCTAAAGTCAATGACAGAAATGGTAGTTAGTAGTAGTAGTAGTAGTAGTTACAATAATGAAGGAGCACACAGAATATTTAAAATATTTATTGAGTATCATCACAGACTACAGGTGAAATAGCAGTGTAACATCAGCAGCCAGAAATGGCTGTTAGCTCCATGTTGCTGGCCAGAAAATCCTGATTCAGACAAATAAAAAAGGACTTCATCTCTTGTTCTATGTCTTTCCTTTTTAAGGTTTTACATGTTTTCAAACGAAGAGAAAAGGCATGTCTGTTGAGCAAGGTGCTGTCCAGCAGGGCAGTGTCAAGTGTGCAGCAGCCCTGCCATTAATATTTGTATAGTACTGTAGATATCTTTCTTTCTAGCTTCACTTACATGTAAAATTTCCTACAGTGTTTTGGAAAAATACAAAGTAATATAAAACATATATTTAAAAAAGCTCATAAACATCATTTGTTACTGTGCAGTATATATCTAGAGGGGTTTTTATTCAGCCCTGTATAAAGGCCTTATTGTGCGTTCACACTGCTTAGCAACACAACAACAAATCGTACCAATCCAGTCACTTCCTGCAGAGTTGAGCGACAGTCCAATTGTTGCCAGTTTTTAAACTTAACACGCTTGCCGGCCAATAAAACACGTCCATGTGGAGTGCCGATCAGAGCGACTGTGATCTCCTGCTGATGACATCTTGTTTCGGTTCAGCAGGTTCAGCTTTCATGAATAACTGTTCGGCTGGTGAGAAACTGGTTGCAGCTATATGAAGTGTTACAGTTCTCAGAGCCACTACGCAGTGCCACCACTGTCCGCAATGTGCTCTCTGGAGGGGCGAACAAAAGGATGAATGTATGTTTTTAGAAGTTCACTGATATCTGGATACAGGGGGCTGCTACCTTTTTGCATAACCTGCTGCTGCTTTAAGGCCGTTATGATTCTGAAGTACTGATTGAAGTATTTTTTCGTGGGTTGCTGATGGTGGCGGTGGTCGGTGGTCAGGCAGAAGGCATACATTAAAAGTTGCTGATGTATTTTCATCATTTAGATCAGTGTTTCGCAAACATTTTACACCTGGTACCACCACAGAAAATATGAGGCTCTCCACACACAACCATTGTGACCGACGATAAAATACAGCAGGAGGCAGCTTCATTCTTAATAATCAGAATAAAAACAAATCAGCATTTAAACTCTTCCACACAGCTCTCATACACCACCAGGTATACGAATAATAGATGTATGCATGCGGTACGTCAGTGGTTCCCAACCTTTTTCCCTAAAGGACCCCTTTTCTATCATTTAGTTAACTGATTAAGTGACATATTTTATGGATATTTCATATTATATTCAAAACTGTACAATGAACTTAGCAAGACGTTTGTGTAAAACGAGATTTGGATGAATTCTAAGCAGATTTTCTCCTGTTTTTATACAATTCTTTGTCTGTATTATGTATTTTTGATCATTTTTAACAATCATACAGACTTAATAGGCTTCTTTGCTGGCACTTGGACATTGTTTTATTAGACAATTTACTTTACATCTAGTTTTATTCACAGAAGTGAAACAAAAACTATGATATAGGCCTACTGTGTATACTACTGTATTATTTTTAAAGTTTTCTTATACCCCCTTACCCAAGGGCAGCTTTGGCAACCCTCAGGTTGGGAACCACTGTGCTATGTGCATGAATATGACTATATAGCAGGCTGATATTAAAACAAAAATATTACAGGAACCTATTTTAAATAAAATTTCAGTAATCTTATAGTATTTTCATTAGACATTTTGTAATACTTTGATAGTATTATATGAATTTACTTCATTTAAAAATATATATTTTAGAGATTCCTCTGCGTACCACAGGAGGGAGCTTGCGTACAACTAGTGGTACTGTACCACAGTTTGAGAACCAGTGGTTTGCTGAGTTTTGAAGTGGTGCCCCATCCTCTATCTAGTGCTTACAGCCTTCTATGGTAAAACATCAAAATGATATGCATGTGCAATGTAAAAAACCAGCAGATAAAATGAAATACATAATCTGTCTCAACCCCGCAGTCGGTCAGCACACAACCATCCATCGGTCAAGGTTGCTCGCAGGTTCGGACGCACGGTTCAGGGAGGTCGTCAGGGGGTTTCGTTCAGGGCTTTACTTAACGGTGACTATCGAGGTGTTGTGGATGGACTCCATGACGGCGGCCAGGCGACTGCACAGGTCATGGTGGGCCTGGTTGACGTGGACTTTGGGAGGGTCTTTGAGGACTACTGTCTCGGCTGAACCGTCCAGAACTCTGGGCAGAAACTCACCCAGCTTCACCTGCAATGAGTCTGCAAACAGAGGGAGAAACGCAGTGTTTATCTCAGCATAGTAACTGTAGTTTACAGATTGTTAGTGTTAGTGTAGGTTTTGATTAAACTGAAATTAAATGTGGTTCTGTCTTTGGGAAATGAATATTTAAAACCTGGGTGCTTGGATTAAAGGACGTCGTTATAAAATGTGCTGATGTGTTCATCTCACCATCCATGTCCTGGCCCAGGCAGCAGCACCAGTGGCTGCGGATGCTCTCCATAGCGTCCCGGTCTTCCTGGGATAGAGTCGAGTCCCGGCTCATCAGGTGAAGGCAGGGGATGACGGCCTCGTCCATGATGGCGACCCCTTCCTCCACATTGGTCTCCTCGCCGCTGCAAAACAGCCGTGATGCGCTCTCATTCAGTGCCTGCACGTTGGGAGGAGGATCGACAGCAACAGTTATTATTCTTTATAATCGTAATCATATCAGCTCCTCATACTGAGTAGCTATGATGGTTACGTGGTGGTTATTTTAAGAATAACTTAACAGCAGGTTAAAAAAGCTGTGTGCCCAGCAGTGATGTAACAGAGTCCTGGAGTACACCTGTACATCACAGCAGCAAGGTGAGGAGTTAAAGGTCCCCGTTTGTTTTAAGGGTTGAAAATGAATCTTACATATACAGAGTTTGTCAGTCTTTCAATCATATGAAATGAGCTACATCAGCAGATGGAGTTGCTTTGTTTTCATGGAATTGGACACTTTAAAGATACTACAACATACTACACCGCTGCAGCAAGGACTCAGCCTCGGTACATGGGTCGCCAGCTCTACCCACTGAGCTAACCGGGAGCCCACTACAAGGAGTTTTTAACTGGTTATGAAACAATCTTAATGTAATGCTGATACCTTCATATGATCCACAGAGACTAAACAAGATCATCAGAAAGTAGATTGGCTGTTTCTATATAGTTAATCTTAATGCCTGCCACTGGGTCAGCCTTAGAAACACTACCGGTCTTGTCCACAGGGGCCGCCAGAATCTACACAAAATGACTCTTTAATTTTAACTGGCTGAAATTCATGTGACTGAAAGCCCCAGAGCATGAACTTAATGAACTCCCACTTCATAGTCACTGTTTGAAATTCCACACAACAAAAATGCATCATTTCTCCACATTGTTGTATATTTAATTGAGGCTGTAATCAGGACACCAAGCTTCTTATTTAATGCTTCCTGTTTGTACAGCCATTTGGGCCAGAGCAAAATATTTGAGCAACTATTGGCCAAATGTCAAGAAATGTCGGTTGGGCACTGACAGTTCCCAGCGGATGAGTCTTGGCAGACAATAAATATCAGATTTTAGAAGCTCAGACTGCCATTAAAGCTGCATTTTCCATTGTTATTCTAACCTTTATGTAGCTCACTGCTCTCATGCTTCACAATAACAACAGCACTGACTGCCGTACTCACAGTGAGGCACCTCCGCCTGTAACCTGCAATAACAGACTTGTCCACGCCACGTTTCTCTCCGTTCTTCAGCAGGGTGGTGTTGGTCTCGTACGCGTGAGCCAGGTAGATCAGGGCCTCCCGCATCCTGTAGCACGCACGCACGCACACACACACGCACGCACGCACGCACGCACGCACGCACACACACACACACACACACACACACACACACACACGGCAACCATGTTAATATCTACATAAACTGCTCTCCTACTATTGACCAGTCACAAGTGGATTTTTTGTCTAAAAACTCATAAACACATAAAAAGTGGATTCACAAAGGGCTTTTCTTAAGCTGTAAATGTGAGAAAGATATCCATTTCAGTTTATTTGTTAATTAATTTACTGCATTCACAGATTTTATTTGTGTAATTTGTGTATTTGCAGATCCACCTCCATACAGGCTGATTTTGAAAGCATTGTGGCTTTTTCTCTGTGATGTATGTCTATGATTATTGTTGCTTTCTGACGAACACGCTGGTCGGGTAGTGTGGCGGTGAACGTTGGATACGTACTTCCCGTGCTGGTAGTGCTCCAACCCGGTCAGCAGGTAGACAAACACGGTCCTGAACAGCCTGTAGTCATCATGCCACTGCTGTCAAAGAGCACACGGGACAACCAACAATCAACAACAACAACAACAATCTGCTGTTTTTAAACGGTCTGATCACACTGTAGAGGTGCTGCTGTTTATGCCAGCTGAGAATAACTAAATACAGGCTTTATTTCGTAATGGCACTGCAGGTCTATGACTACATAGACAAAACTTCTCATTAGTATTCATTCATTGCTGGTTGGTCTTTTAGAGGATCTGCTGAGCAAAAAATATCAACAGATCCTTTTATTAAGGACAATTTATATTCTTATATTCTACGTATTGATGATTGGTATGTTGTTCCTTAAAGCAATCAAAGTTTTTTCAATCAAATTTTGTTGGTTTGTTCTGTAGATTCTGTTGAATGATCTCTCCTCTGTGGCTCTTCCTGACATTTCTTCTTTTTTACCCTTTAAAAGGGTCTTTTTGGGGGGGTGGTGTTGAGGAAATTACACTTTTTTTAACATTAACGTGAAATGACAAGTTGCAAATTACAAGGTAGTACAAAATGTAAACCATACATTTTAACCTCTTTACTTTCATTAAACTTTTCCATTTCTCTTTTTACAAAATGAACCAAAACACACAAGAGGAAGATCTCCAAACCTCTCTCAACTAAAAATACATCTGGAGGATGTTGAATGTAAACTCCACTGAGGCAAATTGTGATTTTGAGCTATATAAATAAATAGTTGCAGAGACAGATTTTCTGTTAAATCATTACAAAGACGGAAGAGAACCCCCAAAACAAGAACAGTTTATCCCAGAAAATAGGTAAATTGTCTGTTAGACAGTACCAAGTACTCATCCATATCCATGTCCTCTGGCTTGATGAGGCGCAGCTTGGATCGGGCTTCCCTCATGATACTGATGGCCCTGCGTGTACAGAAAGATCATGTCAGTGCTGTTTACTTAATACAGGACCGGGACACCATTCTGCAGGTCTCTACTCTGGACACTAGATGGCCTCATAATCATTCTATATGCTCGACTGTACTTTACAGTGCTGCTGCTCTGACTAAAGGCTTCCTTCCAACCATGTTTTACTTTAGTTACTCACTTAATTCTCCGACGTGTACACGTTGTGCCCCTCAGACAGAAACCTCTTGAACATTTTCTTTTCTTTTTTAAAGTATATTTTTTGCCTTTATTTAATAGGACAGCTTAAAAATAGACTGGAAAATGAGGAGGCGGAGAAGACAGAGAGAGAGAGAGAGAGAGAGAGAGAGAGAGGGGATGAAATGCAGCAAAATGCCACAGGTTGGAGTCGAACCTATGACCGCTGAAGTAAAGCCTCTGTACATGGGGCTCTAAAAGCCTTCTAACTTGTTTTAATAGAATATGGCCAACATTGATCTCTGTTTTCCTTCATAGTGTCATTTTCAACCTAGATTGTGACAAAAGCTTTATTTTCACTTCCACAAGTGTTTAAATCTTGATCCAATATAACAGACTAATCAAGAGGCTGTTTGTCTGTTTGTCTGTTAACTGTGTGTGCATGTGAGTACCTCTCATCGAAGCTCAGGTTGCGGTCCGTAAACTGCTCCAGCAGCGTCCTCTCGATTATGCGATTGGGTGCCTTGTTCTGGAAGAAGTAGACCAGAGAGTGCTGCAGACGAGCGTCCTCCTGCAGCGTGGTCTCCTCCTTGGAGAGCTCATACAGGCGGGAATACTCCTCATGGAAGGCCTGCAGGAACAGTGGGCAGTTTATCTCAGTTTTAATTATATTTAAACGTACTGCAAGGAGTTTTTAACTGGTTATGAAACAGTCTCGGTTTAATAGTAACGCCTCTGTATGACTTACACATAATTAGTTATTCTTAATGCCTGCCATTGGGTCAGATTCCCCTTGAAATCAATGAAACCAGGCGGTAGAAACACTACCACTTTTGTCCACAAGGGCCGCCAGAATCAACACGAAAGGAAAGTTCCTCGTAGTGGCTTTAAATCTGCCAGTATGATAATAATTGACAGACATTGACAGGCTAGCATTCTTCATTTATAATGCATTACTAAAGTTGAAAATCTCATTAGAAATACATATAAACAAGTAAATTATTTGACTTTGGGCTTCAAGTATCAAACAAAAGTATCAAGCTGATTTTTTTATGTATATACTTGCAATATTTTCTGTGTTGTCATTTAAATTCAGGCCTTATGAGCCAAAAAAACCCCTTAACACACTCTTTTTGATATTAGCTTTGACCTTCTTACATTTGAAATAGATTATTAAAAATTCCGATCTTCCGATCAATTAGGAGCCTTGTGATCCACTTATGATTAACGTTGTTGAGAAAATGTAAATGTTACATGCAGATAAATGAAGGAAGTAATATTAAGCCAGCAGGATCCCTTAAAACATCAGAATTTAAAGAGGTTGAACTATTCAGAACTGTAGCTAAAGAACGGGTTGCTCCTATGAAGGACGCAGTTTCATATGGCAACGTAAATATTTTATGCTGCCTGGCAAAATTCAGATCAGCAAACAAGATTAGTTTACTATTTTGTGCACTGTGGTGTTGATGTGAGACGTGAGGACCTTCGATATCCCTCAGAGGCCGTACCTTGATGAGGCCAGCCTCAGGGCCTTCCTTATCAAACACTTGTCTTGCCTTGGCTATGGCCAGAATGACGCCCTGCATAGCTGGAGTCAGCATCATCTGGGCAAAAGAGAGTGATTATAACATCAACTGGGCAGCAAACTTACAACCATCTTAAAAAAGAAATAAAAAACGAGTGGTATTAGCTACTGAATTCACGTCACGACACGTACGTACCTCCTCATTGTATCCATCAGCATCAGCTCTCACCATGATCCTGCCCACGTTCGGGATCTCCACCTCCGAGACCTCGTTCTCGGTCTGTCGCTGTCTGGTCGGGACCACCCGCCGCTGCTCCTCATCCTCCTGCTTGGCTTCCTGTTCAGGAGCCTCTCCGGACGCCTCTGGCTCACCTTCAGCTTGAGGGCCGAGGCCTGCCACCTGTGCGTCGTCGTCCTCCTTCGCCCGGACGTCAGATGGCTCCTGGTCACCGAGCTCTTCTTCAGGGGCCTGACAGAGAAAAGGTTTAACAAGATGCACATTAGTATGCCTTCAATCCATCCATTATCTGTATCCACTTGTCCTGTCTAGGGCTTTCAGGGTCTTGTACATATTCTAGCACACTTTGGACATTTTCTCTCACCCTCTGATCAACGAGTCATTCGTGCACTAATATCATCCACGCTGAACCACTGTAACTCTGTCTACCTAACATTTACAACTAATTCAAACACTGCTGCTCCGTTATCCACAAGGTCCATGAAACGAGACTTCAAAATCCTGCTCTACAAATCCATTGCCTCGCCCCTACATATATCTCAGAAGGCCCCTTCCTTGGATTTTAATTTTTTAACCTTGTTTTCCATTTTAATCTGGCTTTATTTCCACAACATCTTTTAAGCCCGTATGCCTTTATGCTAGCACGTGTCTTCGTGAAGCAAGTTCTACATGAATAGAATTATAAAACTTGTATAGTGTGCCTCCATGTAGAAATCCACCTGCTCTAATCTACACATAAACACCTGCACAGGAGAGTGAATATATCTGGACGGTAAACAAGTTGGCGTGAAATTCAAAATGGCTGCTTGTATCCAGTGAAAGGTTGGTCTTATAATATGCAGGTGGGTCAGCAGAAAGGCTGCAGCTAATTTAGAAATACACTTAACTAAGTTACCAGTTTCCTTAATGCCATCTAATGGAACAACCTACAATAACTCTCATATTTATGAAGCTGATTCAACTCAGTGGCTTTAGTTTGGACTGCATTGGTGTTTCTAATATTCTGACCAAAACAAAAGCTGAGAATAATAAAAAATGCTATGATATGCCTCTGAACAAGCTACCGACTGTCAAACAAGTCAGCTGACCTTTACTCTATCTGTATATTACTGCTCTCCATCGCTATGCTAAGTGGTGAAATGGGATCCTTGACCCAGATGTACACGCTTTATTTCTGTGGCCTAGAATTTCTGACCTATATTCTACAGTGGAGGTGAACCAGGGTGGGGGGTGGTGGGCGTACAGGGTGTCATGGACTTTCCCACCTGACTCTGAAACTCCTTCTCAGCTGAGGTGGAGCTCTGGCTGGGAACCAGGATGTCAGTGACTGCTGCACTGCTGCCGTCGTCCGGCTGGCAGCCAGGGCTCTGTGGCGGTGGTGGGGTCAACTCTGAGTCTGAAGGGAAGAGAGCGGACACACACACGACTGTAAATGAAAAGCACTGTTAGGTTAACCTTAACTTGCAGGATATATAACTCTAACTCTCCCATCATACAAATCTTATCAGCCTAACAGAGGTCTGGAGAAATTCGATCACAAGTGTTGCCTAGACAGAGACGAAGATAGGGGGCTCTGACCATTTGGTATTTTCCTGACCTTGAAATTCGCTTTACCCGTCTTGTTGTGATGGTAAATATATTAATTGTTCATTACTTTCTTTCACATATTCATAATGCTGCACATGTAGAATATTATCAGTGGCCTGCTATGTACACGCAGGTTATTAATATGGACTTTTATAAGGATTTTCATCACACTCCTCTTATAAATGGGGGCAATGGGGAAGTCAGCAAACTGGATTTCCAGGTGAATCTCTAATGAAGGAATCTAACCATATTTTGTGGTTTATATGTTTGGAAACCTCACTTCATCTAAACAGGCTGTGGGGAGATTGGGTTGGTTCTTCTTGGCTTATTGAACTGCGGCGTATCTCCACGTATCCACCTGTTATAAATATTATTTTTGCCTTAAATGGGTTTTTATTCACCATCAGACTATTTAAGTTGAGTTAACGAACTTTGGGTCTGATGGGAGATTGGGCTCTGGGTATAATTTGTAAATGTTGAGCTTCTTAATTGGGTCGGACTGTGGGTGATAGCCTCTCTGCTTTGGTTTCCTGTTTGCCGTCCAGGTTGGCCGGAACTAATTTGATTTAATATATGTTGATATACACAGTAATAAGTTTATTAAAGTAATAGAGAGGAGAAGGGAGTGATTTTCTGTTAATCTCTGTAGTTTTCAGCCATTTTAGGCAGTCAGCATGTCATCCTTGGGGTATACAAGAGAAAGAAACAGTTCCCTATATTCAGGCCAAGATGTACATAGATGCTAAAAGCCCCTTTTGAATAACCACACATCTTATCATGAATTATTCATCCTATACCATGTAAAAATGCAATAATGCTTCCAAATCTGCAGACTGTATATTTGAAGTTCCCCAAAAAGTTGTTGTTGTTTAAAATCCATGCTACTGTATTAGAATTACAATGGCTATTTACAGTCACCACTACAGACCTTCTCTTGGATCAGGCTCCGGATCCTTCTCTGCCTCTGTGTCTGGTTGTGGCTCTGAAGAAGCCCCCTGGTTCAGCTCTTCAGTCGACGGTCCCGACTGGGGCGCCGGCTCAACCTCTGTTTGGTGTGCATCGTCTGGACTGGGGTTCGGGGGCTCTGCAGAGGCTGTGGACTCTCCCTGTGGGGTAGCGGCCTGGCAGAACTGCTCCTCCCATTCGCTGAGCTCCTGCTGGAACCAGCGGTTATCCTCATGGACGTAGCGTCTGAGGATGGATGGCAGGGAGTCCATGCCATGCAGCACCTGGCCGGTCTCATCGTCTGTGTCGTCTGTGTGGATGTGGGGTAGAGTCAGTTAATAGATTTACATAATAAAACAGACTTATTGAAGAATATTGGCCAAATATGCCACTGTACTGTAAATATTTAATTAATATTTAATACAAAGGCAGACTGTGCTTTTTACTGTTCTAGTTTCTAACATTGTGGAATAATAATTATACATTAACACTACATTACATAACTGAAAATATTCATTTATTTTCATTTCTTTAATTCAAAACCACTCTTTGTTACCCAAATCCAGTTATTTATTTTATGTATACCACTTCTATGTGGCCTCTAAAGATCCTTGACACAAATGGGTGGTTGATGTTGGGAAAGGTGGAGTGGAAGAGGTTAACATCAGAACGGCTGTACCAAAACATGGAGATCTATGCAGACACATATGGTCTCAGGGTTCCTCACTCTTTTTAAGAAATCATCTTCTGCTGTACTCAAATAATCAGAAATTCCCTCTAGGATTATTTAAGGTTGAGGTAATCTTATCAAATCAAATAGAATACCTGAAAAACACACAGAGACATACCTGTGATGAGGTTAGGTAGCCTGTCATCAATGTACATGAGGCAGTAGGCACTGGCGTTGGTCATGCCTCCAAATGAGTCTCGCTCCAGCTCCTCCCACGATGACTCCGTGATGCTTACATCGTTGTACTTCATCCAGCGCTGGTTGGCATGGTCGTAGATGTAGGCCCAGTAATGACCTGCTGATGCCTGGCCTTCATGGACGAGCACTGCGTGGAGTCTGTAGGGGACCTACACACGAGCAGAGAGGGAGGCAGCGCTGAACAAACACTGTATAAAATACTGAAGGCCCACAATATTTGGATCCAGTATCTGAGATGTGACCGTTCAGCTATAAATTCACTGCAGTATAACATCCATCTGATCTGTTGTTAATTGTATTCTGCTGCCACGAAGAACAATTAATGCACTTGCTGCAGCTGTAGATGATTGAATTGCTGTTTCTCAGAGAGAACCCGGTCAGTGTGAGTCTTACCTGGCAGAGAGTGTTGTCGGAGTACATGACCTCGAGCGTCTGACTGAGCCTGTCAATGCTGGCCTTTAGCTCTGGCAAACAATAAAACAACAACATTATTTCCCCCGTTCTGGGAATGTTTGGGAGAGTAGGGTGAATATCTCCAGCTAGTATTCGAGTCACAGGAGTATGATTCAACTTGACAATTCACATGCATTACATTCTGGGACAGGCATGAGTTAGTCAGCTGAGAGACGTAGATATAATGGGCTATATATAGAGCTCTGAGGTTCTTTCTGCATCTGCACCAGTTATTCATATTGATATACCAGATATTTTGGTGCAACCAAGAGGAAGAAGAAGTGCAACAATGGCAATTTCTAGTGCCAAGATTGAGCACTTTCTTACCAATGTGTCAGTAGTTTTCGTTGCATGTAAACTGACTTAAACCTTAGAATTAACTTAAAGCTTCTCTAATCAGTATTTATTGAAATACAGCATTTGAGCATCTTCCAGCTCATTGTTTTGGTTTTATGACCAGCATCTTTACTGTTTTGGTTCGCTTTAACCACAGACAAAGTGGACTAACTAGAGAACATAGTGGAACATTTAGCAGCTAAACAGACCAAAAAACAAAGCCCATAATGCTAAGCTCAATCAACACTTGTGTAGTCTTGGAAACAAAGCAAACTGATTATCTGACTATATGATAACTGTTAGACGATATACTGTATTATGAGCGTACCATTTATGTCATTCTCTACTTCGGTCCTCCAACGCTGCAGGCAGGTCTTAACGAAGTGCAGCTCTTCTTCAGTGATGCTGTGCGGGGCTGGGTGTGGTGGGCAGTCAATCGGGAGTCTGCACTGGGTGAAGGGTTTGTATATGGGGGTCCGCTGGCAACTGGAAACACCGGCAACCAGGCCCTCTGGTGAATCTGTGTCTCCAGTTTCACTGAGGGAAGCAGGAAAGGCATCAAAGACAAGTTGGGTTTTATATTAATTAGAGAGAAGGAGATAATTGACGGAGTTAAGGATGCAGGCTTAGAGAAACAAGATGCAATAAAGGACTTATTTAAATGAAATATGCTCTTGTCTTTGTACAGTTCTCTAGTCCTCTGTGTACTCAACCTGTTGTCTTTGGAGGTGGGGTCACTGAGGGGGTGGCTTGCAGGAGTCGGTGAGGGTGAAGTTGGTCTCAGATCTTCCGCTGGGGAAACACTTGTAGGCTTGGTGGTAGCGAACTCCAGCACAAACTGCAGCATGTCAGCCAGAGGATACTTGGTAGGTCCTGAGCCATAGTTTTTGTAGCTGCGGATAAAGACAGGACCCAGTTAGCACAAGATCTATTTGAGAAGTTTGAAAGTCAAATCTCAGCTTCAACAGGTAACTTACCACTCAAGTTTCTGTTGAAGGGCTGCGAGTTGCTCCTTGAGTTTCTTCACTTCTCCTCTCCTCTCATGGGTCTGTTCTATGTTTTTGTGAAGATATCTGTTCACAGAAGAATCACACAATCCCCAAAATTGATCAGTGAATGTGTAAGGTTTGTTGCAACATTTAAAGGTGGGGTAAGCAATTACAGTTGATGAAACTTCTTTTCTAATTCATCTCCTCACGGCCCTCTAGCTTTACGCTTAAATGGGAAACAAACAAAGTGGATCGGAACAAGCCACACAACTCCAACCTATTATTCCAGCCTTTGCAGCCAGGATTTGAGTGTCAGATAACATTAAAAGACTCACCCACTGACATACAGCTTACTTTCCAGTTTGCCTAGATATGCTGTTGTTGTGTTAGCTATAGCAGCAGAAGAGGAGTGAGTATTGCTGTCTGGAGCTGGCGTGCTGGCTCGGGGAAACTGTCTCTCTCTCTCATGCAGCAGCAACTTCAGCGACAGTTTGTTGACCCACAACATGTCTACATTACTCGCTGTGTCGTTGTTCACACTACATCATGGTATTTGTCATGGTATTGGATGTCTCCAGAATCTTTAAATAGACATGTAACAGCCAGATGGCATACGTTAGAGAGACAATCCTGGTGAAAGTGCAGCCTATGTGACCTTTAAAGTTATCCCTATGCCCGCTGTAGATGTTTTATTTCCCCGTGTTGGAAAAAGTCAAAGTCTCACCTGTCCATATAAACGATTTGTGGGAACTCCAGTTTCTTGTGTATCTTTTCAGGTCGACCGAGCTGGGTGTTGAATTCAAATCTAGACAGTTCAAATGTCAAGACTGGTGGCAACGTTTTGAACCATCTCTGCAAAGAAGATATGAAAATTTGAAACACTGAAAATGCAGCATACATAGAAATCCTATTGTTAGTGAGTTGATGTAATTGCTCACCTCGCGGCCAGATGTGACGCTGTGATCTGAATGTAGTGACTCAATCTCCTTCTCAACCATAGCTCCTTCTAGACATTCGTCCAGGTTGTTAAAGCCGTTGACTTGCAGGGGGTACTGGCCAAACTGCTCGATATTACACAAAGTCTTACCTAAACAGAGTCACATAGAAGTGAGTGATTGAGAAGAGAATTCATACGGATTGTCAGCATTGCAGAAGCTCATATAAAACCCATACCCTCATGTCTTCTTTCTGTCACAAAGGTACCGTAGAAAAGCTGGACCATGGGGTTTTGTTGTTTGTCTTCTGCGTTACTGGAAGTAAAACATGTAATTGTAAAAGCATGCAAACAAAGAGAGAAGAGGAATATTACATGTGGATGTGGATGAGATCAACATTTAGCTTACCTTCCATTGGCAGCAAGCTGAAACGCATCCTCTAGCCAGTCAAGCAGTTTGTGGGAAAACTCACTGACATCCTGAAATGAAGAAAAATGTACAAAGTGTGTAGTTGGAAGGGTTGTAATAGTAAAGGATAGAGATCAGGTGTATAACCACCTCTTATCACATGACCACAGTTCCATACTAAGGTCACAAGATGACAGCTGAATTACAGTATCTCTATGAAAACTGAGAAAACTCCATCCACTGATGAAGACCCTGACTCTATGGCAAACCCTCTCATCTTCACACTTGGTACATATTTCGGGTTCATGTGTAATCTCTCGCTCTCTCTTTATCCTCCTAAAACACAAATGAAAGTCTCACAATCTCGTTAGAAAGTAAGCGAGGCAGAAAAGGGAGAAAGACAGAGGAGAGAGACGAGAGTTTAAAAGAGAGACAGGTGTAAACATAGAAACAAAAATAAAGGTAAACAGAAATAACTTTACTTACTAAAAGTAAAAATATATATAGATGAAACACACAGGTAGTATCCGCATTTAGAGGTGTGCTTGGCTGTTCTCACCACAGCTGATTTTTCCACTTTCTGAATTGACTCCAGTTTTTCTCTCATAGTATGCCTTTAATGTACTCCAAGACTAGTTGCAGATCTCAAGCATGTTTAAACTGAGAGGATTCTCTCTCCAGAGGTGACGCCTCACAGATGGTGAGGATAAATTTCTTGAGCTGCAACATCTCCTTTTCAACGGGTTGCTTTTTGTTCGTGTTTCTCTTCCATGAATCTGTGTATGTTCTTGTTTTTATTCTACAAAGATCTCATGAGATGCTGAGATTCTTGCTTGACCCTCTGAGATATAAACCGATCAGCCTCATTAACAAACAAAAAAAGTGTTACAGTGTACCTGTTGGGCCTCGCTCGTCCTGAAGGCGTCTCGCAGTAACTCCACCGCAGCGGACGGATCCACAAACCTGCGAGTGGAGCCGACCATGAGGGCAAACAGACAGCGCAGCTCCTGCATGAAAGCTATGTTCCTCTTGTCCTGTTAACACAGAATCAGGGTCAGACCTCATCCCCTTCACTAGTGGCTTTGTTTATATTAACAGAATATCCCCACAGCTTGTATCTCCTTTATATGTCAGCGGCAGAGTGAACCGCTGTTTTCTGTAAAATGCTTGTAGGTACTGGTGACAGTATTTACTCACAGAGTGGCTCTTACACTTCTCCAGTAATCGCTCGGACAGATGGTAGTTGAGAACCAGCCTCCTGAACACGGGCAGGTGGAACAGTGACTGCAACAAGACAACAAAACAAGTGTCATCAGTGCAGCCTTACAGTGGAGGTCAGATGTGGGTGATTACAAGCTGATTACAGTGGTCATGTACCGTAGTGATATATGCAAAATACCATATGTTCCATTGCTGCCAGTAATATTTGGCTTGTTAGCATTTCCAGCTGTCCTACTTCCACTTTACATTCATATGTTTCACCATGTACCACATGGGCCTTTTAAGAGACTTAGGTTACAACAAAATGGCAATAACTAATTAATGAGTTTTTGAATTCAATGAAACATGTAGTTTGTGGGCCCTCCTGCAAGTCCCAGAGCCTCTTAAGATGCTCCCGGGAAGCACTGGACTTTATCGTCTTAGCTTTCAGATGGTTTTGGGAAATGGAGCGCTTAAAATGAAGCTTGTGCCTCAGAGAGAAATGTATATGCATATCTCTGTCTATTTCTGTATTTATCACACATTAGACAGTGCAGCTTTAGGCCCTTCATCCCTGACCACTCAGGTTGATTAAAAGTCATTCAGTGAGTATCGAGGTTATCTGAATGATTAAAAATTGGCTGCACTAATACAATAAAAGTTAAACATCTTCTGAATTTTATGTTTTTTTTTAACTTTGTTTTTAACTCTTTTTAATAAATACATTTCCAGGACATTTTCCAGGAGTTTTCTTGACAATTCAGGACAGCACTTGGTCACAAACAGTCATATAATTTATCGGCAGGTGTAGTATTGACAGATTTAACCTCATACCTCATTCAGAATCTGAAAAACTTTATTGATCCCCGGGGGAAATTTGTTTTTTCAAGCGGCTCAAGGTGCCCACGCAACATTAAAAACAGAAATTATGATTATATTACAATATCTAACAATATTTAAAAATAGAAATGTATATATTGGTAAGTTTGTACATTATAATACAATATCTGACAATATATAGAGATAGAAGTAAGTAGGCTGTATGACCAACAGAAGTGTAATGAAAGTACGTACTGATAATGTTAATATGCTGACATCCCTTTTTAATGATGCAGATTTATGATGAGGTTCATTACAGGCAGGACATCAGCATGTATGACAGAAAATAACTTTTTCCACTGATCTGAGGGAGGGGGTTAAGTAAAAATTTCCGGGACAACATCAGTTATTTCCAGGATATTTAGTCATTTTAATTAATTTCAATGACTGGAAAACTAGTTTCTAAAATTCCAGGTTTTCCAGGACGCGTGGGAACCCTGACTTTATTATAAAATACTCGTATTTCTCCTAAAAAAATGCATTAATATCAGTCAGATTCTCTTATGTGTCACGTGTGGTGTCGAGTGGGGCTTCTGAGCACTTATGAATATCTTGATATACATTTCCATTTGCGTTGGAAATTCAATTACGGCTTATCTCAGCTTTACTGTAATTCATACCACAAAGGATAAAAGAGGGAATATGAGCTGACAACTGAATCATGTGGTCACTCAGCCTCAATCTGATAGCATAATTACTTTTTAAGGGGAGCTTTATCAAGAGTCCGGGCTCTGTTGAATCTATAACAGCTCAATTCAACAAACACTATCAACACCAGCAAGAAACAAACACAAAGGAACGCCATTTGTATTCAAACACTCGCTCATTTTCCCATTTCTGTTCCCAGAGAACAACCCCTCCCTGTCCTTAGGGGGGGAGTTGACTTCTAAATTGATGCAGAAGTATATCAGAGGTCAACAAGGGACAAGCAATCACTGTCTCCTCTCTGTCCATCTCAGGCTCAGACTAGGAAGTCCACTGCTCGCTCCATCATCAGATCGCTCACTATTTAATTATCCGCACAGTCCGTGCATCTCAATGAGGGCTCCGGTTTCTGCCGAGCCACCTGATAGCCCCGACTAAACTCAGCCTGGAATGGACTTATAATAGAATTAGCAGCTCAAACAAATACTGTGTGTTCTCATCTAGCAGAGAGATGTCCACACCTTTTTTGTTTTCTTCCTGGTGTGTCTAATAACTCTGTTAGGATGGCATAGAGTCGGTAAGAAGAACCAGATGACAGAAAATACAGACCATCACTAGTAAACTAAATACTGCACTGATTTTTAAGATCACAGAAGATTGGTGAAAGCCAACGTTTGCTGACTGTGCACAAGGTGCGACACCTCTCGCAGACTAAAGTTAGAAATCTTGGAAGGGAAACTCAAAGTCCATAAATGCTTTTTAAGTCAAGTGAGAGAGCTATTTTAAGTTTTAGCAGAAAAGAATGTGAGACAGAACAGGTGGGCTCTCAGACGGAGCCTGGTGGGACTCACAGACTGTATCTTAGGTGTGCAGCCATATTATGAATTTTGTACTTTTGAATTTGAATATTTTTATACATCCAATGGTGCCTATCTTCCATAACAGACCACAGCTACTATTACTGAGGTAAGAGAAAAGACAAAGGAAAGTGATAAAATATGAGGTAAATAATAAGATATAAACTTCTCAGGAGTGCTGTTTGTATTTATCTGCACCACAATGGTCTGTTTTATTTAGTTGTTTATAATGTTTTAGAATGAAAAAGGTCACTATGGGTACCGCTTGACCAAACTTAGTTTAACTTTTTATTTTATTTTACCTTTATTTAACCAGATAAGTCAATTAAGAACCAATTCTCATTTACAATGACGACCTGGCCAGCAACAGGAGGCACATCACATTGATGCAGTTAAAACATACAAATGTAAAAAAACAACAACACAACAAATACAGTATGTACACAGCAGAGATCCAAATACTGTGTTCCAGAGAGGTCAGTTTAAAAGCAGGTGCAGTGACCAGAAACTAACACATGTACTGAGTTAATAAAGGAGGATAACAGAATGAGGATTTACAGTTTTAGCCACTTTTACAACTGAGTGACTGTCAAAGGACGTACGGCCTTTATGGGTGAATTTGCTTGACAAATAGTGCCGATGTTGTGAAGTAAAAATGACCTCCACACTATGAATGTTGCAGTTGGATGTAACTCGTCATTCTCACCTGGATGACAGCACTGAACCAGCAGGTGTTTCCAACATTGCGGATGCCCACGGGCCAGTCGTCCTGGCGGATCCAGTCTGCAGGACTGCACGTCTCACTCTGGGCTTCACATCTCTTCCTCTTCATTCTCGCTGCGTTCTCCTCTGCGCTGGCCTCCAGAGCCCTGCAGAGCACCAAGTTATCAGGGTGAAAACGCTGAACTGACAACTCCATTAAACACAGCTTGACTTGGAAGAAAAAATGGACTTATTGCTCTTATACTTAGAGCACTCCACTGGCTTCCAATGAAATAAATGACTTAATGGTGTGGCTCCTAAATACATCTCTGACCGGCTCACTGCTTACAAATTCCACTCTACAGAACCCCCACACCATCAGATACTGCTCTCCTAACTGTACTCATGATCAGAAGTATATCTGGTGAAGGTGCATTGAGTCATAATGGGCCAACTCTCTGGAACAAAGTGCCTGATGATATCAGATGTACCACAACTGTGCTGTCCTTTAAAAGCAAGCTTAAGACCTACCTGTTCTCTCAGGCCTCTCTCTCTGTATACCTCTCTCTCACTCTTTGGGCAGAGTAGATAAATAACTGTATTCATGTTATATTTGATCTTGTTCATATTTGCTGTGTGTGAAGCACATTGAGTTTACACTGTATACATATAGAGCAGGTCTAGACTGTACTCCTCATGAAATATCCTTTATCAATCAAAGGTAAAGTCTCTCAGGAAGGAAGACAGCTGCTGATGTTTAGCAGGTAATGATTATCATCCTAGTTCAGCATGTTATGGGAATGTCAATACTGTTTTCCATTGGCAACTGTTTTTGTTCAGCTGTAACCTTTGCTGACTGTCTTGGCTGTGTGATGCTCTTGCTGATAATCCTGGTTATAATCTAGGCAGAGAAGCAAGAAAGAAAACACACCCAAATCCACTGTTCCCATTTCCCATTTCTAATCTTTTCTCCATGAAAGTCAGAAGTAAATAAAACAATCACAGTCAACAAGGAAGCACTGTGTAAAAACCAGCTCGTCTCTTACCTGTTAAATTCTCTCTCCTCCTCCTGGGCATTGTGGGACTCCTGCAGGCTGAGCTCTATGGCGGTCTGCAGTTCATCTTTAGGAAGTCCTGAAGAAACACAACATTAACTCAATACATTAAAATGTATTAATTCTTCTTCTGTGCTGTTGACTACACTGCTGACCACTTTTTAAAGTAAAATTTGACCCTGAGACATCTGAAAATCAGTTCCCCTTTACGTAGAGCTCGGCTCATTCCTCACTCAACTACTTCTGGCACAAATGCGAGGAGATACTTGTCCGTAAGTAAGGCCACAGAAGGCGACCTGGCCCTCCTTTAGATTGAAAACAGCTCATTCTAAGTTAAAGAAAACACAACAATTCTTATTTTCAGGTGATTATACACTAATAAAAACATACCTATAAATATTATATTCCATTTCTGATAATAGATCCTCCTAAATGTTACACACTGGACCTTTTTAAGATGTGCCATTAACCTTAAAAGTACTGGGGTGTGGTTAGTACACCATGGCACCACTACAGAGCAGAGTACAGAGCACACTTCTGAACACACCAACAGGATGTGATTCTTTCGGACAGAGAAGATCAGAGAAACAACTGTTTCCAGCTTTTCTTTAACACATAAATGAACCCAGCAATGCTCCATGTCTGAAAGGCCTACCAGTGGTCCAAATAAGTCAAGCTCTAAACCTAACAAAGTGTCACTGATTAGTTATGTAATTAGCCCACATCCTGAAAACAGCTTTATTCTGGAAGAACAGTGAGTTCCTCTTCCTGTTTTGTCTCCTAAGCTTCCCCTAATTCCTGGGTCTCAAAATGAATGTGGTCATTACTTTTAGATGTGAACGTTTGTAATCTCTGCTGTCAACCTCGTGTAGTCGTTTTTGAAATATGAAAACTATTTGACACTAATGTGAATGTAAGTCTGTTTCTTTGTCCCCAGTGTACCTTTCTGGCCCTCCCAGGCCTCTCCGGAGGTCTCTAACTCCTGTGGTTCCCCCGGATCCTGAACCTCTGCAGGCTGAGTTGTCAGCAGTCCAACAGCGTGTCCAATGTCACCCTGACTGGCCTTAAAGAGAGGGGACAAGGAAAAGATAAGGGCGGATATTCTACAGTACACCACAGGAAATAAATATTAAATACATACAAAGTGACAAAAGAAAATGGAGATAATTTAAAAATAATGCGCTCACATAAAGTCAATTAATTTAGAAGATGCAGAAAAAGACCCCTTATATGAGAGCATGTACCCCTCCCAATCCTGTGAGCTCCTGCTGTGTGTCTGTCTGCCCCTGGTGCAACAGGTGGGATGATTTCTGCACCACACACTGTTTATTATAGCGTTATCACTTCTTCCTATTAACTCAAGCTCCCAGGGATTTTTATTAATTTGTTTGTTTGCAGTTGTGTTTCAAAACATAAGCAGAAATTTGGCACCCTGGAGGAACTTTTAATGTAATCAGAGAGTGCTGCTTTAACATTAATTACAGTTCAGGAACAGGAGCGAACAGCAAGGGCAATGCCTTTTAGCCAACTAGCAGCACAGAACTTCATGTTCACAGGATGAATTGTAATAACACACCTCCTGACATGTTTGTGCTCATCACCTGACAAACCCTACAGATATACAGTAGGCCAGGTCACAAAGGACCCTTTTCTGACATCCTCTGGCTAATATTTAGATGTAATACACCATAAAACACTAAACACAACAATCGGTTGTCTTCCAAGAGCGTTAAGGCTAGAATTCCCACCCTTTCCTAAGGAACCCCCATTTTCTATCACTGAGTAAACTGATTTATTTTATATTTAATGCTTAACAATATCAGCAGAGAACAACTGAAGTTCTAGCACATTATTTCCTTCTATTTAAATGAATATCAAACATTTGGCACTGGGTTCCTTAAGCAATAGAGGCAGTCTTCTGGCATCATGTTGGCTAAAATGTTGATGACACCCTCTAAGTCAATATTGTGACAGCCAGGCGATAATTACGTGTTGTATGGTAAGTCGATAACGTAATTATTGTGACAGGCCTAATTGTGGCTAAATAACCACCAAGTGCACAGGAGGGAGACACCATCCGTTGTCTCGTTGCACGACACCGAGGCTGATTTCTTACATTCATGGCTCTGTACAGAACCTGAGGGTCCTGGATGCCGGTGATCTCCTTCAGCTGGTTGATCAGCATCTCGCTCTGCTGAGGGAAAGGATTGGACAACGGGAAAACAATAGTCAGGCTTTAAATCCTCTCATATAGTTTGGGTTAGTGATGACTGACTGGGTACAGGAAGAATAATAATATATCTATTTACTTCCATTTTCTTCCAAAGCTTCTCCATAGCAAAGGAGGTTATTTTAAATGATTCAACCCATGTTTAACCCTTGTGGAAACCAGCAGATATCCCACTTTCTGCCCCTATGAACTGTGGTTGGGAACAAACTGGAGGCCCATCATTTGGCACCTGAGGATAATAGCTCATATTAGCCTCCCTTTTAGCCCCATGACTCAGATGGGCAGACACTCACAGGTTATATCTGGAGCCGAAGGACAAATGTCAACCTGTCATGCCTATATGAGGTCCACGAACAAAGCCAAATTCAATGGCCTCAATATGCATATCAGCGTATCAGAGGACCAACTGCCAAGCAACCAGCAGGGAGACTCCAGGAAGCTACTGGCAAAATGCTATTTTTACACTCTGGTTTTTAAATGATTGGTTATACAAACAGAATACATAAACGTGGTATTTAGTGAAGTTGTCAACTATTAAATTAATCGATTCGTCATTTTGAGTCATTAAAAAAAAAAGAAAAACTGTTAAAATGAAATGAATTCCCAGATTTCCTCACCTCCTATGTGAATATTTCTGTGACAGTAAGCTGAATATCTTTTGGGTTGTGGACAAAACAAAACTTTTTAGGATGTCACCTTGGGCTTTGGGAAACAGTGGGTAACATTTTTTCACCATTTTCTAACATTTTATGAACCAAACAACTAATTAATTAATGAATTAGTCGAGAAAAGAGTTTGGTTGCAGCCCTACTGAACTTTAGAGGTTCTGGTGGGCAGACTGTGTTCCCGTTTCCAGTCTTTCTGTAAAGCTAAGCTAGCTCACCTTTACTGTTTACTGACAAATAGGTGTATTGTGTATTGTATTGTGCATCCTAGCTGGGGGTGGTGACATGTTGAATAAACTAGTTCAGTCTACTGTTTAAAATAATAAAGTATTGAGCAAACATAATCCACGTTCAGACGGGTAAACACAAACTCTCAGAGGCCGCCTTATGTTTTGACCTCATAGACACAAGACATGAAGAAAGAAATAACATGAGTCTGCTGAGCCAGAGGCGCTATATTAAGCCTGCTACCCCAACAGCAGGTGTCAACATGTCAGGGTATCTCTCTCGCACACACACGCACACACACACACACACACACACACACACACACAGGAAGCCAAGAGCAGGCTGACCAGACTTATATGGAGTCCGGGGGCTATCTGAGACCCTCTTGGTTTGCCGCTATTTTAGGCTACTGACATGGATAGTGCAGGCTTCTGTTTATCATTCCGCTCACCATGCCACCAGACCTGAGTGACAAAGGCACTGGGTGTCTCTCTCTCTCTCTCTCTCTCTCTCTCTCTCTCTCTCTCAACACACACACACACACACACACACACACTTCCTATGTCAATACCAGGCAAAACAGTGTGAATTTTCTTATATTACCCCACCGAATGTCAACTGTATGTAAACCTATAGTGCACAAAAATATGAAAAGCTTGGCTCAATGTCAGCTGTTATAGTTCTGGAGGAAGGCATATTCATAAAGAAATAGCCTGCTTGGATGGCTACAGATCAAAATACTGAATTAAAAAAAATGTGATTAACTTTTATTAGTGAGAATTCAGGTGAAAAAAGGAAATTAAATCACGTATAGCCTGTATCTGTAGGTTATGTAATGGAATATGATACTGATCCCAGCAACTGAGAACATTAGACTTAAAATGTGACAAGCATCTGCTTATCATATTAACTGCATAAGTTCATAGTTATATAACTCATTAAATAACTTTAAGAAAACAAACTAAATTCCAATAATTTAGCGAGCAAATGAGAAATATAGACCTATTTAGCTAAGAAGCAAAAATATATGCTTATAAATAATTCCCTGCTAGGTTTGGTGTATTTTATGTGTGCCGAATTCAAGAATCTGTTCTAAACATTATATTGATTTAATTTTTGGTCTATAGAGTTTACAAAAAAAACAACAATATGAAAACTAACTTTAAAATGACAGATTTTTAGTACAGGCTTCGGGCGGACAGAGGGGGTTAGTGTTGTGTTAGTTCCTCGGGGCATTCCGATGGCAAACATGTCACTTGTTTGTTTGTTTTTTGTTAATAACACGGTTCCATCATCCTTTGCGCTCACCGAGTTCGTTGAGTTCTCTCCATTTTCTGCCTGTTCCCCTCTCATTGCAGACCAAAAGACAGAAAAACCAAATTTCTTTCCCGTTGTCCCACAATATGCTCTCAGCCCCGAGTCCCGACTCAAACCAGCTCCATCTGTCAAAAGCGCCGAGAGAGAGCACCGGCCAGCTGCGCGCGCGCTCACCTGTCAAAGACACACAAACACGCGCGCGCGTGGGTGGGTGTGCACCGGAGGGCTCGCGCTCTCACAGCTCTGAACGGAAATATAATATTTCCGGTGTCTGTGTCAGATTTAAAACTGTTTCTACCATCCGTATGGGTTTACTGCATGAACTGACTCCAGGAGATTTATTTTGGTCTTTTTGGAAAGTTGTTTGTGCTTTTATGTTGTTGTTGTTGTTGTTGTTGTTGTTGTTTTTACAGTTTTATATGAAAATGTATTGTTTTTTTCTTATCCCTCTACCAAAATAACTCACATTCATAGATCTAAATTTTCCAATATTATTATTTATTTTATTTTGAAAGTGAACTCACACATTACATCACTCCCATATTGTAAAAATAAGAAACTTTTGCAGCTTCATGTATTGTCTATGTTTACCTGTTTGTAAATAAAGTTTTTTTTACAGTGTGTCTCCATACTGTAATGTGATTTCAGCTCCTATTACAATTTCTCCTGCAATAAAACATACATAGAAAACTTTAATTTAGATTTAATTTTAAATTTTTAACACTGACACAGTTTGGTAGTTGATATATGTCTTAATAAATAATAAATAATTTCAAAAGAGTTTGACAATGAAATTTGCAACCCCTAAAATAATTTATGAATAACTTATAATAATTTTTTATTGCATTACAATACAATACAATTACATACAAATAAACTACAGGAGGAAGACTAGGATTGAATTTGAACTGAACTGATTTGTGCTGATATTTTAGCCAATATAATATATATCAATTATCAGTTGTCAAAGTCAAAATGATCCATGAAAAACTGATAAAACTGTATTTATCAATAACAAATCAATCAAACAAGTGAACCATAAATGAATTGATCAGTAATATAATATAAAATAAAATAAAAGTACTCATATTCATAATATTAATGCTTTCTCCTTCAAGTACACAGATAAATATATACAATTTCTTCCAAATTTAAACCTTATTAATATTCCAACCTATTAACCCCTTCGACGCAGGATGGTTTTTATTTTTGGTTGAACCCTTTTGGAAATATTCTATATGTCTTGTGCATCACTTTAAACACATTTCCCTCATATTTCTTGGAAAACTTTGGTCTCTTATTTCACATAAAAAGTGTTTTGGGGGAATCAAAAGAGTATTTTATGTCTTTTCAGCAACATTCAAAAGATTTTACCTGAAAATCTTTTTACTTTTACATCTTCATCAGTCCTCATTGAGAAAAATGTTTGATTTGGGCTTCATAAAGAAAACTGACTTGACTTGATGAGTGATATCAACTTCTACAATTGACACTGATTCAACCTTCACACTGAGAACTAATATTATTCAAAATAAGAGCCAAAAGATCTACCTAAGTATATAAACATATGAGATAGGAAGAACTATTAAGACATGTTGTATTTGGTGTTTTCAGCTGTGTTAAAAACACCTTTACAATAACAGATATCTAAGTGTTCATGCTCCTCTGCAATGGCACTAAACAAACCTTCAGGGAGTTTCATTATTATGTATCACCTTACCCGGGGAGTGGAAAATCGATATCAGTGCAACCAAAATGTCTGCACTACCCGGTTTCACTGTTCTTCCTCTACACAGTAGTACCGCTACTCCTGATCTTATTTGATGAAAGTTTGGATATTTTTTGCGTTAACAGATGATTTGATGCGACACCTGGATAACATCTGCAATCTGGAAGGCTGATTTTTAGCTTGATGTCTCTCATTTGGCTGACGCTGTTGTTCTCAGGTAAGGTGCCCCTTTTCTTTTTAGCTAAAGAAATCACCAGACAATTGGATTTATTAGTTATAAACTACCTGCAGTTGTTTGCTTTCTACTGTGTGAAATCTTTCATCAGAATGGAGTTTATTGTGAAGCTGTCAGATTCTAAACAGCATTGTTTGCTCTTTGCAGTGACAGTTCGGTGGCTAATTGCTTGTGTTTCTTACATTATATCAGTGACTATTCTCACTTTCAGTAGTGTGATGGTCTACGTTTTTAACATGTGCACGTGTAATAATGAATGAAAGTAAAAAAGTAGAATTATTGTGCCCTCCTGGTTATCATAAAGCACCACAACCACCAATGTGAGCAAATATACTCATATTAGTGTGTATGATGTATTTTGTCTGTTTGATATTGATTTGATTTTCCTACAAAATGTGATAAATTCATCAAGACACTCTGCATTTACCATTAGTATAGACTGTATTGCATTGTATTGAGTAACTTCATACATCCCTCAACCTTTTAGCAGGACTGGACCAACCAGGTAAGAGGACCCAGGGTAAGCTGAGGGGGCCCCCTGCTGCTGCCCCACCCCACCACCACAATTTCTATGTTGGTTTTTCGGAGGATCTATTGGCAGAAATTAAATTTAATATGTTTTCGTTAGTGTATAATCATCTGAAAAATAAAAAATTGGTTTTTTTTTGTTACCTTTTATATCTACAGACAGCGTGGTTCGCCTTCTATAGAGTCCGCCATGTTGAAGTAGCCCAGACGGGACAAACCAGACACTGGCTGTAGGGCTGTTGGAGTTATTCATGTATTTTGCGACCACCGCAGTTTCTCCTACACACTTGGAGGGCGATGGTGAAGCGAGGGAGTTGCAATCTGCAACTACACCACTAGATGCCACTACATCCTACACACTGGTTCTTTAAGTACCTATAGTGCACATGGCGTATTTGACATGTCAGCTTTTTTATATTTTTCCCCAATGCCCCAGTAACAACTTTTTCTTATTGATTTTTAAAATATGCACCCTGTGAGCATTTCAATTCAAACAATCAAGGTATTGCAGTTTTGACATGTGCCTCTACAAGTCTGGCCTCAACATTACCTAAACATCGAGGAGCCTCTTTAAAAGGACCAGCGTGCAGGATGTCGGCCATCTAGTGGAGAAGTTGCAGATTGGTAACCAACTGAATACACGTTTGCCTTGAAACTTGAGAAAAATGGGGCCCGTGTTTCAACATGGTGGACTTCGTAGATAAAAACTCATTCTAAGGTAATTTCTATTTTCAGTTTATTATACATGAATGAAAACATACCTATGAATATTATATTCAATTTCTGTCAATAGATCCTCCTAAATGTTACATACTGGACCTTTAAGTGGTGCATACAGTATTGCCAAACTAATTGTCACACAGTGAAGCTGTAGACTTCGAGTCCCCTGAGGGTTTAATAATCCAGCTTTGCCTTTTCAGCTCATCTGGCTGAATGTGTGCCAGAGAAGCCAAAGAGATCAGCTCTGAACCAGCTGACCAGGACCCTCCTCAGGAAATACGACTGCGGAGTTCGACCTGTTTACAACTGGACCAGTCTCACCACTGTCTACATAGACCTCATACTACAGTCGGTCCTTGACGTGGTAAACTCTGAACACACTCACTGCTGCTAAAATTCAATTTTTTTACTCCACTGATATCAAATACATGTGAAAAGTAAAAGCCATACACAAGGCCAGTAATCCAGTATGAAACCAGTATTTGAAGACAAGCGGTTTTATCAGCATGCTGTGCTGAAAGTTGTCCGTACTTTATGAGCTCATCAAGGCAAGTTTGGCTGCAATGGCAATAAGGTTTAGTCAATTCAAGTCACTTAATATAAAACAAAATAATTATTATATTCTCTTTTCCACAGGATGGAAACACCCAAAGCATAACTACAAGTATTTGGTACAGACAGGTAGGTGCCCTCGCATTTCACTAATTGTACTGCGTTAGGAAAACAATCATTTTAACCTCCATAAAATATATATCTTTATAATTATTCACCTCCTCAGTGGCTGAAATCTCATTTTACACTGTCAGGTTTTAACAACTTATGCAGAAACTCTCACTTCACAGTCTGTGTGAACTTTATTGTCAATAACACAGGCTGTTAAGTTTCATTTTTCATTTAAAGGTTTTTGTAAATATTGGCTTTTCCATCTAAATACATAGATTATACTATTTTACCATAATGTTCCTCCTCTGTTTCCTCAGATCTGGACGGATGAGTTCCTGGTTTGGGACCCAGAGGAGTTCGATGGTATCAATGAGATCTCACTGTCATCTGATGCCATCTGGGTACCTGATGTCATTGTTAGTGAATTGTAAGAAATTACTGAAACGATCCGCTCAAAGCCTTTTAGTCTAGCGCTCAGTCTACATGTCATTCGGTATTACTCAGGATCTAAAGCAGGGGCCAAGATTTAGGAATGAGTTTTTTTAACTTTCAGGTAGCCATTGACCTCCATTAATTTCAGTAAACTATGAAAATCAGCTTGTAGAGACCATGAGCCAAACCTAATGTCCTCCAAGAGCCCACTGAATCCATACTTGGTGTTTGCTAACTGCTCAACCTTAACTTTACTGTCAGCAACAAACATTAGATTTTGACACTGACACAGTTCATCTTACAAAAATAATTATATTATATCAGGGCCTCCAGGATTTTGCTGGCTTTTATTGGGATTGTTCCAGGTTTTATAAAAAAATATTTGATGCATGTTACAATGTTTTTAGGCATGCTTTTGCAATGAAATTGCAAGAGCAAATGAAAATTGCAAAAATAGTTGTGATTTTTTTTTGTTAATTCATTAAAAATCAAAGACAGCTTGCCAACACTGCTATGATTGGAAAAACTCACCGGAAACTATGATGATTTGTCAGATTTGCAAGGTCGCACAGAAGGGACTATTTCATGTTTAAAATTCTACAGGTAACACTGTTAAATGGCATTTGGAGAATGCAGACCTTTACCAATGCCAACAGTCCATAGTAGTTAATAATGATATTAATAGTTCTTCAATTATTTGCAAGTCTGCACACAAGTCATAATAATTACAACGTGTTTGCGCAGATTAAAAAATGTTGCTCTTCCAGCAAGTGTCAATGAAAATTGGGCCAGTAGTTGCTCCTTAATCCTGCTGCCAAACAAAGAAACCTACAAACAGCACTGAAAACATATATTTACCTGCCTGGCGGAGGTATATAAAGGCCAATAATTGCCAAAGGGCTGCTGGGATACAATTGTTCTCGCTGGATGCCCAGGGACGCTGATTGGCCGATCTTGCATAGCTGACCAGCTAGCCAAAGCTTGCCTGCTAAACATGTGAGCATTATTTTTAACTGGTCCCTGTATAAATAATACAGATAGTCTATAATAAGTAAGCAGAACCAGAGGGCTGTCTGTAGGATTAGAAAATTATACTAAAAAAATCAAAACACTACGAAGGCATTCAAAAATATTCAGCAGTAATGCATGTCTACATGATTTTTATTAAATGGTTAAATTATAGTTTGGCCCCTTAACATGGCTAAATATTGGGAATTAAGGATGATTATATAAGAGATCATCTTATCCTTCCTATACATGTCCTTCTATCCTACATATTGATGATTGGTGATGCCCCAAAGTGATAACTGAAGTCTTATTAATGTCTCACCTTTCCTCCCCTCTCCTTCATGTGTGCTCCCAGTGTGGACGAGGGGAAGTCCCCTACGATCCCCTACGTGTACGTCAACTCCTCCGGCTCAGTGAAGAACTACCGGCCCATGCAGGTGGTGGTGGCCTGCAGCCTGGAGATGTACGCCTTTCCATTTGACAAGCAGAACTGCAGCCTTACGTTCCGCAGCTGGCTTCACTCAGGTCTGTTTCCTGCCCGTGGTGGTTGGCGGTGGAAGCCGGTGTGATGTGGGGGGTCTGTAAGCTCAGTAAATTCAGGTCAAACAGCGTAGAGTTTTCACATCTGCGGTACCTTAGAGACTCCTAAACCTTACAGGAGCTTGACAAAACACTCTTAACTCAAGGGCAACTCAATAGCTATTTCCAGAGCTTTTCCAGAGTCTTCATCGGGGAGTTTGCTCAGTTGTACAATCGATATGGACCACCAGCAGCGTCCTATAGCATCGCTGTGTGCCTGGGTGTTGGAACATCTAGACATCTAGAGTTTTCAAACCTACATTGGTGAAACAAGTACACTCAACACGCTGAATGAACACCCAGACCAAAACCAGTCACAGCATCGACTAGAAAGGGGTCAAAACTTATCGACCAGGAGCCAATCACATCGGACACCAGAGACCATCTTTGAACAGAGTCAAGGGTTATGATTAGGTCCACAAATAACAACTAATTGTAATAATTTGTTATAAATTAATAATAAATAATAATCGATTGATCTTCCAATGACTTTACAGATAAATAAGATAAGATAAGATAAAAAGATTACCAAAATTGGTGACTTTATGTGCAGTGACTAATCGTTTCAGCTGTAGTTACAATCTCCCGCCTGTTACCATGTGGACCATCTCCATGATAACTGAGCAAACATCTTCCACACAAAGCTCAGAAAAAAGCAAGTAAGTGAACCTTGAGTTGAACTCATTTCGTCACATAAGCTTCATCACGAGCTTGTAGCGGTTGATGTTTCACTGATACACCAACAGGAAGAATGAAGTATAGACTTCACAACAGACCTTTTTCACAGCAGCCATTTTGACGTGAAAGAGTAGGGTAAACACAAGGCTGTTACCGATGATACTACTTCTGACTTGAGGACTTAAGGTCAAACAGAGTCAGCTCACTGAAAGGCTCTGCTATCCTAAGTGGAACCTTAATTAGTATCATTGCTAACACCTGTGTTCACTATTTCATGTGGAAATGGTCCATTCACCTTGTTTGCATGTCTTTTGACAGAAAAACAGAAGTGTCAGGATGAAATCACACAATCTCTCTCAGATATTTCCAGCTTTCCTTCAGTGTTTTTTTCCACCTACTGCTTCCTTTCATGCCTCATTATCTCTCCCTCTGCAGTGAAGGAGATAGACCTGGCTCTGTGGAGGAGCGCAGAGGCCATCGCTAATGATAAGAGGGAGTTCATGAATGATGGAGAATGGGAGCTGTTGTCCATTCCCTCCCACTACTGGATAATTCACCAAGACAACACCGACTACGCCCACATCCAGTTCAATGTACGTGCCTTACTGTCTCACTCCTCACATTTCTCACAGAGGGAATTACTGATATGGTGAAGTAAAGAAAGTGTAAAAATGAAAGAGAAAGGCATACTGTAGGTTATTTGTATACACTGGTGTCTAACAGCTCCGTAACAAGTGAGCCAGTAACTGCACTGTGATGGCAGTGATTGTTTATCGATGGTGAGCTTTAAACTGTAGCCCTCTGTGGGTTAGCCCCCACCCCAACCCCGGGCTGGGCGGTGGAATTGTAAAGTGTAAAGCAATTGGCCGCGACCTTCATGGATCGGGCTCGCGAGCTAATGCCAAATGATGAGACTGAGGCGGTTTCTGGCGAGCAGAGAGACAGATAGAGAGGGAGGCTGATAGACAGGGGAGGGTGAGTGACCATAATGAGACTGTCTCAGTGGCTGCCTGATCAATGGACTTCTTGTTAGTGGTGAGGAAAATGGCCCCATAGCCCATTGCAGGTGGAGAGCAGGGAGGGCTGCTATTTATTCAGCTCAAAGAACGGAGGCTTTTTCTGGTAATGGAGCATTTCATGGCTCACTGGGAAATTGTTACACTGTGTAGCTGTATCATATGGAAATCATATGGTTACTGATGGAAGGTTTTTGTGCTGAGAAAATGTTGATTTTTAACAAAACTTGAGACCTCTATGTCTTTAAAGGCCCATCAAAGGATGAGCATTGCTAAGTAGTTTAGGCCAGTGTTTCTCAAATGGGGGTACATGTACCCCTAGAGGTAATTCAGAGTACTGCAGAGAGTACGTGAGATTTTTTTAAATGTTCAATCAAAACAGTGGTTCCCAACCTTTTTCCTTAAGGGACCCCTTTTCTGTCATTTAGTAAACTGACTAAGTGAACAGAATATTTCCTTTTTGGGGACATTTTTATACAATTCTCTGTCTGTATTTGTATTTTTGTAATCATTTGTAATAATTTTCAACAATCATACAGACTTAATAGGCTTCTTTTTTTTTTTTTAGAGAAATTCAGAATTTCTTGTCCCTGACGATGGCCATTGTTCTATTAATTTACATTTCTTTGCAGAAATAGATGAAATGCTGTGATATAGGCCTACTGTGTATATTTTTTACGTTTTCTTAAACCCCTTAAAATCAAGAAGGCTTCACGGCCCCCTGTGAAGCTTTAGCGACTCCTAGTGGTTGCCCCCCAGGTTGGGAACCACTGATTTAAAAAATATCAGTCATGCATAATTCCTAAAATAATTATACTATTATAAGCAGTTAAAAAAAATTAAATAAATAGATAAAACATTTTTTTATTTCCCACTTTCCTATTTTTTATTGCAGTCGTTACCTGCCGTAAACTGTCAACTGCCCTAAAACCTCTGGAAAAGAGTTTGATCAGTTTGATTTCAATGTAACTGTATTATACCTGTTTATAAAGGATTTTTTTAGTCTACCAAAAAGTATATTGCACTGGTCGAGGGGATACTTGGCTGAAAAAATATGTGGTACATTATTAAAAAGGTTTGAGAACCTTTGGCTTAGGATGTAGATGTTATGGTGTGTGCCATTTGTTTATGTTAGATACTTACATATAAATAATTAAATAACTAAATAAAATGAAGCAAAGGTGATGTTGGTCAGCATTACTTACTTCTTAATGTATTAACACAGTGGTTCCCAGACTAGATAAATCCTCTCACAAGATGATTTTTGTACAGAAGGAAAAAACATATAAACATATAAAGAACATATTTCTTTAACAGTTTTTCTGACTTAATTTGCCTTTTTTTGTGTATGTATTAAGGAAAATATTCCTATAAAATAGAGAAAAAAATAACTTTTTTGTTGTTAGAGGCTGTTATTTTTTAAAATGTATTATTTTTGGGAGCATCACAAACTAAATTCCATTGACCTCTATAAGCCTTTTTCACAGCAGGTATTTTTACCTGCCATGGTAGGAAAGCAGTGTTACTTGTTTTATTATAGATTCCAGTGGTGGCTGCGTAGGATTATATTAACAACTCCAATAATAGCACGTCAACATCCAAAAGTAAAAACCTATTAAGAGAAGATTAAACAATACTCAAATATTTCAGCCCACAAAATGTCTGCATGTAAATTATATAGCTAAATTCAATTATATTTATTCCATAACCACAATAACTAAAAGTCTATTTTGGCTCTAACATTACTAATAACATTAAAGTCTCCCAGTGAGCCAGCATGCACAAAACCAGGACCCTGAAACTGAAGCAGCTAATGGAATTCAACCATTAATTAATTTATTTACACTTTAATTTTCCTACTGTGTCTAAATGTGGGACGAATAAAACCAAATCTACCTGCATGGCCAGAGACCTCTGTAACGAACAGGTGGTTGAATAAAATGATATGACAAGAGTCCATCAGGCCTCAGCTCTGTCTCAGCCCTCTCAAATCCTTCAGGTGTTGATCCGCCGGCGCCCCCTGCTGTATGTGGTGGGTCTCCTCATCCCCAGCATCTTCCTCATGCTGGTGGATGTGATCAGCTTCTACCTGCCTCTGAACAGCGGCACGCGCATCGTCTTCAAGATCAGCATACTGCTGGGCTACACCGTCTTCAGGGTCAACATGACAGACGAGCTGCCTTCCACTGCAGTCAGAACTCCGCTCATAGGTGGGGCGGGTTAGGTGTTTGTGTTTGTTGTTTAGATCATTTTAGTACATTTGTTGTTTTTACCGTTCTGTCTGACAAAACTACATTATAATGAAGTATTGCAGTCCTGTAGAGATGTCCTGGCCTACAAATCTAGTTCTCCAGATGTAAGAAAACATGATTGTTTGGCACAGACCCCAAAAAATGTCACATCATCATGATTAGAATAGTTTTTTTTTCAGTGAAAATGAAAATTGTGATGCAAAAATGCTCATTTCCAAATAAATGTAGATTATACTGCAATTGCAATATCTGTCAAAATAATCTCAATATGTATTTGTTGACTATATCATGCAGTAAATGCACTGTCGGGATAAATGTGGCTATAAATGCTGCAGTATGTAGCACTGGTTTACGATATATACTCCCTCTAAATACTAGAAGTCTGACAATGTGACATGAAGAAGCTCGAGTCATAATCTGATTATTGGACATAATTATATAAGCAATCGTCTCCCTTCAGGTGTGTTCTTCGTGGTGTGCATGGCTCTACTGATGCTCAGCCTGATAAAGTCCATACTGGTGGTGAAACTGCTCCACCACAGCGAGGAGGAGGTCAAGCAGATGTCAGTGTCGGCCTGCCTGCTGGACAAGTACGGCTCAACTGGTCAGGGCTTCGCTGAGAGCGCCTTAACCTCCATCAAAACCCTCGACTACATCAACTCGTCCGGAGGTAAGCTCCGAGCTGCTGACAGGCGATGTACCGCAGTGTGTTCTTGCTCTATGATTCACCAAATTAAAGGTTTGGTTTGCAAAAACAAACAACAACAGACACTTGCTGGAGATGCTGCAGCTGAGATGAAACAGTCTAAGTGTTTGGAAACTGGGCCTTTTTGGTTTGTATTAAAACTGCATAAATCTAAATTAATTGATCACATTTTAAAGCAGATCCCTTGATCCTCTCACAGATTATGAGCTGGAGCCCTCACTGGAAGAGGATCTGCTGTCCCTGAATGAGATCCAAAATCCTCCCTCTGCTCTGGAGTGGGTTCTCCAGGAGCTGGCGTCCCTCCGCCAGGCCTTATCCGAGGACGACACGGAGTCTTCGACTCAGGCCGAGTGGCTGGCTCTGTGCTCCAAGCTCGACTGCTTCCTGTTCCGCTTTTACTTGTTGGTTGTGGTTGTGTATGCCAGTACTCTGCTGCTGCTCTGGGCCAGCTGGAGCTTCGCCTGACCACGCAGACAGAGACATAATGCCTGCACTTCTTATTTATGGTGTTTACCATATTTACAGTGATTCAGGATGCAGTACTTTAATCTGTGTTGGAAATATCGACAATGTGTATTTAAAATGTACTGTACTTCAAAAAGTTTAATAAACAGAATATAATAGAGGATACACTTTATACTGTATTCTAATGTTGTTAACCAATGCTTTTAAATGGATATTATTGCATCACTTTATCTTATTTTTGTAGTTTTTGCGGTTGTATTAATCACTCATGATAACTCTGCACTCATCAGTAATCGCTAACAGCTGAGAGCACAGACGTTGTTGCACGAGCAATCAGAACGTTAGACAGGCTGTAAACAGTTTATCCAGCACAGCATTAGTTCACTGCAGTCGCAATCAGCTGATCAGCATCAGGCTTACTGATCTATCATATATTTACAACAACAGTATTATCCAATCATATTCATACAAGGGTTTTAGGTGGCCTAGTTATCTCAGGACACTTTTCAAATAGAGCAGGTCTAGACCGAACTCTTTAAAACATTATTTACTTTATTTTATTTATATTCGTGCCTCTCTCTGTATTTGATGCTGTAAGTGTTTGTGCATTAGCTCTCTTAGCAGAATGTTACAAAGTACTATACAATAGTATAATTTAAGGTACTTTCATTTAAGGCATTTCCATTTTCTGCTACTTTATACTTCTATTCCACAACAATTCAGAGGGAAATATTGTACTTTTCACTCCACTACATTTATTTTATACCTTTAATTACTTACTTATTCAGACTAATAATACAAAATATAATCAACAAATAAAGTATTACGCATTAACTTGGACAAAGATAAGACTTGATTGATCCCTCAGTGAAATCCACCAGCTATCTGGCAGTATATAATAGTACAAAAATAACTGCAACATGAAAGTAATGTATATATTAATACATAAATAATTTCATCCTTTTACTTTTAGTATTTTTAAGTATATTTTGATGCTAATACTTTTGTATATTTATTTAAATACAATTTTGAATGCAGGACTTTTACTAGTAACAGTAAGTGTTTCTGAGGCATTGCTACTATACTTTGTTTTACTGTAGCGCTCCTTCAAACAGCCTTTTCCTGCCAAATCTAACCATTGACTGAAATCACTCTATTTATGTTTGTAATAATCTCTCACTGCACTGACAAATCCTTTTACTTTTTTACTTTGTTTTCTATTTCAAATAAGTTTAACTTATCTGTTAGTTCACAACCTATCTGCTTTCTTTCCCCCAGTTGATCTATTTTTTGTAAAGTCATGTGTCAGCCATTAAGTTTTTGATCATAACTGATACAAATAAAATTCAACTTGAAACTACAACTCTTTTAATTATTCTGTTTACATAACCTCCAGATATTGCTCTGCCACTGTATAGCAACATCATAGTTGGACTTAGACACCGCTGTATCGGGTCTCTCATGTTTTCCCGACAGTGAAGATTTACTCATAGATATTGTATAATAAATCAGCTCTCTGGAGAAAATCCTCAGTGCCAGTGTGATGTTATGATATTGTATTCATACTTTAATCTCCATCCCACTGCCACAAAGTAGATCAATAAAACCCTTTCAGAGCTCAGCTGCTGTGTCTCTATCCCCTGTTGGTTTCCTAATATCATGATAAGAATATCAAAAGTGCGTCACAGGAAACTTGGCAGTGGAAGGATCCATATTAATGCAATTTTCACAGTGTGTGCAAAACCTCTTCTTCCAGTGGATCTGGTTACATGGTGTTATGCAACCAAGCTGAAGATAAATGTTTAGTCAGTGCTTTGATGCTGTCTGTATGAGGTAACAGCGGCTGTACGCTCAGTTCAAGCGTCTCTTGTGAATATGAATCTCAAGATCTTTTTTTTTTTTAATGAAAGAAAACCCTTCAAGCTGTTCAGTCGAGATAATACATGACAGAAGAGAAAATAAAGGCCTCGTAGAGTCAAACGGACCAAGAATCTGCCTATTCTTAGATCTGTAGCACGCAGAGAAATCAGTCTGTCACCAAATAACTATGTATACATTATTGATGACAGCTATGAGTCCACAGAGGCAGCAGTGTTCATGTTCTGTCATCACAGATTTAATTTATTGGACCTGAGGGTTCAAACTAGAGAAAATATCAAACTGTCGTTGATGTTCAGGAATTTGTCATCTGACTTTTTATAGCCGTTTGAGACAGAATTACACAATGAAAATCTGACCTCTGTTCTGTTTCTGTACATCAATCAACAGTTACAAAGAAAGCATGGAAGAAAACAAGCCCAACATGCAACTGAGGCCCTCTAGATTAACAAGCTCAAACTCCCTTACACTGCTATGCTCTGATTGGTGCATTTCAGCCAATCGGACGTTATATCTTATTCTGACAGGACTCTAACAGAGTTCAGAAAACTAGAATAGAAACTGCTGCTGGAACTCAAATGAAAACGCAATTCATCCTCATTTCAGTTTCAAACTTAAAGCCCCTACAAGAGACTATTTTGTGTTGATTCTGGCGGCCCCTGTGGACAAAAGCGGTAGTGTTTCTACCACCTCATTTCATTGACTTCAATGGGAATCCGCCAGAATCCAACCTGGGGACGGGCATTAAGAATAACTATACAGAAACAGTCAATCTTCTCCCTATAGTGATATAAGAGCCCATAAAGGAAAACTTTATCTTTCACTTTCAATTGAACTACTTAAAATCAACAAATCTGCCATGTTTTTTTACTGATACGGTAATACGGATATAATTACATAGAAACGGTTTGTTAAACATCATGCACACAAAATAATTCCTTTTAGTATTCCTTGAACATCCATATAAGCTATTGGAACAGAAAGACAGACTATTAGCCGCTGTAAGTTTCTTCTGTTTGACATTAAATGCTGAAACTTAGTCTGCAGTAAGTGAGTTGACACTTTCGCCTAACAGTCTTTTAATTGTTCTGAATCACTGCAACCCACTGGCCCGGTCTTTGCCGTATTACTTAATTAAACGATTACTCGGGCGTGACATACGATCCGGTCACCGGCTTTTATTCCTGCAGTCTTTCAGCTCCATTTATCTCAGAGAGCTCGCTGCTTTATTGAACAAGGAGGAGTGGCGTCAGAGCAGATGGATACACCCTTACGAGCTGAGTGACACTAACAAGGTTTTGATAGTGGATGAGAGTGAGGTGATGGATATAGTGGATGGACATGGAGGATATGGGTGTCAGGCATCCCGAGGCCTTTCATCAGAGCAGCAGGCAGACCTCCACTGCAGGAGAAGGTGAACTGACACCATGAGGCTCTCATCAGCCTGGACAGCAGTCGTTTTCCTTCTCATACAAGGAGCATCGAGAGCCTGCACAGGTACAGCAGCTTCTGTTTTTACACTCAGTCATATGCTGTCAAATATCTGATTGTTCACTCTTATTTGCTGACGAGTCTCATTTGCATTATTCTGACCAAATCTTTGCATTTAAGGTTTAGTATTCAGAATTATTTTAGTCAGTTTGAGAAAATGAGCTATATGTAAGATATGGCATTATAATAATAAAACAGAATGGCATCAAAGTGCCTAAAAATGAAATAAATACACAATTTCAGACAACAATTATAATGAGAAACACATTATGGAAGTTTTTCTATGTGTGTGTATATTATTGGTTGTTTGGCCCGAGTGGTGAATTATTGGATGAAGGTTATCAAGCCATTAGTTATTAACTGATAATGCTGCTAAAATAAGGGTTATTGCTATTGTTTTTACAGATATTATTATTAGTGGGAATGATCATTTTTGAATCAAAATAAATTTTTACGGGGAATAAATGAGTCAAATCGTGATGTGATATTTTTTGGGGTCTTATTTATACACTTATATTACACTTGGCCATATTGCGATAATATTTTAATTCATTTTGCAGCTAAAAATACAGTATGCAGCTTTAAAATATGTTGAATTATTTTGTTTTAATTTGTCATTCGTGTAAAAGAGACCAAAACAAATATAATTTATTTGCGAAAGTTCCAAACAAATAACTGTAATAAAAAAACAAATAAACTGACCCCTAAATACATTTGCAAATAAAATATATTAGTAATCTTGCTTGAAAGTTAGTAAAATTAAATATATTTGGGATTTGATTGCATGGAAATTCGAAATTTGAATTCAGTATAATCCAGCACCTTCCCTTTTATTAAAGTAGCATTCCTTAAACCAGCATGATAAATATAGTTAATTAAAATTCAGTTTTAACACAATTCATTAGAAATTAATTATTTTTGCTTCTTATTTTTAAAATAAAGAAACTGTTTATTTCAAGTAGCACAGGCCTTTCTAAAGAATGACAATATAAGAAATAACCACTGAATGTTTGACTCCTTCATAAACAGATGATTATTTTGTACATTTGCAGTGAAGAAACTGGGCGGCAGCACAGGAAGATTTGCCAACGCCACACTAGTGCGTCTATCTGAGTTTCTGAGTGCGGGGTATAAGAAGGGAGTGAGGCCAGTGAAGGACTGGAGGACGTCCACTATAGTGGCCATAGACCTCATGGTTTACTCCATCCTCAATGTGGTGAGTGAGTCCTACTGCGTTTGTCATAACTACTATAATTATAGTTTTATACGCCATAATTTATCTGCATAATTATCTGCATTACACACACTTTAGTTTTATTGGGTTTTTAACACTTTAAATGAACCTTATATTAATACAGCGTGGATGGATTAACCTGCCTTGCTCCCTGTGGCAAACATTAGCTGCAGACTTTGTACAGACTGTCCTCCCATGCTGGAACACTACCAGGCCCCACTGCTAATGTGATTAAACGCATTAATTTAGAAAAACACACACAAACCTTGAGACAGGGAAGCTCTTCTTATAATAAAGCAACCACCTTAATCGAGTCCCTTATCGTGTCAGTTGATATTGTGCTTCAATGATGCATATTCCCAATCGCATTTCCAATTAAATTAGCACAAACTAGTTGACTTGCAGGAAGACTGGAGCTTAAAATCTGTCTTAAAATCAGACTGGCTGGAGTAAAAGCTCAATAACATTAACAATGGCTGCATTGTATGCAAGTGTTAGAGTATGAAGGTGTGACAGTGAGCCATGGTAATATTTATATGGGAACTGATCTATTTTGTGGATAAATATAAATGTGATCCCTTATATGCTATGTGTTATTTTATTTTTTTATTTCTTTATATATTCTTATTGTCTTTATTTTCAAATTATTTATTTATAATTGTTAATATATGTAATAACTTTAATATATTATTTATTTTGTAGGAATATTGAGCAAATAATATGTATAAATATTACAATACAAGTAATAATATAAGCAAAATATATAATATGAATTAAGAAAATGTTTCTCTGAAAACGTCTCGTATTCTACAGGATGAGAAGAACCAGGTTTTGACAACATATGTGTGGTACAGACAGGTAAGAGATAACATGTACTGTAAGTTACCCCATACATACTACATAAACCTATCAATCAATCAATCAATCAATCAATCAATCAATCAATCAATCAATCAATCAATCAATCAATCAATTAAACTAGGGCTGCACAGTATGGTAAAAACATCATATTGCAATTATTCTGACAGATATTGCGATATGATTCACGATTACCTACGATTCAAAATTATCTTTTTTGCATCACAAATTTCATTTTCAATAAAAAAAACTATTAAAATCAGTATGATGGGAAGTTTTTTGAAGGTTTTTTACTAAACAAACATGTTTTGTTACAAGATTTGTTGGCCAGGATATCTCTGCAGCACTACAGTGCCGCTTCTGTGATTTGTGTATTTGGGATTTCAATAATATTTCTTTTAATTGTGCAGCCCCAAATTAAACCAATTTGTTATGTTTATAACAGAAAACTCATAGGATAATATGTAAATACATTTAGTTCAATGACAATTTTAATAGGAGCTGCAACGGTTAATCTATTAAACTATTAAATGAATCACCAACTAGTTTGTCTATTCCAAATTCTCTGATTCCAGCATCTTAAATGAACATTTTATGGTTTCTTTAGTCCTCTAAGACAGTAAACTGAAACTAATAATAAAATAATTTACAGATTAATCGACAATAAAAATAAGTTGCAGCCCTGGTGGTATAATGTATTTGCTGTTACTAAAACACTGTGTTTAAACACATGAAATCTGTTTATGATCATATTTCCGAGGTGTTTTACTCATTATTTGTCTTCCATTCTTGAATATTTGAGTCTTGGACAGATGAATTCCTGGTCTGGAACCCAGAAGACTTTGATGAAGTCAAACAAGTTTCTTTACCCACTGCTAATGTGTGGGTGCCCGACATCCTCATCAATGAGTTGTAAGAGCTGCTGCTGTTCATACACTTATTACTCTACCAGGGCTTCGCTCTGTCCTCTTAAAACCAACTGTTGTTGTCTCTAACCCGCAGCGTAGATGTGGGGAAGTCTCCAGACATACCTTACGTCTATGTGACTCATGACGGACTGGTGCGTAACTACAAGCCCATCCAGGTGGTCACAGCCTGCACTCTCAACATCTACAACTTCCCATTTGATGTCCAGAAGTGCAGCCTCACCTTCCAGAGTTGGCTACACACCAGTGAGACATTCTTCAATTACACTGCACACATTGCACGAGTGTGATTGAACGTTTTTGGTTTTAAAGGGACACTTCGCCCCAAAATCAATACATATTTTTCCTTGTAGTTCAGGGCTGTGCATTGGCAAGAATTTGGCGATACAATACGTATCATGATACAGGGTTACGATTCAATATATTGTGATATATTGGAATAATGTAAGCACGGCGATATACATGTCGTCACGTAAGCAGAACAGTAGGATCTTTATCACAATCCCTATAACATCCAAGTTTATGTTTACAACACTGCTACCTAGCAGCTGGGGGTTTAAACAAAAATATTAATACGGAGGTTTTGATAATCGATGATGTCCCTTTACAACATCACATTTTCCAACATTATTCATTAGGTTTAAAAAGTTGAATCCTCTATACAGAAATAAAAATTGGGCATTTACTGTTTGATGTCATATAAATTTTGGTTTTGTTGTTTTTTAGTTTTAATTCTTAAGTATTCTGATTTGTTTTGCCTCTATAAGCATGTGTATAATTTCCTTCACGGATGAAAAGATTAAAAAAATAATTGGCCGTTTGTGGCTTCCGTACAATAACCTCTCAGTTATTTTTACAGCTCAGAACTAATTTCTGACATTTTATTTCTGAGTATTTACTTCACATTAGTAACATCCCTGCAGCTCTCTCAGTGACTCAGATTATCTTATGCTGCTATTGAGGTAATTCTGGTGAAATGGTGAAAAAGAATCACTGGTGTTAGAAAATAACATCCAACTCAGTCAGTCAGCTGTTCTCATCAGGACTTTAGTAGAACAACTGTTCTGTTCTGGGCGCCCTGCTGTGACGTGTGCTCTGAGAGCAGAGTGGTGGGTGAAAGGTAACTTGTTGCCATGACTGTTTCACTCTGCTCCAATCATTGTGTTCGATCTGCAGTTGACGACATCAACATCACCCTGATGCGAAGCCCCGAGGAGCTCAGGGAGGACAAGAGTGTCTTCATGAACCAGGGAGAGTGGGAGCTGCTCCATATTCTGTCCAACTACAAGATCTTCAGTGTGGACAATGACGACTATTACGCTGAGATGAAGTTCCATGTGAGTATTTAAACTTTCAAGTTAGACGTGTAGTATCACAGGGTGGCCAAAGACCTGCCAGACTGCTGTTATTGTAGACATTCAGTATCTTCTTTCCTTCAACCATCCTAGTCCAGACTGAACTACTTAAATGTACTCAAATATCATTACAGCTTACCTGTCAAAGGCAAGAGTTTAATGTTTGAAATGTGAAGAATTACTGAGCTACAGAAATGACGATAAACGAGAACCCTGTCGCCCTGAGCTGCATTGAACACACTGTGGATGGATTTTAGATTAGAAAGATGGAGACTTTTGGGTTCTTTACTCAATGTAGCTACCACAAAGGTTTACTTAACAAAAGAAAATGATTATAACTGAAAATGTTTTAATTAAATTAAGGCCTATTCACTGCAGCTAGGTCCTCTTTTAAATAATCGACCCCAGACACTGTCACTGTAAAAAGGAAAATAACTGTAATTTACTGACTACTAAAAATACTAATACTACAAATAATACTTATAATTATATATAATTATGATACTGCCCTTAATAATAAAAAACAAAACAAAAAAAAAATACATAACACATGTAAGGTACCTTTAAAATAAAAATACTTATAAAACGAGAGAAAACCCTAATGGTCTCTATCTATCTCTCTCTTCAAATATTAAGCATTACTTTCTCAGACAGCAGACAAGCACATTCATAAATAAAATAAAAAAGAGGGGGAAAGTAAATTCGTTCCCTGTTTGTTTGAAGAGAGAGATAGAGAGAGACACATACACATATATATATATATATATAATAATATATATATATATATATGTGTGTGTGTGATAAAAACCAAAACAACACAAGTGGGGTACCTTTAAAATAAAAACAGACTAATTTAAAACAAGTGGTAGTAAACCTTAACTCTCTGTCTATATATATATCTATATCTATATAGCCGTCTATATCAGAAAGAATGCTCAGGTCTACAAATCTTGTTGTCTGAATTGAAGAAAACTTGTTTACAGACCAACTAATTTCCCATTATCACTACTTTAATAGTTTCCACCACTTATCTGTCAAAATAATCGCAATATATATATTTTTTAACCATATACACCATTGCCAATTAAGCAATTAACTTTAAACCCAAATTCAAACAGGTCACTTTAGGCAGAAACACACCAAATAAACTTGTTTCTCAGTGAGACCGACAGATGACAAGAAGGGAAATAAAGTTCAACTTACAGTTCAGTTTGAGTCCTAAAGAGACCGTCTGTTGAAGGAAAGCTGTTGGAGGCGACCAAAGCACAGTGCAACATGTCCTCATCATCAGGGGACCTTGAATCCAGCACCGGGGTCCAGACTCACGCCACCCATCTGTCACACAGGCTAGCTTAAAGAAACTATCAGTCTCAATGCACTTAATAATTAGCAGCCTATAGATAAGCAGTTAGCATTGTTCCTCTGCTACATGATATCACTCAAAGAACTGACACAAGCACTAAAGTTCAGCATAATTAACTGAATTAAGTAGATACAAGTGTGGGTTAGTGTCTTAACCTACAACTTTATTTACATCAAATTTTTCTTTACAAACAAAAATGTCATAGCACAATATTAAGCATTACTTTCTCAGACAGCAGACAAGCACATTCATAAATAAAACAAAAAAAGGGGGGGAAGTAAATTCGTTCCCTGTTTGTTTCTCTTCTTCATCTTCTGCCAATCACAGCTCTGACTGACGCCTGATATTACCAATACAAACAAAAATATATTTAACTGATGGTGTAGTCTGTATTTCAGTTAGCCTCAAATATTTATCTGATATTATCATTATTCACTACTTCAGTTGCTTATTGAACATCTCTCGTTATTTAAAGTTCAAATGCATCTTTTTGCTGTTTTTTATCGAACTTTATTCAGAATTACATTTATTCAAATTCATACTTTTGACACAGGTCTACAAATATTATGTTTAAACAGACATTTTGAGAATAGTTTAAGGAAATTCTCCGCTGTTAACTCAGTAATAAAGACTAAAAAAGGAAATGTAATAGTTGTATAATTCTGTGAAATACGCTTATTTGTCTTTATGGGAGTGAGTTGAGCAGATTAATATAGATCTAATATCTGTCCATTAAGCACAGTGTTTCCTTTAGAGCATAAAAAGCCAAATATCTGATTAGCTGCAAACGCTCAGAACCACAAATCAGTGGCTGATACCAAAATGAACAGTGACACAGTTCTTGATGGATAAACTGTTGTTTTTTTACAGTTCTGACGTGAGCCAGATGAGCTGTTTCCAGTCTGTGCTAAGCTATAAGCTAACCACATCCTGCTACACACAGCAGCCATTTTTAACTTCAGATCTATTTCCCTCCAGGTGGTGATCCGGCGGCGGCCGTTGTTCTACACCGTGAACCTGCTGCTGCCCAGTATCTTCCTGATGGTGATGGACATCGTGGGTTTCTACCTGCCACCAGACAGCGGAGAGCGGGTTTCCTTCAAGATCACGCTGCTGCTGGGCTACTCCGTCTTCCTCATCATTGTATCCGACACTCTGCCTGCCACCGCCATAGGAACCCCGCTGATAGGTGATCCATTACGGCTTATCAGGAGCTTGCATTTAGGAAAGGATTTCTACAAGGAAACGACTGCTTTCTTCTTTTTTTTTCCTCTAAAGAAATGTCAAAAAGTTAATAGACTATAATATTAGGAGAGCACAAAACCAAACTGAGCAGCAATTATTCTCCGGCTATCTGCTTTTAAAGAGAATCCACAACACCTTGTGTCATCTTCCCCGTTCTCTAGGTGTGTACTTCGTGGTTTGCATGGCCCTCCTGGTGATCAGCCTCACAGAAACCGTGCTGATTGTGCGTCTGGTGCACAAGCAGGACTTGCAGACCCCCGTCCCCCACTGGGTGAAGTACCTGGTGCTGGAAAGGGCTCCGGTCCTCTTCTGCATCCACAAGAAGCACCGGCTCTGCTCCAGACTGTCCTCCCAGGCCTCCGACCTGGAGCACTACAAGGACAACAACTATGGGACCGGTAAGGTGGTTTTCAGTCTTTCAGGTCTTTCATTCAGGTTTTTAATCAAACCAACCCAATTCACTTTTCTTTTTCAGCCCAGTGCACCCTCCACCACACCTGTGAGATTGGCCGAAGGCTCAGCCAGCACGACAGAGAAGGCGGGCTGCTCGGACTGGGGCTGCCCCCCTCCAGAGACCCCACCCCGCCCGTCATGGACAACATCCTGCAGGAAGTGACAGCGATACGGCACTTCCTGGAGAAGAGGGATAGGTGCCGGGAAGTTGCCAAGGAGTGGCTGCAGGTCGGCTACGTGCTGGACGTGCTGCTCTTCAGGGTGTACTTAGTGGCTGTGGTGGCCTACAGCATCACACTGGGCACGCTGTGGTCAGTGTGGCAGGTCGCCTGAGTCTCGCCCCTGTACTGCTGTGGACACGAAGCTCAGTGGGTAGAGCATAGAATTAAAGAGGCCAGAGTTATTGGCTCTATGCCCTGTGTAGCTCAGTGGATACAGGGAGGCTCTGTAAAGGGACAGGGAAAGGCTTCCTGCAGTTGGGGCCTGTGTACAAAAGGTTAAGGGTTCGCCACTGTATCCCCACATTATTATTATCATCAGCAAAAGTTTAGGTTTAATCATAAAGTTCCTTGATATAACCAACCAATGCAACCTGCGTTGGTCAAACCTGAGAGGAAAGTGAACAAATTGTCGTGATAAAGGTTAAACCTGAAGATATCCAGCATATATCCCAGAATACAGTTGGGACTCAGAGACAGGCTGGTGGGGGCAGGAGGATATTTGTTAACTTTTAATATTGCTGTGTAAAAACATCCATATAAATATGTAAAGTATTTAGATGGATTAATTAATCAAAGGAATTCATATTAGTGTGGTATTAACTGCATGTACCCTTTGTGCTGAATGTGGAGTTATTGTTGAAGAGATGTCTATTATTTGTCTATTTTGATGGAACTTTAAATAATAAGTCTGTAAGTAAAATGTTGAAAACTTGTAGAGCTTCAAATACAATACAATGTTTAACTTTAATGTGCCACATATTATAAAATCTGTCTAAACTATAATGTAGTAATGTTAAATAGGACTTTTTTGTAACTCACAGCTTGGATAACACACGCTTCTGTACACAGTAACAGACGCTAATCTGTTTTTTACCTTTTATTTAAATTGCGTTGCCATGTGAACAAGAGATGATGATGTTATTATTATACAATGAAAGAGAAAGAATTGCCTATATAATCAATTTTAATAAATGTAACAATGTTTCATCCTTAAAGGAGTTAGCAGTGCTCATATATGTTCAGCTTTTACCATCTTCCCTTTAGCTTTTATGGAAGCTATGGTAATTACATATATTAAAAAAAAAAATAAATCACGTTATGAATAAATAATTTTATTTTTAATGCGTCAAAAAGTGTAAAATAATATGAAATATTTGCTTTTTTCATCATTGTTTTTTCACAATGATTAGCTGCTAACCTGCGCCACACAGACACAATGTCACTGTGAAACCGAAACAGACTTGATCCATGCAAAAGTATTTATTATTTATTTATTTATTTATTTATTAGTATGTATTTCCTCACAGCCTCACTTTTTATTTAATTAGTTTTGTCCCACGTGGATTATTCGGACTTTAGCATTTCCCATGAGTCCAAGTGTTTGAAAAAGGGGAATCAATTGGGTGTAGAATCATTACTCAAATGAAGCTGTTACTGTAACACATGGCTCTATAGTCTTAGTCTGCATTACCTTGTTTACAAAATAAATCCATAATGTGTATTTTCATGAACAAAACTTAATTTTTAATTAAATGTTCCATTTGTTCAGAAATTTCTGCAACATCTAAAGAAATTCACCAAAGAATAATTTTTTTTGTCTTATATCATGAACATTTGACATTGAAGTATTGCTTCTGTAAATTGCACGTAATAAGAATAAGGTGATTATTTCTGTTAATTGTGACAAATACATTGTTTTTTAATGTAAACGTAATCTATAATCAGGAAGTAATGTTCATATTTAAATCTATTTAAAAGTGAGACCTGAGTACAGAGAAAAATTGTATAGAATACATTCATATGAAGAATATGAATATATATATTGTATAAAGATACAAGCATACTGGTGTTATGTAAAACACTTAAAATCAAGGATTAGGCTTTTAATATCCACACTGTAATAGGATTGTCTGTGAGCCGTCTGATCTATATTAAATTGTTAAATTGATCATGATGAAATGTGTCAATACACTGCTGATGTTTCCCTGTTTATCCAGGTGTATCCACATAGACAGTGCACAGGTACTATGCCGCTCATTCCTTATGAGTTCACTCCTGCAGTTCACCACAGCAGCCAGAGGATGGCAGCATGCACAACAGCATCAGTGCCCCTCAACAGCAGAGAGGTTTTCTCATCCTGAGATGGTGTTAACATCAATAAGTCAGTTCTAATAATTTAGATATTGGTTTTCTTTTTGTTTTATGCTGTTCATGTTTATAGTTGTTGCAGTAGTTGTTTTTATACAGATATTGTCTTATTGTCTTCATGTAAAGTGCCTTTGAGTACCTTTTAAAGCACTACATGAAATAAATGTCTTATTATTATTAAAATAAAACCACAATGTGAAAGAGATCAATTACAACATAAAAATTCAAAACATTTATGAATGAAGAGAAAGTTTATAATCCAATCACATCTGACTAAACTGGGATCACATTCACACATTTTCTGTGCATATTAAGGGAATTAAAATGAATATAATCAAATCAAAAATCATAGTGAAGTGAGGTTTATGTTTGTACTGTCCAATAAAGAGACACCAGTATCAGTCAGTGTGGAGGGTGAACTTATTATTTACAGCAGTACACAAACTCACATTCATTAAACAATGGAGATCTGTTAGGAGTATAATAAATATGCCTGATCCTACATAATCATTAAACTGTAGTTTTTGTATATTATTTGTCTACATTCACTGTATTCTGCCTTATTGTTGTGCTTCATTGTGTCATTATTTCCTATTTTTATTACTTTATTCCCACGATTATTAATCTCACTTTTACTTTGTGACCATGAAATGCATGTAGGTTATGTGAGCTGTATGTGGAGGTGGGCAGGGGGAGGCAGGGGGAGGCAGGGGGAGGCAGGTGACATTGTACATTTGTGTGTTTCATTGTGAGATCCTGAGTTTGAAAATAAATAGAAAATCAGTTGCTCTTGCAAAGCTGGCCTTCGGAGGGCATCAGCGGATCTAATTATTGTGCTTTTTGCAGTAATAAAAAAAGCATCAAGTGAAATATAAATACTCTTAATACACTGTGTATTCAGTTGTTTGTGTATTTGTGTAAAGTTGCTTCTTATGACATCATTTCAGCAATCTGTTCGATGTTAGCTGCTAATAATCCTGCTGATATACAAATACACTGAATGTTTGTCTGCATTATATTCCTGTCCCAGAACGTTCACATTGATCATATCTGCTAAATGTTCACTCCCTACAACACTGGTTCACAACCTTTTTCCTTTTCTATCATTTAGTAAATTGACTAAGTCACATATTTTATTTTGAACGAATCCAAACAGTGAACTCAGTAACTGCAGGAAGTTTGTGTAAAACGAGAGAACTGGATGAATTCTGAGCAGATTATTTCCTGTTCAGGGAACTTTTTTATACAATTCTCTCATACTACATCATACTCTCATTTTTAACAATCATACAGACTTAATAGGATTCTTTTTTGACAAATGTCCTTGTCCCTGTCACTTGGTCATTGTCCTATTATGAACACATTGTTGAGGTACAGGCCTACTGTGGATATTAAAAGTAAATAAGGCATCGCGACCTCCCATGAAGCTTTGGCGACCACTAGTGGGGGTCCCGACCCCCTGGTTGCGAACCACTGCCCTACAATGTGCAACGTGTCACTCCGATCTGGTTGCATTAGTGTTGTGTGATATGATATACTGGAGGGAGATTTTTCAAGAATTTTGCCGTAGTATTTATGCATTTGATTTTATCCACAGATAGAGGACTCTGCCAGCTCCTCATTAAATACTTCACAGCTAGAAATAAGAAGACAATCTACATTTTACACCTTTGTAACACAGTATTATTCAAATGTGACAGGGAATTTGGGCTGGTTTTCTCATGTTTCTGTCTTTTTTTTCACCTTTCTTCCCCCTCAGGTTATTTGGTTGTTATTAATGTTCCTGTTGTTCACTTACTGACTAAATGTCAAGGATACCTGTATCACACATCCTCCGGCTTTGTGATTGTTAACATGGGCTGAATGCTGAACTGAATACCTGCATGTTGTCTGTACATGAAGCAAACTGCTCAATATAAACATGTTAGAAACATACATGAGAGAACGTGAACGTGTGATCTCCAACACAAAGCTCAAAGTCATAAAGCTTGGCTTAATAAAGTCTGGTGTAGTTTAATTTAAAGCTTCATTTTAAAACCCCTAAAAACAAGGAACATCATTGAAGGCTGGCAACCTGAAGACTCCAGCCTTTTAGATATGTGGGTCAAAGATCAGTGCTGAAAGCTCATGCTGCAACACAAAGGCCCTTCACTGTTCATATCACCATCCCCACAAACCATTCACCAACCCCTGCCCCTTCCTTCCTAATACCCCAAAATAAGATCAAAGTCACACCAAAGCAACAAAGTCCAACAAAACCCTCACAATGAGACTTTTTTCCTCTCATTTCCTGTTTGTGTTTTCTGCCAAAATCTAAAAAAGTAAAAGAAAAACATAAACAAACCACAGAGCTTTTATACTTGAGTGCATAAGTGGACAAGGAGAGTGGAGAGCTGCCTCATTAGTTTCCAATACACTGAAGTCAAGATCTGATCCTGTGTGCCAGGGAGAGGAAATGAGCAAGTATAGTGGCATTACTGGGACGTATTGGAGACACTTTTGATGTGATTTTTTATTTGTCGGACACACAGACAGGCTTTATTGGGGATGAAATTACAGCTACCAGCTGACAATAAGGATTTATTAGTCTGATAGAGTTTTGAAGCACAATGAGGGGCTATATCGGGGATCTGGCATGTTTTAGCACATTAAATCAGATATGTGTAACAGTATTTCCAAGCAATTCCCTATGCACAGTTTTATTATGTGTCATGTGTGAATGCAGACTTAAGCAGGAAGAGTTTTCACAACTGCGCTGGTGTGAGGACTCCTAATTGTTAATGCATTTGCGCTTCAATTACAGGGTGGTTAAGGTGAGGGAGTTCTTCTCATCCTGCCATGACTGTGTGAATACAGCATTTGAGCCTTGGGAAGAGCAGATCTTAAATTTCAAAGCTTTATCCCAAGGATAGTGCAACCACTAAATCACTTAAAGCAAAGGGGTTTTTGGAATCATTCATTTCTCTGCCCTTCAGCTTACTGAGTTCTGCCTTTGTGTTTGGACAGGGTTCATCCTCTGGGGAGCATTTTTGATGACACTATAGGAAAGGTCAAGTCACCATAATCATTATGAATCATTCTGCTGGAACCATATTCAAAATAATGTCAGTCTCCCAATAATTTATTTTGCGACGGCAAAATCGATAAATGTTAATACTAGTAATTACTAAATGTTCCCTGTAATAATAATAATAATAATAATAACAATAAAACTTTATTTGTATAGCACCTTTTAAAACTAGAGTTTGCAGAGCGTTGAAAGACAAAACAAACAAATAAGATAGCCGGGATACACAAAATATAATTTAATATAAAAATAATGAATACCAAAATACAATAATAAGAATAAAATAAATAATTAAATAAAAAAATATGATTATGTAGGTTTTATGTAAGTTTTCCTTTCAATAACTGTTAGCTGTTTCCCTCCAGTTGCCAGGCCTTATGCTAATAAATATATTTCTGGAAAACTTAAGTACATTATCCCAATTATACTTACATATTTTAACTTAAAGCTAGGGTTGGTTATGTATTTCAGAAGTATTTTTGTTGTATTTGTTGAAATTATCTCTACATATTAAAAGCAATAAAACAAATGCATTGAACAAAAAAGGGGGAAAAAATCATATAATAATCAGTCAAACCAATGAAATGATGGGATCCTTTAAAAACGAAGCTGTTCCGCTACCGTTAGGTATGATTTTAAATATTATTTATATTTAATAGTATTTTTACAGTGTGGCATTTGTACTTTTACTCCTTCAGCTCCGTCCTGCAAACACTAGATTGATAATCTTCTTATCTTACTGAAAGACAGATTGGGTAAAAAGTGCCTCTTTAACTTTGCTTTAGTTGCTTAGATTAATCATTCATCATTCAATACCTACTGTACGACAAAATGTTTGAGCAAAGATACCAAATGATATGTTTAACCAACTGCTAAAGCATTCAAAAACACAAACACGGGAGATCAAGATGAGCGACAACCTGCCACAAAACGACTCATCTAAACCTTGTTCAGGTCAATCTACCACCAACATTTTGTGTCTCGGCTCGCTTCCTCTATAATGACAATCGTGCGCGTGTGACGACAGAGGTGCACACGTACACACGCCCTGCATATCTAATGATAGCATTTATGACCTCTATGGCATGAGAGGCAGAACAGACTAAACGCAGTCGGGCTTGAAGTGCTGCAGTAGTTACCATTAGCACATCACAGCCAGCTGGTGAGGCCAGACAGAGGAAGGCGCTTCAACTGTGAACATTTGTGGAAGCGTACAGCGGGCTGTCGACATCGAGCGGCGGCATTCAGTCGGGTGCTGTGGTTAGAGATTGTTAATTCAAATGAATGCATGGGGCTAACTTTTGCATCATTTCATGTTTTGCTCTTTGCAGGCATGATGCCACACACATTACAACAATCGTGTTATAGATGATCATGAATGTGATTGGGTTTACTGCGTATTCTTTTTCTTCTGCTTCTTCTGTGAGGTTTAATGACAGTTAATGATGTGAAAATAACAATATTGAATATTAAATGTTGCTTATCAAACTTACATTTACAGTTTTGATTGAACTTATAGTGTAATTATTTTAGGAGTTATGCATGACCGACTTTTTAAGAACCCCTAGGCGCACCCCTATTTCAGAAAGACTACACTAGAGGATACAGCGTCAGTGTTTTGCCTCGCCTAGATGTGAAAAGTATGCGCATGAAGGTCAAGTACAAGCAGTAGCATAAAGAGCGACAAAGTCCACGTTGGGTGGAGGTTGGGTGGATCAATGGCTCAAAGCAACGACATATAAAAGATCAACGTTGCGTCCTCCGTACAGATATGAAGCCAAAATATTCTGGATACGGATGCTGCCATGCCAAGATCCTGCAATGTTTTGGCTTCACTTTTGGAGAGCTGTCATGTCGTCCATCTTTATATGTCTTTATATGTCAATGTTGATTTTGTCAGGTATGATCTTTTCCTAAACATACCCAAAGTAGTTTCATGATGGACGTTTCACACCAAGAACAATAATGATAACGGTGTGAGCATCCTCACTGATGAACAAGGCTGAATATGTCGTATATAACTGACCTCCTATCAGCCAGTATCTAACATTAATCTAATACAAACATAAAAATGAGGCATTAAAGACAAGTATTCTTCAACAGTGACAGACATCCTTGCAAATGATAAGAAACCACTCACAGGCGATGCTACGACGGGTCCTGGATGGACCAGCAGGCTGTCACTTGATGGAGGAACTGTACTGTATAATTAGTGTTATGTGGTAACTTTTCATTGTGCCATTCTTCGGTCACCAGCTGCCCCCGAAGGCTTTATTTTGAAAGTGTAACTATGGCGTGACACTGGTTGGAATCTACGTACAGGAGAACTAAACTGGATTATGACAGGAAGTTCACATAAGTACTGCTCGAAGCCTTTTACTGGAGTTTAACACTGGAACGACTGATGTGATTTAAAGGCTATAGAGCCGACCAGCAGGCTGTCACTTGATGGAGGAACTGTACTGTATAATTATTGTTATGTGGTAACTTTTCATTGTGCCATTCTGAAAAATAAAAAGCACCATACGGATAAATACCCCTGTACCCTTTGGTGAATTTAAATCCAACCTGTTTTACTTGAACTGTTTTATCTTGCATGGACTGTTTTTATAGATTTTTTTCTTTTATCTCGTATCTTTTATTAGTGTTTTAATTAATAAATTTGTCTTATTACATTTTTTTATATCTTGTATCGTCTAAGTGTTTTCTGCATGTCCCTGAGATTTCTGCCTCCACAATGGATGTGAATGGAAATTGGTTTGTTTCAAATAAACAGTGTCTCTGTTATAATGGACAGACCTCACTGTGAACTACTTTCTACTAAGAATGTTTTTGTAAAATTGGGAGAAACAACCCTTTAAAATGATCTTTAGAATCCGGGGTTTGTTGTTTATGTCTCAGTCTTTGTAGCTGAGCGTGCTCCATTTGGCCCGGCTGCCATATAGCTCGTGTTGTATAGCAGCAGGGGCAGGAGAGGTTACAGTAAACTGCCTGCAGGTATTGTGCTGAATTCCTATCAGCTGGGCAGCTGTAGAAACATCAGATACAGTAAGGCAATGTATTTAATGAGTCAAATCAATGTGTGTCAGCTGTATGCTCATTCAGGGCACGCATTGAATTCAACTTTGGGCAACCTGCAAGCACCAAAAACCAACAATACAGCAACTTATCAGTTTAATTCAACATCTGCTTTAACCAGTCTCTATTATTGTTGGTTCACAAGCCCATTTTTGGTTGTTGTGCAAACTGGGAGTGAAAAACCAGCAAAGAAAAGACATCGATTTAGTAGCAGCAGCGTTAAAGCGGTAAATAAGCTAACCTAAAAAAAAGTTTATAATAATACAGGTCATTATCTAAAGGATTCATCCTCTCAGGAGCATGAATGTGTTGTAAATTTAAGCTGCAGTCTTGGATACAAATATCTATTTTATACTTGCGTGTCATTGTAAGAGTATTTAGATTAATGCTCAGGTGTTTTATTTATATGAAAGTGTTTTTTTTTCACTGTAAAACCCAATGAGTTAGTTCAACTCAAACTGTTTAAGGAAGTGTAACGCCTTACATTATTTAAGTTCATTAACTCAAACAATTTAAACATGAAACACATTTTGAGTAGAAGTAACTCAAGTATTTGTTAAAGTGGGTAAAATAATTACTTTTACCAATTCCATTCAGTTAATTGAAGTTAAAACTAATATCAGTCGTATGCAGCATTTCTCCAAACTTATTTAAATGTATCTGAATAAAGTAAGACCTCTTCTTCATACAAATGTTACCATGTTGTCAGTTCCTTTGGTTCCACAAAAGCTAATTATTACATTACTTCTCAAAACAGTTGACAACTTGGAATTAATTATCAAAACGGTAGTCAATTAATTTTTTGTGGATCAACTAATGTAATTATTGCTGCTACTTTATTTGACTGAAATCAACTCTTTGCACTTTGGGGGATCATTAGGACATATTTGGATGCATGACGATTTATAAACGAAAAGGAAAACAAAATAATTTAAAAATCTTTAATTTAGAGCTTAAAGAAATTGAGTCAATGGAACAAACTGGAATTATATCACCAATACTTAAAATAATGCACAAGTTTACAAGTTATTACTTCAACAATTCATTAGTTCAGTTCGTTCGTTAGCATTAATTCAGTGATGCCACATTTTTTGGAGGTTTAAATTATTAATTGACTTCATTTATGAAGATCTGCTGTTTTACAGTTTAACAAAGATGAAAAAAAACCATTAAAAATACGGATTTAATTACCTTTTTGATCACTACAAAATACACCAAATAGAAACTAAAGGAATAAAATAAGTTGATGTTGTTGGTGTTTTACTTGAACTACTAAAGAGATTTTTAAGTAGTACTTTATGATATCAAAGAGGAGATCAAAGACACAGCGCTCTAAAATCATTATTTTGTTAGATCCTTTCTATCACCTTCTGTTTTAATAAATAAGTCAAACAAATAGCGAGCCAGAAAGAGTGCTAAGACAGACAACATGAAGTCCATTTTTTATTTTTTTCTAACCGCAGATTGAAAGTATACAACTGAACATCATGATTTGATTTTTATTATGAGACTCATAAATAAAAATACAAAAAAAGTCCACTACAAAAAACAATCTACTGTTAGTAGGATGTAAAAAAAAGAAAAAGAAATATTCTTTATATTTTCACTATCAAAGGCACAACATTGACTTTAGTGACAACATGGAGAAGAGAACCTGCAGCATTAAATCTTTTATTTTTCCTTTTTATTTTTTTTTCACACTCCATCAGAGAACACTGAAATGTTACAAAGAGATGTGTCTGATTCTACATGGAAAGAAACAAAAAAAGAACAACCTCTATATCAACAGACGGTGGCTATAGATTGGTGGCACAGCTCAACAGGAAACGTACTGCCACGGGAAAAAAATAGCACGTTGTCGCTGGAAAAGACAAAGGACCTTTGCAAAGCTCTAATGCAAATTTCAAAAAATTATACAACTGACAACAATAAGAGAAAAAAAATAAAGAAAATAAAAAATAATAATTGGGCACCTTCTAAGATTAGGCTAAGATTAGGTGCTGAGGTAGACAAAAACTATAACAATTCAAATCATAATAAAAACACTATTTTCTTAATACAGAGCAACTTGACTGGCACTTGTGCTGTCACAATAATGGAGGAGAGAAGTAGCACAGACAAGCCAGGGAAAGACAGAGAGAGAAAAAAGCTTTGTTACATAAAAAGCTTTGTTATGCTTGGTCCGACAGGGCAATTGGTCCTCAGTGCTAATATAAAAAAATACAATGTCTTGGTGCTTTGTTACTCAAACAGTTTTTAGTCTAGACCTCGATGGCACATGCATTGCAACACTGCATGAAATGGCTACTTTGTTCTAGAAACACCACACCAAAACACAGAGTGCCAGCTCCAGGGATGCCATGATTCCTCTCTGACGAATTTAACATCCCCTTCTAAATGCGTTTTGTAGAAAAGAAAAGAAAAAACTGAAGCAAAGCAGAAGGGGAATACCCTAGTGCCAACCTACCCAAATGGAGGTTTTTTTTTTTTTTATCTTATTTGGATTTTTTCAAGAACAATATAAAGTTCTCATCAACAAACCTGTTGCTGACATAAGAGAGGGGGAAAAAATAGACAATCTGAGTGGAGAACCAGAACTGCTTGCGGGGAAAAAAACAATTTCATGGAGCAGATTTTGTCCCGAAAGCGGCTGCAGCCTGTCTGGATGCCGCTAAAATTTTTCCCTATGCTTTGTTTTATGTCGCTAAATAAATGCTTTTGGGAGCCAATCACAGAGTACGGCCTAAGAAAAGAAGCGAATGCAGAATCCCAGTTGCTATTTCAATAACATTATGGGTTTATTGCAGTCCTTGAAAAAGAAGCCCTGCTCTATTCACAATTTTTTAAAAAAAGAAGAAAAGAAAATCAGGTCATTTTCGAGCGTCATGACATCCCTAGGGTGCTGGAGACACCATTTTTATTTTCTTCTGAAAATACAGAAACTAAGCAGATATAGATGGATATTTTTGTTGAACAAATTCCATTTTTAGGCACAAAGATAGTACAGAAACATTGGAGGAACACTGAGGGAAGAACTATAACGATGCCAATGTATATATATATTTTTTCCAACATAGAGAAAAAAAGTGGCATAGAATATCATTTTATTTTGTATCTGATCTGATTAGTGCATTTTTCCACTAATACACACACACACGCACACACACACACACACACACACACACACACACACACTCACGTAGTTACACACTCTTGTACGCACTCGTTCACCCGCACGAAAAAGTAGAAAACATTCAGAGGACGATGATAGGAATAATGTGACTGATCAGGTCTTGCATTGTGGTGGTTCAGACTGAGCCGTGACTGGGTATATTATAGTGGGTGGATATTATATGAGGGTGAAAAAGCCCCTCAGCTCACAGTGTTTGAGAATAAAATGGCAAGACACCACGGGACATGCCATCCCTTCTTCTTCTTTTTTTTTTTTTCAAATACAAAAAACAAAACAAAAAATACGCCGACAGTCAAGTTTGATTGAAAAATTGTGAATGACAAGTACTAATTGGTCGGTTTGGCAGCGTCCTCCTGCCGTCCCGTGTTTTTATCATTTTTTTTTTAACCTTTTTTCTTTTTTGTCACATACACACACTCGTAAAATTTGTGGCGGCTAGATTTAGTCCTTCACCTACAATGCAATTGACATCCAGAAAGCGACACTTATTATTACAATATGTTCACACACGTGTTTTTTTGTCCAACAATATCAAAGAGGAGCAAGGCAAAAATGATTCACACCCAGAGAGAGAGAAAAAAAAAACAGGTAAAAAAAAAAAAAAAAGAAATACAAATATTTGTGCCCTGCTGTAACCCTCCACAAATGGAAAAAGGACTGACACTGAATACAAAAATATCACAATTTTTATATATCAAATTGCCTCTGTTGGCTCTTGTTCAGGAATCATCTCAAGAGAGCTTGTCAGCCGAGAGAATCTCTATTTTTAACCTTCTGGTTTTTCTTTTTTTTTTTTGATTACCACTTGCAGTTCCAATTGTCCAACGCACTCTGCATCACTGCAAATATGACCTGTCCTGGGCGGTTCAGCGTTTTTGATGAACCTTCTTCTTCTTTTTTTTTTTTCACATTACAAAACTACACTTCTATTCACATATTTTCAAGTTTAAATTCTTGTTTTTAAACCCTCTTAAAAAGCAATAGTTCTTCCTCTTATCTGCCACATCCCTCTTACTCATCACTTAAGGCTTCAAAATTGCTTCTTTTTTTTTTCTCTGCTCGTCTGTGGTTGGAGGTGCAGGGGAGACTATAAGAGAAGAATAAACATCCATTTGACTTTTCAAAATCCTATCCACCTCTACTTTTGTTATCTCTTACCCTTTTATATACATTTTGCTTAAAAAAAACACAATCATAAATCAACTTTTGAAAAAAAAAAAAAAAATAATAAAAGCATGAGATGAAGTAGCAATGATGAAATAATGCAAAACACAAACACACAAAAAAATGTGCTTTTGCCAAAAAATTAAAACAACTTAGAGGTAGCTTTTATAACAAATGACCAAACCTTCCAGCTCATTAACAAGCGGGGTTAATAATACCAAGTTTGGTAACAAGTAATGCACAAAGAAATACACAACATTAGAAAAACAAAAAACAAAATCTCTTCACCGTGGCACTTAATTTTTCTGCGTACACATTGCTTCATCATGTTGTGCAATGCCTCTTCTCCACACACGCTCATGAACAGAAAGTGTACAAACGAAACAAAAGGGAAAATTAAAATACACAAGCAACATGAGGTCACAAAACGAGGTAATTCAAGTACGATGTGTTGAGATCAAACTCAAGGTCAATAATAACAACAACAGCAACAACAACAGCAACAACAACAACAACAACAACAACAACAAGACACGAGAGAGACGAAGCGCAGGGACAAAAACCACAGAGAAAGAGTTGATTTATTCTGTCGTCTTATTGGTCGCCCCCTAAGCTGCTGGGCCGTGTCTCGTCCCATCAGTGATTTCCCCCTTTTCCACCGGCCATTTGGATATGTGATCACCCCGGTAACGCTGTGACATGCAGTGATGCTCATTAAAGCCAAAGGTTCAGCCATAATACCTGCGGCTGCGCAAGTCACACAGGTCTAATGCTGCATTTCAGAGACGCCAGAAAGTCGGAAAATTCCCACCTCCTCCTCACCAAAATAAGCCTTTCAGTCCGGGCAGCATGGGAGCATTTACCGTAAATACACATAACCTTTAACAACCCTCAAAGCAGGGACTGCATTTACCTACAAACGGGCCTCGGTTGAAAGATGAGGGCCCTACTTTCCTCCAACTCTCCGTACGTTAGTGTGCACGAGGCATCCAATACAAACAGCAGCGTATGCATAGAATATTATTAATCATATTTTTCTCAAGTGGTAATTTAAATAAATGCAAATATATTTGGGAATATGCACCATTTAAACACACTATCTGTACTATAACTACAGGAAAGGACCCCAGATAAGGCAGGACCCACCTTAAGATCCTGATTTCAGTTGATATTCTACTCAAGTGGTGCATATTCTCAAATAAAAATCCACTGACAGACACTGAATCTGGGGCTTCACAGGCCAGTTAGTAATCCAGCCTTCCCTCTCCGTACACTGAAGTCTGAATCTGAAGATCACTGTTTCAGCCCTTTCGTCAGATCATTTTAACAAAACATTAAAACGCCTGATAGGGAACGATAACACATTCATTTCAAACACATATCAGCATTTACTAGCTAGCTAGCTAATACATGGGGAACAGCCTTTGAAGCTGGATGGAGAAAATCTTCAGAGTCGTAACAACCTTCCAATGTGGGAATAATAGATTTCTGACTTCCAGTGAAAGGCAGCATTAACCTGTTGTGTATTCTCACACAGCCTCATACGAACCCGGCTCACAGTCTTTCACATTCATGTTTTGATGCCATACAACAGTCTTCAACCTACCGCACCACCTTGGACAAAGGCGTGCAGCTAAGGCATTCCCAGCACTTCTTCAACATTCACTACGAGCGGTCGAAGTCACAGGACTCCCACGGAAAGCAGCGGTTTCCCATTTTCCCATTTTCCATCACTGCGGTGAATAGACAGATCTGTTGCGGTCAAAGTGTTACTGTTTATGTGTCAGTTTGTGTAGTTCATCATTAGTGTGAGATAACGAGAGTCATCTGGTTAATGTACATGGATAAAAGCAGTCCAGTCATCTATTGCTGAGTATGTGGATAGGCTGGGTTTAATGTGGCATACTGTGATAGAGAGTTATTATTTAATGAAAAATGATATAACTTGCAGACATCAAACAGAGACTGTTGTCGTAATTTTTTTAACCTGTGCAATCAAGCCATGATAAACTATGATGCGGAGCTAAAAATAATATAAGATGAAAAAGTGACGGAAGTTAGTTTCTCTGGGGAGAACCGTGGGTGGCCAGTGGTGACTCGACTTTCTCCAGCCCTCATCTGACAGAGATGCAGAACCAGGAAGACTACTGAGAAAACTGGGGAGACTTCCAACAATGAAAAGCAGCACTAGCATTCCCCCCCCCCCCCCCCCCCCCAACCAAAACAGGTGCTTGGTTTGCAGTATTTTAGTGCTCCCATTCATCCAGTTCAACTGTTTCGTCTACTGCATACGCCTACTGGCTCCGGTGCTGATTCTCAGGGGCTATCTCGCTGCCACCGCTGGGATCTGAAGGATCTCATGTATGGACAGGTTGTACTGGCAGATTTCTGTGAAAACTGGGAAGATCTGTGTCTACTGCGTGGGCAGAAATGATGGGGGGTTGCAAAAAAAGACACATTTCCTATTGGGGAAATTTTTCAGCCAAAGCCGATCATTCAAACTTTGTCGTGGTTCATAACTACCGTACCATGAAGGCTGAAGGTAGCCATGAGATGAAGGATTTTGGCTTCTGAAAGCCAGCAGTTCCTCAATACTTAGAAAGCAAACCATGACCTGATGAACTGGGGGCCTAATCTGATCATATTATATTCACATATTCTTCATGTGATCTGAAATGGTCTGACTAAACAGGGTGAGTGTAAACAAACCAAAGCAGAACAAAAAAAAAACAACCTTTCTCCCATCTGGATAACAAAATGGAGTGAAAGATTTGGTTCCTGATGGCGAGAATGTGTCGGTTCAGATAGCCCTTGAGAATCTGCTTACGCACAACTGTGGCAGCGGCGTCCAAACAGTCACCTCAGTGCAGCTTGCTCGCTTTATGGCGCTGCATGAAATGACCCAAAACAATAACACAGTTGCAGATGTAGTGAATGACCCGGTGAATCCGAACAATGGTGGAGAATCTCACTCCGTGTCCAAGTCCACCTCTTCTTAGCACTTTTGTCCCATCATCACCACCCTTTTACCCCGTCGGTCGTCGCCGCCTTTGCATGAAAAGAAAAAAGAGAAAACAAACCCTTATGCTTTCGAGTCTCTTGCCGTTGACATTCCTCGATCGCCAACACTCCACCACATCCTCCTGCCTCCTATCCGCTCAATTACATTCCCCTCACCTCCCCCAACCCCCGTCCCCACCCTTACACGTACCCTCCCCTCTCTTCATTCGCTCTCCCGGCCTCAGACATAGCAGAGGTACAGGTAGGTCTTCTCTATGCGCCAGTCTGGCGGGATGTCTTCGGGCTTGTGGCCTTTCATGTGCTTCTGCATGGCTGACAGGCTGGGGCAGTACTCCAGGCAGATGGTGCATTGGTAGGGCGAGGCGCCGTTGTGGGTGCGCAGGTGCTTGATCATGGCCGAGTAGTCCCTGGATCGCTGGTGGCACAGCTTGCACTCGAATGGCTTCTCACCTAAGGATGATAGGGTGGGGTTGAAGACAACAATTGCGTTAGCCATAGTGCCTTTCAGTGACAGTATTATGTCCTTGTTGTAGCGTGATGTGCCTGTTAATCAGGAAATAAATGCATTTGATACAGAAATCAATTGAAAGAGAAGGAGAAGCTGTATTAGTCTGTGAGGTGTTCTAGGAAACACAGCGGCTTTTGTCATTCACACCAGAAGACCAGAAAATTCACTTATCTCCACCAATTCCAATAAATCCTTGTTGTTCCATAAACAGTACACAGTGTGGTACATCAGAGCATCGTTGTGAAGGCCTGAGCCAGCAATGTAATATTACTGTTTGCATAAAATGCCAGTATGGATCTTCTATGACTTGATAGCCAAATTGCTATGTAGTTTATAGCCACTGCAGTATTATTACAACCTGGCTCTTATTTTTATAGTTTTGGCCATGATTTTCTATGATGTTAGGAGGCTGTACTTAGTAAGGTAATGGCTGGGAACACAATGACATCGCTACAATGCAATGCAAGAGCAGGAAACACTGATTGTCTAAAATTAGTGGGTTTCGAGGGGTTCCCCATAAGAAATGGGAGAAATTAGTAGCAAATGGCAGCTAGTACAGTTAACACATGCAGCAGTTGCTTCAAAGATACTTAAGTCTCGGTGACAAGGCTATTTCTTCTGTGACTATCTGACTAATGAAAAGTGGGTCGACTACGACGGTTTAGTCGACTATTAGGGGACAGCCCTATATGGAATAACTAAGTCTCCTCAGTAGGGATCCCTAAGACTATATCTTAACAAAATAGTAAAAATAAAATAAAATAAAACTGCAAGTGAGTGCATCCAAAGTGTTGGCAACAATCCCTAATCGCAGAGAAAAGCCGCGGGCGGTAAATATGATATGTATTTCTTTTCAACCTGGTTTGTTTTATACCCATGTTTCCAACTTCTTTTAGTGATCTTAGCAATTATTAACTCAGTGATAGTGCTTTTATTACTGATGTAAATGTTGTCCAATACTACAGAAATAAGATCCAAAGTGTAATAAATCTGAATTTTTCTTTCACAGCAATATTTTGTCTGTTGACAGACACCGCAGCATATGCACCTGTTGTGGAAGAAGTAAAAAAAAGTCTCTATGTCAGGGCTTCAGGAGTGAAAAATAGTCCATCGACACTAATTTAGAGACCACAGATTTCACCCTGCTGGCCCACAAGAAATTCTGGTGTTGTTATGATAATTGGACTGTGCACACAGCGAGTGACAAGTTGAAACCCAGGAGTGAAATCCCAACTGTCTCCTGAACAGCAGTGTGCAGCAGTAAGAGACCACACTAACTCTTTAAAGTCATTCCAACTGCCCTCAGTAATTGGTACAACTCAAAAGAGAAAGAGGGAATAAAAGAATAAATGTACAGTAGTGGAGCTTGTTCACCTCTGAGAGACAGCATCAACACAGTGCCAGTCAGGTTCATCAAACTATCCCTCAAGCAGCTATAACAAAATGATCTTCTAATTATTCTTGTGGTTGAGGGGATAGAAATCCTTTGTGTTCAGTCGTTATCAATTCTCATTACTGCCTTTATTAAAAGACCCTTCTGTATTGGGGTTTTGGAACTGTGTAAGAATTTTTTTCATATAATAGTGTGAGAAAATGACAATGACACGTCCTGCTATTAAATCGAATGTGGCAGCAGAGGTTTTTCAAGACCACACATGAAAGTGTCGGAAAAAGCTGGAAAGTTTCTAAAACAAGTACGTGCTTGTGTTTGTTGCCCTGTCACGCTTTGTTGTAGTCAGCATGTTTCAGCATCTTTAGTTACTTTGAAGATTACAGTCTTCATACCTTTACTGTCCAATGAGAATCATTTATCTGAATTCTTCATTTTGTGATAAACTGAAGGATAAACTGTCCTCCTACTTCTTAAACTAAATCAAGTGTTTAAAAAAACATCTTAGATAAGGTGGAAAATGCATTGTAAATGCATTGTCATAAATCTGATCCAATCCAAAAACATCAGATATAATTGTAAAGCATTATATCCCATTTCTGTCAGTAAATCCTCCGAAGTGTTACACACTCAACCTTTAAGTAAAGGATCTGAATACGTCTTCCACCATTCATAACTGGCACAAATGATGGTCAAATCTGTCAATGTACGAACGGAGTCATAATGACAATCTAATAACATTTAAATGAAGATCTAAACAGGCTAAAATTCCAGGAATATGTGACGTTTAAATGTCTGGTATTTCTTGTAAACCACATCTAATCTGTGGTACATTACACAAAATACACCTCCTGCCATAGACAACTCCTGAAGGTGTCATAAATCAAAGTGCAGCGCTGCTTTCTTGCTGTGGGGGCTGCTATATTCAAGAGGCACATTTCAATTCAGCAACAGCAGCCATCCTAAATGTGCTAATGATTTGAGTGATGGCAGGGAATAATCCACCAGCGCTCAAGCCGGCAGACGCAAATTAGACATGTAAATGCTGACCTTTACCAATGGCATTTGAAATGAGCTGTCGGAAGTGATCTGGCCCAGCGCTCGCTGTCACCTTTCAGCTGGAGCCTCACACGTGTGCGGCGGCAAAATGGGCCTCATGCCTCCGCCGCTCGCTCTGTCTGTCCTTTCGGAGCCCTGGTTAACCTTGACCTCCGTGGGGGCTTGGTTATGGTGCCATTTAGCCAATAAGCGTAAATACGATGTTGCAGGTCGTCATGTGCAGCAGTGTGGACACCCACCTCCTGATGATATTGATAACCACACTGTAAACAGGGTCGCCTCAAATAACCAGCTAATAATGAATTGCAAATGGGGCCCAGGTATTGATCTGCCATTGGCATTTGGGATGTGTGGAGAGAAGGGGGCGGGGGGGGTTAGGTTGCCAATGTCGATGATTCATCAAGCAGCTCCCTTTTGTGCGAGGTGGCCTTTGACTGTGAGCTTGTCACTTGCTCTTGTTATCTGCTGTTGCTCTCCGGCTTAACGCAAAGCCCCCTCCCCCACACAAAAGGGGAAAGGGTGGACGGAGGGGAGCCAATTATTGGACAGGCTGCCTTGATAGTGTGGCTTAACAGCTGGCTTATTGAATGGGAGATGGGAGGGCGCTGCTGTGTGTGTGCATGAGAGAAAAAGAGATGGTGAGGAAGCATAAAGCCTTGGCCGTGTGCCATCCTGGTGAGCACTCGTGGTATCCTCGCTCAGTCTGGTACGCAGCGCGCACTCATTCTCCAGGGCACCCAGCTTATCACTGTGTCAACATCTTTATGGGGCTCTAAATATACTGGGATCAATACAAAGTCTTCTGAGACATCCATCTACTGTATCACAGCAACAGAGATATTCATCTGGTCGGGTCTGTGCCTGGGTTTCCTACATCACAGTCCTTTAACAGGCACCAAAAGCTGCATCGTGTTTCAACGCTGTGATATTATGAGGGCCGATGAGATATAATGTTGCATTCATATCTTATTAGGAGAAGTGGAAGAATGAGATGACGTCTCATTGATACAGTTTGAAAGTGGTCAGGATACTCATGAATAGAGGCAGACAGATTTATCTATTTTTAGGTGGATAACAATATCTACATTTAAGTGTAAGACAACAAATAATTACTGTACATAAAGGCCAATATGTTTAAAAAGATCTCGAGAATAGTTAAACAATGTGGAAAATACGCTTTTATTTCTGTATGATTTGCTATATTTGTATCTATATTGTCTGGTATTGTGTTTTGTAAAGCAGCTTGTAACTCTGGTTTTGAAAGGCGCTGTAGAAATAAAGGTTATTGTTATTATTATTGACTGATTGAATAAGAGGTGATGTCTGTATGCTAAGCACAGAGCTGGAGTCAGGACGTTGTTAGCTTAGCATAAAGACTGGAAGCAGGGGGAAACGTTTAGCCTGGCTCTACAAGCTACTGTAGCTGTCAGATTCTGTGGGGTCTACATACTGTAGGTTGGACATGCACTGAAAATACCCAGCTAGCATTTGAACTTAAGACCGACAGTTGGTGGTGACATAGGGCTGTAAAGCATTGTGCACTTGGACATTACCCACCTAATCCAAGTTACATAGTGCAAGAACAGGCGTTTGGGGTGCCGTGTAGGAATGAGGCATCATTCTGCCTATTACAAGTCTGCGTACCATAAAAATGATTTTGGATTTGGATTTTAGGGTAAAATTGTTGCATAATTAATCAACATGTTGTATCTTGGCTGTGTGTGCACATAAAGAGCAGGGGTTTCCAAACTGTTTCCATGTCCACAATAGATGCACATTAGACCACAGACCCTGAATTAGAGAAGATTATGTCTTCAGGCATCACAGTAACTGTTTTTTATTTTTAGGTTGGAAGATTCTTTATCATCAGTCAATGTTCAAACTAGGATCACTATAAAGTACAATCATTCAGAATGGCCAATCTTAAGTCTTCCCAACTTCAAATTAAAGTTAAAATATTCTATTTTTCTATAAACCGCTCACGGAGCCCTGTTGGTCCTCGGATCCAAGTCTGAAAATCACAGTTTTAGAGTTAAGTGGTGAAACCATGTCTAGTTTGAGCTACTGCACAAAGATAAACTGTTGAAAATCAAGACAGAGTTCCAGCACACAGCAGTTCCATCAATAAATGCAGCGTTTTTCTCTTCAAACATCTTTGTCAGTTCGATCGCAGTACCTGTGTGCACACGGTAGTGGGTTTCCAGCTGGTGCTTGAGGCTGAACTTCTTCCCACAGCCGTTACATTCATAGGGCTTCTCCCCGGTGTGGATGCGTTTGTGGCCCTTCAGCGTGCTCTCATCTCGAAAGCAGCTCCCGCAGAACTCACACTCGTATGGGTGGTCCCCTGCTGTAAAGTGGAGAAAGACAAACAAAGTTCACTTCATCTGCAGACAAGACTTTGTTGTAGAAAGGCAAAAGTACAACAGTTCTCGACTGAGGGGCAGAACAATGAAACATAAATTCATCTGAATGTTGTTAAAACTTTAACTAAAGTCAGTCTTTTGTGGTCGGTTGGCTCTCAGCAGCAGTCTGACTATTATTGGATGTAGTGGTACCTAAAGGGAGCCCCATTACTGAACGATTTGTCTGATTATTTTGGTGGGTTTATGCGCACTGCCAGAACAACACGCTCTAATGGATACCCACGCTATACAGCTTTAATACCAGCAGACAAATGTAACCACATCTTTTGTCTATTTCCACAAATCACCTGCACTGCTGTTTTGTGTAAAGCCTTAAATAATTGTAGCCTGTCATGGCTGTTCACTGGCCATGAGATGAATTATTGACCATGCGGTCCCAGTCTCACAATGCTTGGATAACCTGGATAACCTGACTGATGCATATTCGGGTTTAACTCTTCAGAATTGTCGGCATTTAGGGTAACATTTTGGTTAAATGAAAAGATCAGAAACAGGAAAGGAAGTCAAGTGTACAACTCCATCTGCCTCTCCATACCTTTCTCTTTCAATGCATTACTTCACTGTCAGTGTACTGTCTGTTTCTAATTATGGCTCCTCTGTGTAATCCTTTCACACTGGGTAAATGTGTTCTCACTTTTTATTTACGGAGCGCCACATTTCCATTCTGAGACATTAGACTCATTTCAGACACCGGGCTGGCAGCGGATGTACAGTATGTGTGGCTTCAGAAATGAAAATGACAACAGGCATCACATTCAGCTCCTCAGGCTGCCAGAGCACAGGTCCCCACAGGGCAGCTGTAATGGATATTCAGATGTCAGTGATCAGGGATATTATGATTTGCAGGAGGCTCTCACCAGCAGTCCAAAGACTAATTGTATTCCAGTGTTTGATGAGGAGCTGCTCCTTGCGTCATTTGCTTCCCCCCCCACCCCTCCCTGGTTACACTCTCCAGCCAAGTAATGTTGTGGATATTTATTAATGTATTTCACTCCACTGCTGCAGGTTTAAGTTACCATCAGTGACCTATGCCTTTCATTATCTGCCTGTCCGAGCAGCAACGTGCCAGGGAATAAATTGCATTTCTCGTTATGTGCTGCCGCCGCTGCCCCGCTGTTAGGAGACAATTTCACTTCCATCCTGCATATTTTATTTAAGGTTTTTACGTCCGTATATACAGTATGTATGTGTTTATTTGGTTTATTCAGGAGAAGAGGCATGAAAGAGGAATGAGGGGTCGACACCCTTTAAATGCTGATCATATTTTGGGTGCTAGACTTTCATGGAAAAAAAGATGCCATGTGATGTTGGACGCCTCCCCCATTACAGAGAAGCTTTGATGGGGGTGGAGGGGGTGCAGGAGGAGGGATAAAACTGAGACAGGGATGGAGCTGGGGATGTGGGTGTATATGGTGGCGGCAGTGGGGGCTGGGTAAAAATCAATAAAAGTGACAGTCTTTATTTGTCTGCGTGAAGTTATCAGTGGCTCCCGCTGTAAGACATTGTGCTCTTTCTAGCGTTTCAACCACAGCAGAGATCACAATCCATCACGGAGCTCGGTGGGCTCGCACGACGCTACAAGAATAATAATTGAGCTCAGATTCACCTGCCTTTAATTAGGGCCTCCGATCAGAGCAGCGAGTGGGATGCTAATACTCAGAGGAGGCCTATGGAGGGTTATTTACGTTTTATGTCCTGTTGCTCCGCTTACGTCTGCTGTTAGCAAGCATCATCGAAAATCTTCAATTAGCTAGAAAGAGCTTGTAGTCTTCCTCGTTTCAATACACGCTTATACAACATTTACTGCAAAATATAGTGTGCATTGTGCCATTCTTTAATTTCAGAATGCTACAGAACAATAAATATAGAGAACAATATAGTGTCCACCTTGACATCACTCACTGATTTCTGTACAGATGTTCTGGAGCCCTGATGTGGGTTATACTTCACTTCATTTTGACTTTATTACTCACATTTTTCACTAACAGCATGGAAGTTATTATATTTGTTTCTTATCTGACCTGTCCACCAGGAATTCCCATTGAAATTCACAACCTCTTTTTCAGGGGAGTCCTGGTTCAAAAGCAGTTGTAAGTCTTTACACTTTATCTTCAAGATGAAATATTTATTTTCAATGCAAACTACTGACATTTTGTTAGACTTAGTATTTATATTATATACATGCAAGTCTGAGGCCCTAAAACAACATATCAAATTAACAATGACAAAACTATGCTACTCTTTGTATGCCATTACCCATAAAAACTAAATTAACAACAATTTTGATAATCTATTAATTGTTTTGACTGATGTGTTTTTGACAGACTTTTTTGAAAAAAATCCAAATTCTCTGATTTTCTTTAGTCCTCTGTGACATTTTATAGAGCAAACAACCAATCGATTCATTGAGAAAATGATCAACAGATTAATAGATAACGGAGCTGAGAGAGATGGTAACTTTGATTAGGTGTAATAAATAGGCAACACATAACAATGTTTGATTTCTGATTGGGAATAGATACTGTATGTCCACACAGTCTCAGACGCAAGTGTGTCCGTCTGTCAGCTGAGGCATAAAAGGACAGATTGGTATAACATGCCGAGCGGCTGCTGGCCAGCTCCAGCATCCTGTTTGTCCCCGGGATGCATATCATGCATGTTATCTCCTGTAGCCACTCGGGGACGCCAAAGTGCAAAGCTGCACTGCAGAGCTTTAAATAAATCCGACACAATTCTATAATCACACTGTGAGGATGTAAAGGGCTAGACAGGACTTCATTTTGTTGGGATATTCTCATGGGGGGCTGGAGAATAATGGGGACATGTCCTCTGTCCATCCCAAATCTGCCACTTCCTTTCTCCTCCTCTCATCCCCTTCCTTCCCTTCCCTCCTATCTCTTTTCTTTCTCTCTGCTGTGACCACATGGCAGGGAGGCCACAGATGAGGACCCAGCACAGTGAGGTGGAACCACAGCATGGTGAGTGGACCCTTGGGTGCCCCCGAGCATCACCACCTGCGTCTCCTGACCCCCTCCCCCCTCACCTCTACATTTACACCCTCCCTCTCTCTCTATCACCTCCTTTGACACCCCAAAGGACTGCTGAGGGTGCCTGTGCCCATGGGCACCCGGGGCGTGTTCATTATATACGGTAAGAGGCTGTAAATCACCGGGCTCCATCACTGCCAGGACCAGAACTGGCTCATTCTCTCTCTCTCCAAATTCAATTCAATCCTCTCTCTCTCGCTCTCTCTCTCTGGCTGTAGCACTATCAAATACAGCTGCGAACACAAAACACCCCGCCATAGCAGACAGCAAATTGGCTCCGGGTTTAAAAAAAACACACACACAGACACTTACACACAGACAGTGCACAACAACGGAATATTAATGAAGGCCTGGTCTGTAAAGAGCGAGTGTGTGTGTGTCTGTGTGTGTGGTGTTAGGGAAGGGGGAATAGCACAGCTGCCATGACTGCCACTGTTGTAGGCACAGCTCTTGAACCTATACTGTAGAGTACATACATGCAATAAAGATATAGAAAGTAAATAAAGAGACAACATGGAGCTGAGCGTGTGTAATATCCTGGCGTGTTAAGAGAAGGTGATGAAACTGCAGGTAGACGGAGGAAAATGAGAAGACGCAGCGAGGGAGAAGAGGAGAGATGACATGATTAAGATGCTGGAATAAACACCATTAAATCTGTTTTTTTTTTTCTTCCTCGTCCTAAATGGTGATCCAGTGTCAGAGCCCGCACCAGCAAGGCTGCTTTCAAAAGATAAGCCAGCAGACAGGTAAAATGAAGCACACGTAATGAATGTCCATAAAAGTGCTTTTGGCTGCTTTCTGTTGTCAGTCGATACAACAGAACGGTGACTCAACCAATAACCGAGCTATATCTAGAAAGCTCTCTGCGGTAGATGAGCTGCCACAGTCTGTCCATTAAAATTAGGGTTGGATACTGGGAATTGAGATTTTGGTATTTCTGGGGAATTCTTGCTAAAATTGACTCATTTCCAGGGAGAAAAAATACCTGCGGGAACACGTGACTTTTTGCACGTGTGCTAAAGACTACTGTATAAAATAGACGCCTCATTACACCGCTAAACCATAAAGCTGCCGCACTTAAACACTCTGACCTTGAAAAGCCATTATTACGGTAATATAACTGGATCAACTTTTCAGCTCCAGCGGTTTTGCCCATTTATTTTTAATTCTACAATGACTGCCCACAATGGCTGTGAATCAAAATCTGCAAACGAAAACTTTGCAGATGGTTAACAGGTGGCTGAATCAGACACGCAGGCCTCCATAACCACATCCGAATATAGAGCAGTCAACAGGTGGAGCATCGGATGCATAGGATCACATTAGTGTTGCTACTAAACATCCAGAAATAATACTACCATGACCCAAACCCCCGAAAGAACACGCCGGAATGGCTGCATCGAGGATTGTCCTCCTCTGTCGCTGCATCCAGTAATAACCTCAGGTCAACCCCATACGCACTCCCATATAACCACTCACATGTACCGTATTAAAACTAGTAAAAGATAAGACGATATTCTACTCTACTACTGTGTTGTTTTTATATACACATTTGGAACTGGAGGTATATGTACTTGTTGCTATAACCTCTGAAAAAGTTTTGAAATAAAGTGGAAGAAAATTGGAATAATTCTGCAGTTTATTTCTTATAGAAAAAGTTATTTAAAAAATCCTAGTTTCACCCTAGAAAAGAGTAATATATTTGTAGGAAGTAATCAACCGCTTTCCTGCACAGTCAATCCAAACACACACGACTTGTGCAGAATTAAATGAAAGCTTTAAAACACATCTTGTGCCTACAAAATGAAAATAAAAATCTGGAAGAGTGTGCAATGAATCACTCTGAATGCAGAGAAAATAAGAGGACAGATGAGAACATGAATGAGTCACCCACCTCTTGTATCATAATATTTGCTTAGAAATTAATAGACAATATTATGTTGAGTGATGTGGATAAGATGTTCTCTGATAGTATGTGATGTTCACCAATCTCAGTGTATATAAAAGATGCACTTTATGGAAATGTATGAATGGTTTGCGAAGATGAATATGTTCTTTATTAGATGTAGTTTGATCCTGCAGTCCAGAATTTGAACCGTTTAATCTTTGTCTTGGCTACACTAACGGACAAGCCTTTAATAGCATAAAAGTTATACGTCTTTTGTGACAGTTCTTGCCCTGGGTGTTGTCTCTCAGGCTACGTTCAGGTAGTGGGGAAGCTTGTTGGGGCTGTACGCAGGTGGAGGGGAAGATCAGGAGACGCTGTTCAGAACTGTTAACAGTACTGCCAACATCTTTGCATGGATTTTGGGAAAAAAACACCCCTAAATGTTATTTAATCTATATTTTGATTTACAGTTAATATTTTGAAAACACACAATAACTGAACATCAATCAAAGAAAATACAGTAAATGTGGAACCAATAAAAATAAGTGAGACCAAAAACCTCCAGTAATTTGTAATAATTACGAACCCCATGGAAATCTTAAAAAACTACAAATTCTAGCGCAAAATTACCATCTATATTTTGTCAAACACAGAGGTCATGTGATAATATTCATACTTGTCAAAATGTAGGTTTGAAAATACAGGAGGTTTTAGTATATAAGTAAATAAATAAACATAATGAATGTAATTTTTCCCCACAGTGCCCTCTATTAAAATCAAAACCAATCATTTCACTTGGCTGACGTCAGACAAACTCTGTGTATGACGATTATTCGTAATGAATTTTGAAGGTCATAAAAATTACAGGAGTTTCCCAGAAGATGGCCTTAAAATTCGGGAGAAACCCCAGAAAAACGGGTATGAACATTAGTCCGGCAAATCAGAATCTCAGCGATTTGGGGTCGTATTTGATTTGTTTTCTACCCTGTCCAGAATTATGGAGGCTGTGTTGGCAGTTATTAATTAAAGTTCTGACAGTATTTTGGGTACACATTTAGGAGGCTCATCTCGCTACACAGGGTGTAGACCCATTCGCAGGAAGCTCAAACCCACCAGGAGAGCCAAATCTCGAAAGATGATGAGATGGATGACAAAGCCTTGTCATCATATCCGGGAGAATAATGTCAGTAAAATACAGAACTCGTTTGTCCTCTGGTAACACTAGACCCGTGCAAACAGCGCCATAGTTAATGCATTTGAATTTCAAATTTTTTGTAGGAAAGCACAATATTGTTCTGGATGAGGACTTATGGGACTCTGTATTCTGGGTAAAGGTAAAAAAGAAAAGACAAGGGGGCTGAGGAGTTATGGTGCATGTAGGATAATAACAAAAACCTGTGAGATATGGACAGACGTTTAGGTGGACTTGGTTGGATGAGGACATTGCATATGTCTGTAAACAAACACGGCTGCATGTAGGTAAACATATAAGGCTGATTCTCTGGGGTGGATACGCTGTCTAGCTCTGTCTCTTTTTAAACACTATTTTTGCCTCGTTACCCAGCAAAGTGTGAATGAGATTATTAACATCAAAGTGTAAATGTAGAGGAACACCATGCCTCTACTTCTGTCTTTTTTTTTTTTTTGGAGGGTAAATTAGGACCTATTTCTGGCACCCATGATGTCTGTGTGAGTTGCTGACTTTATAATCCCCTGACAAAAGGCTCCACATCATATTTAAACGATTGCTTTCACGGCTGGCTCATTGTGATTTAACACACGCCCACAGCGGGATGAGGTTCAAAGTGGCATGAGGCTGCAAAGTCTCATCTGCGGCTCCACAGACGAGCTGAGGTGACATTTGCGTCGCCTGGGTGGGCAGGTGGATCAGAGACGACGCTTGTGTCCTCTCCAATGTCTGCTAGATGGAGCAGATGTGTGCACCGCTACTGTACAGGCGGCTCAAGCAGCTCCGTCCAACCCCCTACCCTTACCCCGATCCCCCCCACCCCACCCTGCTCCAGCCCCTACCACCATCACACACTAATGGTGTATTCGCCTGACTTGTAAATAGGGCCGACTGCTCTCATCTCACTGCCTTTCGTTTCAAATATTTATCCGTGAGCTGGTGAGCTAAATCGGCTCTGACAGTGAGACTGTTATTTAAGGTCGCAGACAGGCGGCTGGGTGAGAGAGAGAGAGAGAGAAAGAGAGAGAGGGGGGGAAAAAGCATCCATCCCTCGCCGGTGAAATGGGATTCATTTCCATGTGTTCATATTCTGTCATGGTTACAGGGTTTTTTTCTTTCTTTTTTTTTCACTCTGAATAGCCGCATCCGTCAGGCTACCTCTGCTCCCTCGCAACAATGTATTAGTATCCTGGCCTCGCCTCAGTGGAGAGCCAGCACTGAGAGAATTACTAGTGGACTGAAGAAAAAAACAACAACAAAAAAAAAGAAACAGTCACTGTAAATAAGCTTCGTCTGACTGCTGCAGAATTCATTTTGTGATGACCTGAATTAATGCTGTTTATTCAGCTGAGCTGAAGCGGCAGTGTAACTGCGTCGGGATAACATAATTCTCTCCCATTTCCTAAAATAAAACATGTTTTTTTCCCCGTTGTATTATACTGTAAGCTATATTTGTCCACCACAATCCTTGTAGTGGGTCAGAGGGGAAGGTTTGTGTAGGGTTTTTTTCCAGTATAGCTGTACACAGTGCAGTTGTTTTTATGGTCAGGTATGCTATTACTCTAATACAGCAGGGAGGGAGGTGGTAATATACTCTATTGTAATCTGAGAGAAAAGACGTTGGGAAATACATAGACAAGAAGAAATAATGAATTCTTCTGAGATTCAGGATGCCGATATCTCAGACAAAATGAGGAATTTATATGAAAATCTGAGCTCACACAAACACATATAACACATATATGCAAAAAAGATTTAAGACTTAAATGTAAGAAGAAGAAAAATGAAAAATGTTCTGACTAATAGGGCTACATCGATGAATCCATTAGAACAAGACATTTGAGGACGTCACCCTGGGCTTTTCTCAACATATTTAATCAATGATGAAAATAAGTCACAAATGAGGGCCCCCAATAAATAAAGGAATTTAGTAATATGCACCATGTAAACCCAATATCAGCTGAAATAAATACAGTCTTAAAACTAGATTTTGACTCAGGGAGGGTCTTTAACACCAGCCCTCATTATCAGGGAATAAAGCAGGTCACCCCTTTTAATCAGTCAGTTGATATTGTGTTTAAGTAGAGCATATTTCCATATATGACTAAAATGAATTGTAATACTAACATCCCACTGCCACACAGGGAAGCTGGGGCATTGCTCTGGGGATCTGGGACCCAGGGTCAGATGGTAATCTAGTCTTGCTATCATGCAATACAATAATAATATGTCATAACAATATTGAGAGGGAGTGGCTTGTCTATACCGTAACTCAGCAATTGGTGCTCCTGTCACACATTAATACCCCAAATCTTTTCAAATAGTTTCCATGATTAAACATGCCTGAAATGAAATCTTTAAAATGACACTGATCCCTGGGACTTCACACTCAAATTTCCTTTTTTTAATGACAAATCCTTGATGTCAATATGAACCCCTGCGGATCGGCTCTATTAGTAGTTTGGTGGAAACAGAATGACTTCAAGTGTGCTCATTTGAGAATAAAGGGACAGACACAAACGGTGATGCAAGTTGGCTGCAAATTCTTATTTGAGCATGACCAACAGAGTTGAGTAATTTTCTGACCAGAGATGCCGCTTGCAGCATTGCAGTGGTGCACCTGAGCCTCTGATGTAAAATAGGTTGGACCAGGAGGAAGGAATATTTAGTAAGGTGTGGTGGGAGCTAGCAAGTATGGCAAATTAGTAATCAGTATTAGTAATTCTAGTTAGTCAACTGTCAATATTTTATCAGACAGTTGATGTAATTAATCATTTTATTGGATTATCGTGGCTTTGAGGGAGCTCAGCTTGAAGGACAGACTCTTGATGTGTCAGTCAGTCTGTCTATCAGCCCTCACCAATGTTTGTGGATACTGTGACTGGCATAAGTTCCTTTCACAGGGTGTCTGAGCTACTGCACCTTCATGTCAAAAGGAGCTCTGGGTGTTGTGGATCTCTGATTCTGATGTCCCCCAGTGGCTTACATGTGCAGATATTTTGGGTTAAAATGGCAGCAGACCCTTGGGCTGACCCACAATACTCCAGAGGGACTACAGATCCCATCTGGTCTGGGAAGGTCAAATGATTCCCCAGAATGAGCTGGAGAATGTGGCTGTGGAGGGGCTGTGACCCAGACCTGGAGGATAATACACTATGAAGCACAGTGATGCTTCGTTTTGTATCACTGATCGAGCGCTTCCACTGACCTGTGTGTGAGCGTAGGTGACGTTTGAGTGCAGTATGGCTGGGGAAAGTCCGATTGCATTCACTGCAAATGTAGCTGCGAACGCCGGCGTGGACTTCCATGTGCTGCTGCAATGCCGTCTGGGTCTGGAAACGCTTCCCACAAAGCAGGCAAAATATGGCCATGTCCGACCCTGCAGAGCCAGAAGACACAAGGCGAGTTAGTGGTGAGAGCACAATCATATTGTGGGCAGAATGACAAAAAAAAACAGACTTAAGCAGGAATGGAAAAGCACTGTGGAGCCTGAGGTGTCACCTCTCCCCACAGCACTTCATGGTAGATAAGGCAATGCCAGCTTAGCTCAGACAAATCACACTAAAGGTTATGCATGCACAATGATTAAGACACAGTATATGCAACAACTTAGGTGCTATGTAGTAGGCTCAGACATATTACAGTCTACCAACTGTGCCTTACATGAAGAACACTGTATTTATAGGATTAAAGGTGCACACAATACTCATGTTTCAGGGTGGGTGAGTAGAGAGATAAAGATCTCCTATGCAATACTTCAATCGAATCTTGACTCCAGCGAGCACTGTGCATTTTTCTCCAGCAGAGATAAAGAGCGCACAGTTGCAAGCGCACAAACACATAAAATCACAAACAGAGGAACAGACACACACAGTTGCACGCTCTCTTGAACACACTCCCTTCACACTTTTTCAATTACCAGGCTGGGGAAAACTCTGGGGAAGGACTGAGTGTTTGGAGCTCAGTTTCTATTTCATCAGTCAATAACACATCTTTGGGGCAAAGCTGACACTAATTTAAAAATCTATGAAGAGCAGCCCGCCTCATGTTCATAACCACTGAAGGAGGAGGAGGGCCCACGACAGCCTCCACGCCAGATCAATCACTGTCTCGGCTGCTCTAAAGAACGGGGATGGTGGGAGGATGCAGCGCTGGAGGATGATGATAGGAGGAAGGATAGAGAAGAGCTGCTGGATAGCAGGTAAAGATAGGAGATGCAGTTTGTAGAAGAGGCAGGCGATTTACAAACCATGGGGGAAAAAAAAGTCTAATTTTGGTGCATGTAGGGGAGAGAAATAAATATTGACAAACCTTCCCTTTCTGACTTTAGCTCTGTCTCTATGTTTCATTTTGTTGTACAGCAGAGAAAGCAGGTGTGTCTGCAGGAGTGTAGAGTTTTCATTAGACCCTTGTTGAACACTCATGACTGAAAGCCTGAGGTACTAATCTGTCAGCTCTACAGGTAAGGAGGATGATTCCTAATATGTTGGCGACCTATTGACCTTTTCTCTAGACTCACCATCATGCTACCTTGAGGATAAAAAAACAAGCTTTGGATTTTAATTCCAACATCTCTGGAGAAATATTTTTAGCCCCACTACAATTACAATTCTCACCATTTCATGAGGACTTGTTGCTACAAATGTGGTATTCTGGGGTGCTTAAAACTAACTGGAACTAGACTGGTATCTGCAGAGGCGCCAGTTTTCTTCATGGGCACCTTGACCAAAGCACCGAATCCCTAAGGGCCCACTACATGGCATCGCATCACTCCACCATCTCTTTATATTCACACACTGAAAAGGTGGATTCATAAAGTAAATCTTCATCTTCTCCTTCACACAAAATGTCAACAGATTTTCTTTTGACATGTTTGTTTCTGTGGGTGGCGCTCTTTACCTTTCAGCGATGGTAAATGCCATTGCTCCTTCTAACTACCAGGTTCTTCCCCTGTATTTTACAAGTAAACTGAAAAGGTTAATTGCATCTCTTCTTCTGTACCACTGGACTTTTGGCACAGACCTGCAGGTGCACCGTGTCTATAAGAGTAAATGTAAAACCGTCAGTGACTGGACGTAGATTCAACTGTTAAACTTGTATCAGTTGGATTAAAAAACAAAAGAAAAAAAGTTCTGCTAACTATTCCTTCAAATCAGAATGTGCTGATGATGTACGGATCGGTCAGCAAGAAAATCATGATTCGTGAAATGCAACTAGTGCTACGTTAGTTTCCTCCTGTGTTGTGTTTCCCTCGCTCTCCTCTTCCTCCTCTCTGCTTTTATCAATGAAGAGGCTATTGACAGGGGTCGATTGCTTCTGGAATCCCTCTAGGACTCCAGGTACTTAAGTGGCTCTGATTGACAGGCATGCCTCCTATTCACTTCTGTTCTCTCTCTACCTCGCTTCCTCTTTCTTAGTTTATCGTGCATCTTAGTTCTGGCTCTGTCAGTGGACTAGCATAAGCACAGGTCTTCTTCCTCCGGGCCACTTCAGACCAAACAGTTCTCCGGTCACATTAATGTCGTAAAGTAACACGGCGTTATTGTTGTTAGGAGAGGTAGAAAATGAAAATGGCCTTAGTGGTCTGGAGACAGAATAAGTGACAGAGACACTGAGGAAGGAAGGGGGGGCGGGGGTTGAGAGAGACTTGAGCCAACAACGGAGAATTAGAGAAGGAAAAAGGTTTTGGAATGTAAAAGGTTATCAGACCTTTGACCTTAGGTCTAGGCTAAGGCGTGGACACGGTGGACATATGAAACCCAGATACTGAGACACACACACACAAAAACACACACACACACACACACACACACACACACACACACACACACACACACACACACACACACACACACACACACACACACACACAGACAGAGCTAGAGAACAAAAAGCAGAGGCACCACATGAAAAAGACTTTTACTTTGAAGTCAGGGTGGTTACAGTGTCAAGTCACACTGAGTTAAATGCCGTACGATATGTGTCAGCAAGTATGTGCTTTAAAAAAAAGTCCATCAGTCATTGCAACACAAGAGAGAGAAAAACAGCCAGTGTGACACACAGACAAAACTGTATGGATAAAGAACAAAGGTGATAAGTAGAAACTAACCACCAGAAACTGATGGATATTTAAATGTGCTACTTTTTAAATAATGCAAAGCTAAGAAATGACAACATCTACTTGTTGACCTTTGAAAAGCTGCTATTCATGGCAGCGCTACCATTCAGGAAGCCCTTGCATTCAATGAGAAAATATAAAGATGTATAGCCTGATAGGACTGATGAGGTTTTCCAGCTGTGCTTCATTAAAAAATAACTACCTCTATCCAATCAGCAGATAATAGCATATGTTTGGGGTCACCTGACACAAAAGCTTGATTCAGTACAGTCACATGGCTGAGACGACTACTATATATTTCTGAATGGTCTTTCATACTTTTAGGATGTAGAAAGTTCTTTCTATAAATATATGGCATTTTGCCCGAAGGCTTTGCAAAAACAAAAAGCCAAAAATGACAACAGGAAGGGCAGAAAGAGACAATAGTAAGAATATAGCAAATCAGCCGTCATTGGTCAAAGAAACTGGAGGCTTAACATCAAAATCTGTGAAGATTTAAATAGGAACAGGTTTCTGTTTCAGTGTCAAGTGCACAATAATGCCTCTAACAAGCTGGAATTAACAGGCGTGTTGCTTTAGCAAAGCTATTCTTAAAACTTCAAAATAGGAATAGAGGGTCTAGCACTATTGAACATACTAAGAACTGACAAATCACCGTTTAAACCTCTTCAATCTAACCACTGAGTACACTGCAGAGGGCCCAAAGAAAAACAGGCTCCCAAAATATTTAGAGGCCAATTGCAAGCCCCGTTGTGGTTCAATAATGATCTCGCGTCACTTATGCTTTAGTGGACTGGAAAATAAATTCAAAGTAGAAGTGCATTTGGGGGGAAAATGGTTACAAGAGTATTCTCCTGTCATGCAATATTATGGGGACATCAACTAAATGGAAGCTTCAATCATTTCATTCTTCTTCTTCTGGGGCAAAAAGTATTTCAAAAGTAAATAATACATTTAGTGTCTGAATTATACTGTTTTTTATCTCTGTTAACTCCAAACCTTTGAGAGGCTGAGTGGTTTTCCATCTCATTCATGACACAAGAGCTGGACTTTCTGTTGTCAAGAAGAGTCAAATGTTGATTTCTCTCAATGCCAAACAAGGACAACTACAAGGTCTTGACCAAGAAAATCGATGAATGGAAACGTATTGCTTGAGTATAGTAGCAACATAAGGAAATAACTGAAATGCAAACATGCCTGCAGGCTTCAGACTCCTGTATGTGTGAACACGTGAATTAGCATTTTCTGGCACCAGCAACCAGCATTAACTATGGGTGACATCCCACTATGTGGGAGAGCTAGTTGCTGCTCGCTATCGTTTCCCCTTCTTGTAAAAAGTAAAGTGTAGTGCGAACCCTGATTAAAATTGGACAAAATTAAGTGGTACAAACTATACAGTCAGTACAGGGAATAATGTGTGTGTGTTGCAGGAAAGTGAGTAAAGGTGTTGTCGGCCGCTGATAGATGAAGAGAGCAGTGGAGAGATAAAAAAGGAAGGAAAGGTAGGAGAAAAGTAGTTGACCCAGGAGGTCCATTACAGTGTAAAATTGAGTCAGCCCAAAGTGACACCTGAACGGAGGAGCTGGAGGAGCCAGAGTGGTGGGGGGTTCTTAGTCTCAGTCCTGTTTGGCTGTTTTGGAATAATTTACCTCCTCTAACCAGCCTCTCTCTCCTTCTCCTGCCATCTATTTATAAAGGCTCGGGCAGTTTGTGGCTGCTTGTGTGTGTGGCCGCGGCAGTGCCGGCAGTATCTTAATGGGCCTGGAGTGGCAGGGCTGCTGTTATTTAAGTGGGGGACGGACGGAGGCCGGTAATGGAGAGGAATACTCCCCGATGGGAGGTGACAGTGGCCGGATGGGCACAGAGAGAAATGGCCTCAGGGTAGAGGCTGGCCATCGAGGTAGGCACTTTTACTGATTCTGATGTGCAGCAGGGTATGTGCCCACTCACCTACCGGCTCTAAAAAAAGATTGAGAAAGATCTCCATTAACGGTCCAAAACCTTTTATAAAGATAAGGGATTAAAGTTGATTAAAGTGATTTTGGTCATGTAAGCCTCAAGAAGGTATAAAACCAAACTGTAGGCTTCACAAACATGCTAAACAATCCTCAGAGACCTAAAGGTGATAACTCTCATTCATTCTACATGCCTGTTTTACTACAGTTTATGCTCCTTTTAATGTTACGAGGCAGCCAGACTCGCAAGATCACGAGGGAATCCATCTTGCCAGGCTTCAAGCTGTGCGCTTCTGTGCGAACCAC